GTAGCACTTCGCCATTCTTCTGGAGACTCACGCCGTTGGGATTTTTCTGACGACAGGAGTCCTGCACAGTCGAGCTCAGTTGTTGTTGTTCGTTGGTAGCTTTTTAAGGCTACTGGGTTCTTGTTGAAATAAGTGAGAATCTGGGATCATGTTAATTATTCATACAACTGCAGTGCTGCGGGCTGGAGGCGATTAGGATATGATCCTTGCTAGATCGTTGCTGAATAAATTTCAGCTCCGTCCTAGACACCGCCCCAGCCCGTCGATGAGTCTTTGCTATTGCGCGTCCAAAGCAGGACCATGCGCAACACCCGCAGCTCACGTGTTCCCGAGAATCAATCTCGGGCCCGGACGTGCTCATCGGTCGAGCTGCATATACCTACCAACAAAAGCAGGCGACATACACACACACACACACACAGAAGCCGCGGGCCATGCTCCGTAGAATCTCCGTAGAATCTCCGCAAACTCCGTAAAACAAGGCTGAGTCCTAAAAAAATTAACTTTTCGACGACAAATTAGGTCCCGGGATATTTTATCATAAAGAGAGGTTGCTAAAAAACCAAGCCATAACAAGCACCGTGTCAATATGCGTGTAATGCGTTCTGTATCGCGCCAGCAAGGCAAATCGTCAAAGACGATGATCTTCATTCTGCCATCGTCTTGATCACGTAGAATTTCGTCTACACGGACATAAAACTGCTCTGAACTAATGAACGAATCTTCGGTAACGAAAATCGCCACCCGGGAACCCCCACTGCCTCCACCCGATGGAGGCATGCTGTTGTAGTAGTATGGATTGCCTCCTTGAGGACTTTGACCCCGCGGCCCATGATATCCGCCACTAGTAGATCTACTTGAGTCGTAATTCGGATCACTTCCTCGTGAGTGTCCGTCTGAAGCTCCTTCTCCACCATTCCCTCTGTCATGGTATCGCGCTTGCATGTCATCTGCGTATAAGCCTGCATAGTTGTTCACGTCTCTATGATGATGTGGATGTAGTTGGTGTCCTCCTCCACTCGATGAGCCTCCAGCGGCACTTGCTGATGATCCTCCACCAATGTCGATCGACTCTAATGCCTTGGCCAAGATATTGGAGATATACGTTTTCCCAGTGGCGAAATGTCCGTTAAAAACCAAGACTTGCATTTCTGAGGTCGCGTCCCATCCCGACAGGACCTCCAAGATCTGTGACTTCGTCGACGCTTCATCTACGATGAAAGACTGGAGATCACAAGCAACCTGTTGGAGTTGATCTCGTGAAAGAGCTTCGGCAAAAGAGCAAGTGAGAGAATAGCTCAAATGCAGGAACAAGAGGCTCCGCAAAAAAAAGCCATCTCGCTTCCGCCGAACAGCAGTGGGTAGCAAGAGCACCCACTTTGACAACGCAGACATCTTTTTTCTCTCGTCAATGCATGATATCAGACGGTGTCATTCGTCTCCTCCATTATACCAGGCTCGAACTCATTATAGACGGCTCGATGAGAAACATCCCACACATTATAAACTAACCGTTTATGATAATGAAAAAGCCAACAGAGCAGGACTAAACAAGGAGCGTCGAGGAACCAACAAAGATAAACATACTTCATCTCTGCGAAGTAAGTAATAACTTCAATGGATCGCGGCCATAGCCAAGTCGCTGCAGGAAATATGCGGATCCTTCATTCTGGGCCATGACCTTCCAACGACCGATTCGATTTTCATTATTTCCTGCCCCTCAGAGCGCAAGAACGCGGAATTTGTATTTCTCTTGATCAAGCTTTCTTACACAGTCATCATTCTGCTACTTAAGTACTTTTTTCTTATCCTCAAGTCTGCTGCAAGCTCGGTATATGTTGATGCTGGCAAAACTTTTCTAATTACAATCGTGCTCCTTGATACGTGAGAATATTCTAATGGATTCAGTGATTGCTATTTTGGCCCATTAGGTTGAGTACATATTGTGCTCCCTATTTCAACTGGATATTGGTGTTAGTAATAGTATTCAAGTGCTTTTCATGGTAGTAATTGTGTGCGTATGTATGCCCTCCATGAGGATGCAATTTTGGATACAATTCTACGTCGAGAGTCTATGAATAAAAGTAAATTTCTTCGAAGTCAGCTACTAGTCGCTATCGCTATGCCTATGTAACTTGTACGTTGTAGGTCGAAATTCATATGTTTCTACTGTGCATGGTGTACATCAATGGGGACCTATGAAGAACAAGAGTGATGTTACAGTTTGTTAGACGAAAGCTTATTGATGGTGATCGTCTGTCGTTCTTGTCCTCAAAACTGCACCTCAAAACTGTAGAATCATCATTTCCCTACATAGTCTTTCTAAACTTCTCATGCATCGTAGTCCTCAAACTATTCGGTCCCGAGTTTGTGTTCGTGTATGACGAAGTCGTACCACCACGAGAGCTAGGTGCGTGCGTAGTCTGCGTGAGGCCCATGAGTTCCCTCTTAGTGTCGAACCAATCACGCGGCTGACTCGTATCCCATGGCGGCTGCAGAATCTTGTCGGGCTGAGGCGGGTGTTGATGTGGACGCGTGAGGATTCTCATTTGCATGTGCCGTTTCAGAATGGACATTTCATAATTGAGTCAGATTCAATTGATTAGGGAAGACGAGAACAACCAAAAGCAGTATCCTATTGAACCAAACCCGAAAATGAAAGAATAAGAAAGTGAAACCAAAGTCTACATCTAGTACGTTCCTAAACCCAGTCGCAGTGACGCCCAGTTGATCGACGCTCTTCTTTCTTGTCGCATCCGTCTTTGGTGAGGTAGGCCGGCGCATACGTTTTCCGTGCGATATCACCTCACCTTGGAATACCATCTCCGTATCCTTCGTCGCCATCGCCTTGGCGTCCTCGTAATTCTGGTGGAGGAATATTAGAAGAGTTGGTTTGTTTCCGTGTTGAACTAAAATGTTTGGTGGGAAGAATCTTCTCACCACACGTATCATGTTCAAGATTCATCGTATTGCGAAGTTTGAGAAATAGTTGCGCTGCAAAGTAGCTGCGGCCTTAACATCAACAAAGGCGTGCTCTGTGTCAGCTTCTTAGCGACGTTCGGACCCCAATTTTTCTTCCACCTTCTTGGGTTCGCCACTTTCCGAGTGCGCACTTTGTAACTGTAGACGTAAGGCGGTCGTGAAGGATTTGGGTAATTTTTCCGAGCAGTTGATCTTGATGCTGGTTTTATTTAGGAAAAAGCAAGAAACCTGGGACAAATCATTAAACTGCAGCGACCTTTATTTATTCATTGTACCTAAAAAGTAAAAGTCCTATGTACGCCGTATGCGGTGCAGCTACTAGTAAGTATCACTTTCACTTACTTCTTTAACTATATACTTCCCAGACGTACAACTCCAGGAGATAAAGCTGAAATCGAAAAAACTCCTAGTAGGTGAAGTACTCATGATTCAATGCTTCGATGTGATTCTTGACGATGGCAAGTCGTTCCCTCGTCTTGATCAATGGATCGTCGCCTCTCACTACTGGTGTTATCCTATCCGTCTGCATTGCTAGTGGTTTCCGGAAGGCTAATGTTAGAGTTGCCGCAAAAGTTGCATCCCTGAGCGTAGGAGTATCCGTGGAAGCCTCTTTTTCAAGTAGGATGACCATGACTCTGGCCTCTTTTTCAAATAAATAAGAGCTGCCAAGTCGGAGGCTGACTTTGTAGGGCATTCCATTCCATGAAGTCTATCATTGGCTAATATACCAACCCCTAGACTATACGATGACACTCTGCAGCCTCAAATGATATGAAGTCACGAAGCGCAACGCTAAAAAACATAGCAACGAAAATAAGCAGGCCAATTTCCGAAAGGGAAGTTGGTGCCTACATTTCCATTTACTACTACGCTACTAGAAGTCCTCTTAACAATGCAGCCATGCGACTTTTCTCGTCCTCCTTTCTATCGCAGTACTCCTTCCACTCCTTCTTCTTTAGCAAGTTCCTCTCAAACCATGCTTCTGCTGGCGTGGTCCACCTATTCATCTCCGGCGCACCCTTGTAGCCACCGAAATCGGGGTACCTGTCATTCATTGAATGGAGGCGTTCCTTCAATATTATTGACTCCGTGGAGGTGGTAAAAACCTCCATCAAACTTGGTTACACTTAGAAGTTGTAGAAGAAGAAGTAGACCACAAGCTTATATTCGTACTGTGGAAAGGGAATCAGCCGCAAAGACAATCATTACAGCTTATATTCGTACTGTGGAAATGGAATCAGCCGCAAAGACAATCATTACAGCTTATATTCGTACTGTGGAAAGGGAATCAGCCGCAAAAAAAATCACTCTGCATACTCATAATCAGGAACAACAGGAACAGTCGAGAAACCACTAACAATCCAACAACAGGCTAGACTAGCGGGTAGAACTCGCCTGAGAAATCTTAGGCAGCTCGCCGAATAGATTCAAATCATCATCACATACTCATAAGCATACCATGCCCCACTTCCATACGCGCTTCCGCAACACACATTTCCTTCCGGTGGCTGGAATTTGGTCTGGAAATAATTCAGATTGTTCCTGAACTGAGGAAGAGGATCCTTTTCGATGGTTGCGTACGACATTTTTTGTTGTTCCTTTGAGGGAGCAGGAACGGTACCAGTACCACTACTAGTACATCAGTGCCACTACTAGTACATCAGTACTATTAGAGCTGTCCGAAGTTCCTTTGAGGGAGCAGAAGATGCTGATGTCACAAGGAGAAGGAACGGTACCAGTACCACTACTAATGATCGGGTCAAGCTTAGTGATGCTTATTTAAAGCTTATCCTGTTACTTTTCTTTTTTCTGGAACACGTTTCAAGGATGCGCCCAAAGATGTATTAGGTACAGCCTTAATACTACCACTAGTACACGGAAACACGAGTATCAAGGGACTAGATGAGAATAAAGCAAGAAAAGGAAGTCCTTCCTTCCACCTTGGTTTATTTTAGTTCTACCTTCTGCCTAAATGTGCGTATGCAGTTGAAGCACGTTGGCGGAAATTGATGTAAAGACAAGTTGCAACGGTGGATTTCTAGAACTAGATGAAGGAATCCAAGTGAGGACAAGTCGTGGAATCGGTGATGGATGGAGCAAGAGTTGTCTCCGATGATAGAATGTACAGAGGTCTTGAGAAGAGTGCTTCACTCTAACACTAACACTCTAATAACACCGATAAGACGCGCACTCACTCGCACATACACTACAACCGATATTCGTATGCGTTCTTCTGCTTAGACCGATTTACGTCGGACCGATCGACGCTTTAAGTGCGATATGGATATCCGTTGTTTCGGCGGCAAAGAACAATTAGGAAAGTATCTATAGTATAATCATAATGCGGCATCACAACAACGAGGGCCACGCGTCGGTGGCAATGGCTTCTTGTTCATGCTCACCCCCCTTGAATAATGTAATATGCAACAAACCTTAATATTGCGTTGGCACCAAATCTTAATATTGCGTTGACACCATGTCTTCGTGGACGTCGACGCACCATACAACGAATTCACCAAAATGAATACACGAAAATTCTTCAAGTTCAAGTAAGTCGAGGAACAATAGCAATAGTAAGTCTAAGTGGTAAGTTACAAAATAAGGATTTATTAGACTGCGCTCTTGAGCGGCTGATACGCGAATGAACAAAGTCAAAGACTTAAACTGATCTCTTAGGTTTCGATTTGACTCGTGGGATTGTGAATTCTGAGTGAACCAGTCGTGGTGTTTCTATTTGATCAACTTGTATAGATACATATGAAGTGGTGCCCCAATTGTAAATGATCTTATATATAATCTTGGCCATGTTCGCTCCTGTAACTCGTGCTTTCGTTCATGTCATTTTTCGTCTCTCGTATTCTTGAGCCAAAATGGCTACGGAAATGTTTCATTCCCAGGCCAGTATTAAATGTTTCCTTCCCAGGACAGTATTCCTGCGTCTCTACTTCCCGCGTTTCACATTGACTTCCATAGGCATGACTTCGTCCGTCTGTGGCCTGGTCATGACCCAGACTCGTATCTCCCGCTCGAACGCCACGAAGGCTGCGTTCTGAAACAAGTCTATTTGCGTCAGTCTCGGATTCATGTCTGGCAAGGTCAGGACGCGTTGCAACCATTTCACCGCACGCCCCTTTACGTAGTTGTTCCGTGCATAGCCAATGTCGCAATTTGCCAACGACAAAATCTCAACTACGTTCCCCGGCTCGCAAAGTAACCGAAAAAACATCTCCGCGCCGCGATCCCTTATACGGTTGCCGTGGGTTAGAGAAGAGATACTACGTTCTGTATGCATGGTATTGTTTTTAATAAGTACCCAGCACACCCTCGTTGGTCTTGATGTAACCGCGATAGAACAATGAGTAAACAGTCGTGAAAACTGCAAGTGGAAACTACTTAGTTCTTTCCACTGCTAGATCCATAACTCCAAATACACCTCCCTGAGGAATCTTGACATCCGCAACGTCATCGCCATGCACATGCCCTCTAGAGGGCCTAAAACAGAAATCTTTACGCGCTCTTTGGGTGGAACCAATAGCGTGTCACGTCGCGCTTTCTATGGATGATATTAATTCCATCTTCTATGAAGACCACCGAAGCCCCCCTTTAGCCTATAGATTTTTACGTGGAAAAGGTGCAGCCCAGATGCTCTGACAGATGGAGAAAACATCATCCATACTTTCTCCGTCTTCGTCATCCGCTTGATCTTTTTGCTGTCGTCAGTGTAAATGTCAAGCAAGTCCTGTGGGTCCGGTGCCATCGGGTGTCCGCACTTCCTTGCTACCCTTTCTATGACAAAACGCCTTAGCTCTGGATGCACACTGCAAGTCAGCTGCCTTGACAGATTCATGTCGTTGGCGACTACTGCCTCAAGGACGTTTGAGTAGTGCGCATGCTGCGCTTTAGGCGGGAAGTAGTCGAAGATCAGCTGATGCTCAGTGACGAAATCCACGATATTCTGCACTAGCATGGAGATGGTGACTTAGAAGAGGAAGAGGGAAAGGTCTAGCAAGTGGGATGTTGAAGTAAGGAATACCGTTAATATAGGGAATGAAAGCAGTTCCTCGGTATTGTTGTAAAGTAGTAAAAGTGTATGTAGTAGATGTGCATATAATGAGTGTACGACGAAATTGTAAATAACGTATTTGCTTCATTTCATTCGACGTAGTAGAGCAAGAAAAAACACGCAGCATAATTTATCGTATAAACATTATATGCATCCCATCGCAGCACTTCTGCATCTTCGAATTCTCTCAAAGGTACCGCCATCGTTGTTGCCGAAAACTGCACTTTTTCCAGTCTAGGATGGCTCACTATACTATCCATCAGCGTGTCCAGGGTTTTGTCTTGCAATCCGTGTTATGAAGAAAGCGAGCTTACCTCTTGATCTACCTTATCCATATCCTCTTCCTCCCCTAGATGAACTAGATCCTGAATCTCAATTACATCATCACTCACTATCACAGTTGTAACCTCTACTTCATAAATCCAAATCGTTGTTCGAGACGTTGAGGGTCTTCAGCTGTGAATTGCAGAAGAGGAATTCTGCAAGCGCCATGAAGCCGTAGTCCTTGATCAGGTTACTGCTCAAATCCAGATGCAACAAGTTTCCGGAGTATTAGAAGAATCAGAGTAAGCAAAAGATGCTGAAGATGTTCTTGATGGAGATGAATGGATGGCGACAGCTATGGCCTCGTTCTTTTAGGATGTCAACATTACTAAATGGGAGTCAAACCTGCTGTGCGCATAGAAGCTGCAAATGGAATGGGCGTGGTCGCTAGATGTTGAATAACAGTGTGAACTTCACCAAAAGCAAGCCTTAGTTGTATGTCATCATTCGGCAGAAGACTATTGCCTCCAAGTCGGTCCATGGCCTCTGTACGCGCTCACCCGCTACTAGGTAGTACCCGCTATCCTTGAACGTCATCTCAAAAGGCAGATTCAACTTTTCGTGACCATACCTGGAGAGGGTGGAGAAGAATGAACATGTTCAGCTTGTAAAAATTGTATCTTTAGAAAAGGAAAGGAAGCTTCATCATGTCGAAGGTTCTATTACCTGGTCTAAGCGTCCTTCGAGAGCGAAGACTGAGTACTTATGGCACAGGAACGAACTTAGAAGTTGAAGTTGTACCTATATCTATCCATGCTGTAGACGAGATTCGCCTTCTGCAAGACGTCCTTAATGCTGAACCAGTTGAATGTTCTCAGCATGCAGTTGTCTTTTACAATCACGCAATGTTCTATTGCGTCGAACAAGGTATAGGCTGCTTTCACCAGATTCTTACAGCAGCTTGCCGGGAGAACTAGATTCTCGACGTAGATTTAGAGCTAAGTAAAGGAAATCCATCTCATACATAGAGCATCTTGGAGGTGCCCGTGTTCCCTTGGGAATCAGCATCGGGCACAAGATGCTGGCTAAGAGTAAGATGCATTTCTGCAAGCCGTAATAGATGTTGTTGAAAAGAGCGTACCCAAACTGCGCTACCTCGTTCTCGTTCAGAACATACTTCTCCCGTTCGAGAGAACAGGTGTCCATTTGCACCAGAACGATGAAAAATGGTGGAAAGACCCGCTCATCTGCCTTCTTCTGCTCTGCTGCCGAGACCTTCTGGACCTGCGATATACTTTCCCCTGTCGTCCCTCGCCCCATCCTACTGCTAAGACAGATCACTTCCCACATCGTTATCAGATTCCTGAACGCCACTTGCGATACCCTCAAAGCCGTGAACCACCACGTGGCCATGCTCACTCCCAACCCAAGTTTAGCCCAAAACGTATCCCTCGGTCCGCCTGGTCCCTCCGAGTTGATCAAGATAATGTCGAACAACATATAGCTGGGGGACCCGACCACTAACATCATTTGCCGCAGAAAGAATTTCGCTGCACTTAGGAAGTTCGGCGCCGTCCGCAGTGGAAAGAAAGCGACTAGCACAATGATTAGATTGAGACAGTCAGATGATTCCACCGATGAAGAGTTGAAGTATTAAATACTATTTAACTGTAAAAAAATCGAAAGCCATCATTTGAAATATTAAATGGTCAACCTCGTCGTCTGACTCAGCATCTTATTATTCAAGCAAGTTATTTCTTCTTGTTGGCATCCTTTCACGGTAAGAAAGATAGACGCGGCATCCAAGTAAGTCCAAGATGCTGGATGCCTTCTTGCGAAAATGGATTTCTTGCAGGAGAACAATAAATGATCCTCAACATCAACAAGAACATAAGATGATGATGTTAGTCGGTTCGGAGTGGACCTAAAACAAGAACATAAGATAAGATCGATGAAGACGATCAGCGGTAAACCGAGCATGAACCAACTTGAATACGTGAAGATGATGAGACTCGAGTCATTCCCATCTATACCCATCCCTGTCTGGACAGAAGACGGACTCCGCTTTACTGTTAGCACACTCCTCAAGAGCAAAAACCCGATAACGAGGCTTCGGTTCGGGGGATTAGAAGAAAAGCTACGCTGAAGAAGTCTTCTGATGATGATGTTAGTCGATTCTACTCTAGAAGTAGGCAACGTTGTGTCTTTGTCCCTGTTGTAGGCGGACCACCACCCTAGGTGATCTAGTCACAAATAGGGTTCTGGTTGTTGAATTCATGTTCATCGCTAAGTCAATATCAAACTCGTATCACCATATTGATGATCATACTTCCACACCTCCACCTGAAGCCTTAAACAACACCCGCAAAAATATGTAGGGAATACACCGATACCAAACCCAGAGAATAGCGAGCCAAGGAAGCGCGATTCCGAAAGTTTGCGCCGCGAATGGGAAAGAGTCCTGAGGAGTTGAGGACGCGAAAGGATGTCTTCTTGCAGGCAAAAGAAAACGAAAAGCCTGTGCACTTCTATCAGCTATTCTTCTTCTTATTTAGAGGTCGGTTTTACCAACTACATACTTGCTCATAGGCTGCAATAAGTCGTCAAGATTGGTGGAGTTCTTATCAGCAACGGCCCAGGTGTCCTCCTAGTCCTTTACCTGCTTTATACTAGAAAAAATTCAACCCATTTATCAAATCCCTTTATCTTTATAGTATACTAAAGATGATTGAATAAAGATAAACTCATACTCACATCTTTTAAATCAGCAAAAAAAATTCAAATTGAAGTAAAGATTCTTAATAATTATGACAAATAATACCATCATCGGCTCTCCTTTCGGCACGCCTTCTACTGGGTCTATGACGTCTGCACTGCCATCGTAACCGGGATCGTAGGGACACATTCTCCCCATACTGTGTCCTAATTGAGGTTCGCAAAATACGGCTAACCAGTAAATTAGAGGAAGAACTAAGATACGGCTAGCCAGTAAATTAGAAGAAGAACTAAGAGCACAACGGAAAGAGAACGACGAAAACGGAGAGTTCGAGTTGTTCACCTTCACAGTCGTGGTTAAGAAGTTGTCGACATGAGAAGTGTTGATATGAAGCCCACGACGTCCGTATGTCATCTTTCAAGTGCATCCTTGAAAAGTATGGCGGCGTATTCCCGTAGGATACTCCTCCATACGTTTCAAGGATGCGTCCAAAGATGTATTAGGTACAGCCTTAAAGGTAAATCACAGGAGAAAGAACTTCTATTACATCGTCGTCTCAATCTTAACTGAATGCCAATTTCGACTGCTGGTAAGACTCTCCCGAGAAAGAAAACGGTAAGCCAATGGTCGTTCAAACCCGGAAAAAGGTGGTAGAAGAAAATTGCTCTGACAACCGCAGAAAAAGTCGCAACCATCTTCATCGGACTATTATTATCCGTGCGTGCCATCTTCTGCCCTTTCTCTCGCATTCGCAAGGCTCTCTTGGTCAGCCTCGCTTCGTCTTCCGCTATTTTGTAGGCTTGTTTACATCGCTCCAATGTGAACTCGATTTAGAGCGTGCTAGTTGGATCCATCTCGGTCCCCTCATCTTGGTGCCTCTTGTTCCCTATTATTAATCCATGGGGAAAGGGTACCTCCGATTTCTGAGAAACAAGATGGATAAAAAATGCGTTGCGAATACCCTAATCGACCGTCTCATTGAGTTGCGGATACCCTTTTCTGAAACTTCGACCTTCATTTCGTTGATGCTGGACCCGATCTTGGCGTCCCTTCAACGTCGTTCCCGTGTTTATCCGCGCCTGCCTTCGTAACTCTTTCAGCTTTGCTTAGAGCAGTTCAAACCATAATTTCATTTCCATCTACTTGGGTTCCAGTTGTACATAGAGATACGAGGACCCATTTCTATCTACTTGGGTTCACTTACATTTTCTCAGAATCCTGAAAAGGAAACAAAGAAAACGAACAACCTGTGAAAACGAAAAACAAAATAATGCAAATAATTGTTCTAGATTGAAGGTTGCTTAACATCGCTTACCCTGCTTTTAGATAGACTAACCGCAAACCCGGAAAGAACATAGTACCTGTAGAGAAAAAACACTCCTTCTTTGCCTTAATTTGCCGTTCTGTCTCGTATCTGCCGAAAGCTGCTGCTCGCACCTGTGCCCGTCTTATTCTCCGACTCGGAGCCCTGCGTACCCTCGTGTCCACCGGAAGGGGCCTTTTTCAATGCAGACTTCGTCTTGCCACCCGCACTGCTCATGATACCTATGAAGATCATTGTTCAGCACTGTTGTATCTATGTATAATTTAGTAACTTAAACTTTATTTCTGCATAATGCTCGCGATTTTTCACACAGGAGAGGTTCTTTGGTTTCAAACTGATTCTTCACCACGATTCGTCATTTACATCTTGCTCCTGACATCAACCACCCCCGCCAGACACTCACAGGGATAAGAAGTTTATTCTAATACCTTCTCTCGGAGTGATTGGTCTACTCACGGATCTATGTGCATTGACGCGATCGTGAATGGGGGTCTGAGGATCCATTCCATCTCCTTGAAAACCCTCAGCTGCTGCACTCAGATCCAATGCTGCTGGAGCGACCTTATTTTTTAGAGTAAGTACGCTGAAGACGATTCATTTCCGAGATCATCTTGATCTTTCAAGATGAATGGCAACAGGCATCAATGTGATCCAGATAGTACTACTAGGGGCGTGTTGATTTTGATGAATAAAATGAAATTTAGTTCTTTATAGTGCTTACTTCAAACTCGCTGCCGTAAATTTTTCCCCTTCTTCTTCCCACCTTCATTCTCGCTTCCACTTTGCTGCATCCGCCTTACGTGATCTGGCTGATTATGCAAAGCCCCATCTTGTTTCTTCCTCTCGCCCTCAGCCCCTTGACCTAAACCCGCGTTCGCCCGGACAGTATCGCGCATTGTTTAGAGCTCGCACTTGCGGTACTTCATCTCTTGTTTCTCTTTCTACTTAAGTTCATCTTCCTCTTCTGCGATTGTGTTGATGAAGGTAAAAAATCAAAATCCTATTACAAACCAAATAACTAAGCTTAATTTGTATCTCGAAATGCTCCGCCATGAGCTCGTAGCTCATCTGCTGTAGGCACGGTCTGTTCTAGCAACTGCGTATCCACCGTCCGCAACTCCGCTTTCTTGCCGCCCATTGCGGCGAGCGGAGAAGGAGTAGAATCCTTGTCCATTTTCCTGTGCAGCTGTTGTGGTCCTACAGCTAACAGCACGACCTACTGTCCCTTCTAGAAGAGCCACCACAGAAGGAGCTTGTTCCACCCCGTTCCTCTAGTAAAAACTACAGCCCCGAATGACAAGTAGTCGATCTGGAGGCCACGCGGTGCTTGAACTTTGCAGCACGTGATCTTGCAGAGTAGGAGTACATCTACTCGGCAACAACATTGCCGGACTCGGTGTGGAGACAGCCTCCCACGAACCACTAGAGCATCGCTTTATGCCTCCATCATGATCATTCTTCGAATGAATGCATCTACTCTTATTTTAGGAATACATGCATTATTGGAGCACTCGATTATATCAATTCTAGTGACAACTTTACTTGTTGTACAAGACAGAAAAATGGCATGAAAGGTACATCATAGTGATAGATACAACCTTGATATGATTCATGCAATCAGGGGGTGGTCTGGAGATTCGCAAAAAAACGAATTCAGGAAAGAGTGAGGGATGTTGAGGGTGAAACCTCTAAATCTGACTTCCACCGACTAGAACTGCATGTCAGTGAAGAGGTAGGAAAAAACATGCTGAGGTGCCATTTTATATTTCTACATGAGGATGATAAATATCAGCATAAGTAATTCATTCGTCCTTCATTAGTTGTATTAGCGGGTGGCATCGATTTAGTTTATTCCTTATAAATATAAGTGTCTTTTCTTGTAAAAAGATTAAGTAGCCATTCATGCAGTAGGGATAGGCGGGGGAAAACATCCTCATCACTCTTTGTTGATGACTTTAGACACACTCTCACTCTGGAACATCAACTGCTCGACTCCTCTCGATTTCGCGACCCCTCGTCTCCCAATAGTTGTACTCGTCTATACTCTAAAAGTACCTCTGCTCGTGCTCTCGTAGTCCTTCCTTTTCCGGTGGATTATCAAAACTGGTAAGAACTCCATTCTGATCGTAATTGCTGTTCGTTTTTTGCCATTTCCCAAGCATAATCATCCACCGTCTTACGAAAACCTGCTGGAGCACCTTTGTCTTTCTTGTTCACCAATATCTTCTTTTTACTATCTCAAGATTGATAGGCATATTGTAAGTGTTGCGGATTCGTTGCTTTCTCGGAAGATTCAGATTGATCGTACAGTGCATGCACCAAAGATAACAATGGCATCCCTGACGTCAATGAGCCGTCAAGGAGCTATTGAATCGATCATTTCTAGAACGGAGTTTGCGGCTTTTCCCACGAAAACGTTCGGCGGCGTGTATAGGTGTGGCGGGATGTGCGAAACTCCTTGCGACCGGCTTCCGCTTATAAAAAAGAAAATATTCTTCTTAGAGGTTTTGCTTTCGTGTAAGTAAGTGGCATCATTGACTTTGATTGATGATGATGAGAATTTTCTTGTTACATCTGTTGAGTCTGTTGAGAAGACAGAGACTCTCGAAGATAAAAAGGGCTTTGCTCCTCGAAATGCTGAAACTCTCGTTAGTTGTACTTTGTTAGAAAGGAGAAAACTGCCGTAATAAATGAGAGAACAAAGAAGACTGCCGCATAGCCCGTACTCCCTGACCCGATGGTGCTACAAGTGCTCAAAACAAGCAAGAACTCTGGCTCATCACACGCGCCAGCGGCTGCGGGACTATAACATGTGCCCGCCTTCGTGCAGTAGTTCATCGCAAGATAGCCAAAAACACTGCTGATACCCGCACTCTTAGAGAAGGTAGAAACTTGAGATAACATCAGTTGTGACTCTGGAAATCTCATTGACGTTCTTTTCCACACGACGAACAAGAACCTGCTTAACTGGTATAGTGCATCATCAAAAGCTCATCTTTATCCTCCTCAAAAGAACTTCAACTTCTACTGAACCTCCTGCAGCATGACTAATATAGTGCAGAAGCCCATAATTATTATTCTGTTCAAAAACTTCTACTGATCCTCCTGCAGCTTAACTATAGTGCAGAAGCCCATCTTTATCGTTCGCGGATACTGCTTGACGACGCCAGCCGCTGCGTTCATCTTTATCTTTTCTGTGACACTGCTAGACACCAAGTCCGCAAACGAGATGTTCTGCACAGCACCCATCGACGTACTTGTATGGTAGCACATGTATGCCAATAGCAAGTTCGGAAGGGCTTGTTAGAGCAGACGGATGATGAAGATAGAAGAGCAGGATGTAGGATGGTTATTTACTTCTACCAGGGCCTCCCACTTTGTTCACGGTCGTGGTCATGAATAAAATAAGAGAGCAGACCACAACAAGTCTTTGAATCATCAATAGCTCCCACCCTCCGTAAGTTAATGCGATCAATATCTTCTGGGCAGTAGGACATTGCGCGTCACCGGAAACGGTGTCCTGCCATCCACAGCTATTGCTCTCCAGAGCGCAATAGAGTAAGAATGCTACGTGCACGTACGCACAGTTCCGATAGAAGTCGACTGTTGTGAAAACACACATTTTGATGTTCAAAAATATATTCGTGGTGATATTTCACTTGTTCGTGGTGTGGTTGAACCTCAACTTGTAGTTCGAAGTAGGTCATTCGCTACTTTCGAATATGTTTTTCGTTGCGGAAAAATTTCCGGCTCCATCCGATGGCCGCGGGTTGTCATGATGAGCATGTACGCACCATCCGACTCGAAAGTCTCCTGGCATACGGCTGACTTGAAGACGCTGTCATTGTCTTCGTCATCAACGAAAAACTTCGTAGTGCTTCGAAGATATCTTCACTTGTTACGGCTGCGTCGAAGACAAAGAGAAAGATCATACATAGATCTTTATTTTAATACCTCCAGTTTACTACAGAAAGAGTTGTTTTCTTTTTTCCTTGAATTACTATTGTACTAGCTATGACCCCAGAACTACATTGCCTCGTCATCAACAGACACAGAGTTGACGTTCTACCAGTGAAAATTGCACTTTTTTCTCTCTCCTGACTCCGTGTTCGTCACTCACGACAGACTTCTTCAGCGCCAGGCGACAGACTACTTCTTCATCACTCACGACAGATAAGCACGCTTTTTGAAATCTAGCACACTCGCTCCGAAGATAGTTTTCATCATTTCGATGCATAGGACATGAGGATGAGACAGTCGTGCCACTGAAAGGTTAGTGTAAAAATCAAATACTTACGTGCCATGATTCAGCGTGAAGTTTCTAGTGCTTCATTTAATGAAGATTATCTTTAGTATTAGTAATTCATCGGAACAGTTTCATTACATTGCTTGCGGATGTACGGTCGTGGCAAGTCTCTTTCTGATCTCGCCATACCATTTTTAATGCGAAAAGAATTTCTCCAACCATGTAAGTCGTCTATGTCATAGCCAAGCGCTTCACGAGTCTTCCATTGCGAAGAAGCTTGATGACCTTCTTGTTCTTGTTGTTGATGCTTCATCACAGCTGCGCCTCCATGTTCCGTAAGTCCTCTCGTTGTTCTTGTTGTACTTGTATCACCTGCTCCGGTTTCCTCTTGAGTTGTAAAAGTACTAGCCGCATAGTAGAAAACTTCAAAGTAGTCCGTGTACTCCGACCCAAAGACGTCTCTGGTCCAGCCGCGGCTTCCAAGACTAGCATCACTGTCTCCATGCAGAAAGTGGAAAAGTTAGAGGAGCTCACAATAATTCTTCATCTTTGATTATGAAGACGAACTTAGTTCACATTAGTTTTAGAATCCAAGAAACCAAAGGAAGACGTTCCAATCTTGGTTTCTTGGATTCTAATCCTACACCGTCAAACTCTGTGGAGAAGAACAAGATCATGTTGGATCCTCATACTGTGAGCCTTAAAAAAGGTACATTTCCCGTCCTTCCCTTTGGAACCATCCCCCATCTGGCACGTTGCGAGAAGTTACGAATTCCGTTTCTGGATCCAAGTATTTCCATCGCACAAGATCATTAACCTGCGTCATGCTATTGTTGAAGAAGGCTCTTTTCGGCATTTGCTCAGGAAAGGTGACCCGTTCCCCTGCGCCTAGAAAAGCGGAGACACATTTTTGATCGTGTTCGTAAGGATGCTGGTACATCCAGGAGAGTACCTCTAGCAGCCAGTACTTGACGCGATCTCGATTGCGGAAGTACACGACACCAGAAGTGACACAATCGGTCAGGAAGGACCCAGATATCGCAATATCAAAATCATCAGCGTGGTCCTCTTTCTTGTGTTTGTGCTGCAGCTCATGTTGGTGCTCCACTTCATGTGAGACTGGGGTACTGCTGAATCCAGTTAACGACGGCGCAGTAAGCGGGTTACGGAACAGGAAAACGTCGAAATCGATCCACAGGACATCAGTTTTCAACCGGTTCAAGAGCACCAGAGGAAAAGCGAATTTGTTCAGTATTGAGTGCTGGTAACCTCGGACGCAATAAATTCTACTCGAAGATGAAGTTGTTGTACTTGTTTCTGAATCTGATGCGGCACTAGAAGGCGTCTTGATCTTGGTGGAAACTTGCGAACAAGCGTTAAGCGCACCCTCATCGAGACACCACAGGACGAATCTCGGAATACCAACTGCAACTACCCTGCGCAGAAAAGCCTCAACGTACTTCACAAACTTGACACCGTAGACCATCGTTGTCACAACTGGTCGTGAAGAAGGTTCCTCTGCAGCACGCTTTTTTAATACATGATCTGAAGATAATTTCAGATCCATGATCAGCTCCGTCTGCGCAAGACTTCCTCCAATAGCTTCGACTAGATTCCTCATCGTCTGACTACTAGCACTAGTTCCGTGGTTCATGAGTTCTTCCGGTTCAAACTCCAATGCAAAGTTGTGCCGTTTTACTGTTCGCCTCACATGGACCAACAACGTCGCCAAAGGCCACCCTCCTCCAAAGATCGCGTGGAAAGACATAGCCCGCAGCACGTGGTCGATAGCGCCTGCATGTGCATGAAAGCAAATGCTCTCAGTAGAAGCGCAAATCAGTGCTTTCACGACGTTCGCCATGAGGAATCCCAGAGGGCATTCATGCGCCGCTTGGCCTTGGTTTTGCTCGATCTCATGACCGTAGGCTACTCGGACAGCGCGATCATACCAATCGTCAGGATGGTCGAAAATAAGCTGTTTTGTTGCTTACATAATACATCAGCAGGAGTTGTAATTCTATGTACTACTAGATAAAAATTCAAAAGCAGAAGAACTTCCTTGCTGCAGAAGTCCACTTCGACTCATAAAGAACGTGAAAAATTATAATTGGGATCATTATTTATACAGCTGTTTATTATAGCACCTCTTCGAAATACGTTCCGGAATGCAGACCAGTCGATTACAGTCCTTTCCGATTGCCCGTAGTCGCATGTAATCTTCACATCGTCTCTGGCTGGCGTATCAGTCCAGTCCGTCTCTGCTATGGTCTCCAAGATCGGCCATTCTGTGCCGATGAGGGTTTGGAAGGGAGGGAATTTTTCCTGCCTGGATTAGAGATTCATTCATTCATTCATTTACCTAGCACGAGGTATTGTCTCAAAAACTTAATTAGGAGACAGAGGGCTTAGGGTGATCATGTAGTCGCACATCTGGATAGTGGAGCTTATAGTACTGAGAAATGCGCCTAAGCAGCTAAGAGAAAAAAGCAAAAAATGAAAATCTGCAAGTTATTAAAAGAAAATATATTTCTCTAATTCCCATAAACAATGCGTTCGTGTTCGTGATAGCAGGCGTCGCCTTCGTGCCAGCACTTGAGCATGATGATGACGCTAGAATAGACACTCCCTACTGCACAGTCTTCGTCCATCAAGGCTTCTACATGATGATGATAGTAGTAATTCGCATCTCGAGGATTGAGGTTCTTCTTCCCTTCTTCCTTCTTCTGCACGTAGAAATTCATCACCCTGGATTGGTAAGCCACATTCTCTTCGTTTAGCCAGGTTGCTTGGTTCCGAATCGCTCTTCTCCACTGGTCCCACAGGGCTCCTCCTTCTGTAGTGGTAGTTGCTTCATCTCCATCCGGAGGTGGTGGTCTACGGCAGTCATAGTCCGGAAAGAGCGTTCGTTCGGCTGAAGGTAGACGTTGAGCCTGTACTGGCGGGATCGAATGTACAAGTTCTACTTGACCAAGAACGAGGCCTAACGTGGCAAAATAAGAAAATGCCAAATAAGACGAGAAAAGAGAGACAGTCATCTTGAAAGGGAAGACGTCCTCTGCAGCGTCGAGTTGAAGTCTTTCGTCATGATACGCGAAAAAATATTCTTTGTCTCCACAGCAGCTTCGTTTGGCTAACGAGCAGGTTCTTGACTATGATCAAGTAGAACCACTGCAGCTAGTACAGCTACAGCATTAGGTTGCGTTGATTTATTGGCATCGGGCTTTGTAGACTTTTCCTCATTGTTGAGAGAAGTGATCGCCCAAGAACACAGCGTCCTGCGCAAAACTGCTCCTGACTTATCCAGGCTATTTCATTAGATTCTTCTTTCGAAGTCGTACCTTCAATGCCGTGATTATGGTTGCAGATTATTTGATGTAATGTTACACTGCTCACAACATGAAGGGAAAAGTTCGAAGACATAGTCTTACTAGATGGACACACATCCTCATGTTGATCATGCCTGGTGATCGTGGTGGACAATGAATAAGTCATTAAGTCACTAGTACATCATTACGTGATTATTGGATATCATGATGTAAGAATATGTTTATGTAGGTGAATCAACAAGTAGGAACAAAAAAAATTCATTACCTCTACTTCTACGAAGTTCGTTCTGTTGTAATGAACTTATTTGAATGACAATGGTGCACAGAGAGATGGAGAATAATCATGCTAATTAATAATTCTAGACTTGTCGTGGGCAGAAGAAATAACATACAACTCAGTTATTATTTTATACAATTGCACAAAATACGATACAATAACTGTTCAACCTATACAGTGCGAGACAAACAACGACTCTTTCTATCAAGTACAGCTAAAAACCCAAAAATATCTTCATTCCTATCGATTTCGGTATCTTTTTTTCACTCTTACCCCTTCATTCTAAGTCTCTAGCTCTACTTCTACATGCAATGCTCTAGTAAAAAGCCATCCGTACAACAACCACGCCTTCTATGTGTAGTTCGTAGTCACGTAGAAGCGCCGATCGAGAATGAAAATAGCACTACAACACTAAAATTAGCAGTTCAAGTTAGTCGTGTTAGACCTGTTAGTTGTGGATGTGGAGGTACGTACTTTTTAAAGAAGTAAAAAGAACAAACATTAGTACAACAAGGCGGCAATAAGACTCTGTACATTAATTTGCCCCCGAATTATATTCCCGATGACTGCTATTCCCGATACTGAGTACCTTTCTAATTGAATTTTGACTTATGTTGAATGACTCTTCGCGATTTTTGCCGAAGAGGACCAATGAGTGATTATGGCCAGTAACAAATAAAGCATGATGAACAGATTGAAGTTGAAGCAACAAATAAAAAATAGCAATAGTTTTACTTACTCGAAAGGCACTAAAAGAACTTCTAACTAAGAACCTAACTCTAAGTCTAAGAGCTACTCCTCATCCAAGAATTCGAAGAGACCGGCGGATCATATAATAGTAAAATTATCTTCCGATAACTAGTAAGTACGCATAGCCATTTACAACTATCGATATCCATTATAGCTTTAGCTCCTCCTCTATTAATGCTAAGCAGGCCTCCACCACTTCTTAAATCTACAAGACTTGTATCAGGCATGTGATATCGTCGCTGACTTCACCACCAGTGTCGTCCATCCATCTCTGATAGCTTTCTCTGCAGATGGCTTCCGCAGCAGCGACTGGTTCCACTTTGCCGTTTTTACCTTTATGCTTATTCGCCATTTGTGCCACTTCATCACAATCGATAAACTCCCAAACGCCGTCCTGTGTGTTGTTCAAAACGCAGAAACAACATGAAGATCTTCATAAACTACAACGTAGGACTAGGACGTTACATATATTTTTACCTAAAAGTGGTTGTAAACCCTCGCAGGACGTTACATACAAAAAAAAAAGGAGTATGAAGATGAAGTTGTTGAATAAAACAATCGCGATATTCTCAGACGATTTATATATAATTCAAGATCAGTACACTCATCGCGCTATTTCTCGACTAGCACTTATGAACAAAGCAAGCATGCATTATGATGTGGCCCGACTAGAAGCAGTACCGAACAGAGCATGAATGATGTGACGCCAGGCATCTCCTTGAGGTTGTAGCATTTGTAATCCGGCGTCTCCACGATTCCTGCTTCTTTGTGCCCAATAATATCACCCATGGCGCGGGACATGTTCAACCCTGGATACACTGTTCCACGCTTGAAGACACGATGGTTGTAATACCTGTTTAATGTGTGTAGATATGCTTGAAGACACGATGACTGTAATTTATCTGTGTAGGGTAAGGTTGGACGTTGTGGTATCTGTGACGAGCGAAGTGGTATGGTGATTTTTGCGATTCAGTACAACGTCCGGGGGGATACTAACTTTGTTGTTGCAGTGTTCTTCGCTCAAAATTCTTACTTCTTGATGTTTTTACCACCAGGTTCATATAGCAAAAGTACCCATCAAAGATGACGCAGCCGCCCGATGATTCAATTCGGCGTTTTTCTTCGGGTGTTTCCGGCTTATGGTCGTGAGTCATCTCCTGTCCAGAGATCTTACCTTTTCTCTCGAAAACCAAACTGGCCCTCGAATCCCCGCAGTGGGCGACGTGCAACTTATGGGAGTCATCTTGTCCTGCCACTTGCGAGAGACAGCGGTAGGCCATGGTCGCGGTTGTGCCTGACGTTCTGGCGTCGATTTGTCCTGACATCTCGTTCTCCAACATTTGCTGTGCTTTCCGAAAGCTGTTGTGAAAAGCCTTTTCGGTGTTGGTGTCCCTGTCGGGATCGGATAAGAACAATTTCACCATGTATTCCCTGCAGAAATTCGAAACGTCGTGACCGTTGATACCGTGACCTGTGTGGGAGTGGCAGCGGAGAGATGAAGACCAGGAAGTCTTCCAGATGCTTGCCGTTAGAAGATCACAGCTGAAGATAGAATAGTCAGGAGAAGACCTACCAAGTAGAAAGTCCACAAGTAGTAGAAGTTCAAATGAAATACCGTCGAAAACGCCATACAAAGTGAACTCGCCTGGGCAGTGGACAAAAGCGTAGCTGTCTTGGTTAGGAGCTTCCGGTTTCATACCCTTCTTACACCCAATCCCGACACCTAGTTCAGTCAGCTTGTCTTTGGTGCACGCGTCTGGGTCACCTGCAGTGGTTCGTTGTGGGTTATGTGGTTTCAGAGTCGAAGATAGAAGTAAAGAGTTGAATCAATGATAAATCTGGTGAATATTAACGAGTGTCATAGTCATGCATGCTTGTCGAACTACGACGAAAGTTTCTATACCATCTTTTCCTTGTGTCTTTTCGGCGAAACTCTCCTGGTTCGCACTCGTTTCACTGCTTATTGACACACGGCCTGTCGACGTCTTTGCTCCACCTCCTTGCCTGTAGTTTTTAGTTCGTTATCCAATTTTTGAAGTAAAGATAAAACGGTACTTAATTTTATGTCAATATTTTTCCTATGGGCCACGACATGATGAAGAACAAGAATTACAGTTTTTCGACCATTCAAAAAATATCCATATCATCTTCAACATATCCTAAAAACGGCTTAGTACGCTGGCGACGGGCCTCCGACTACGGTACAAGCACACGCGAAGGGATCGTTGGCCTTCATGAATTGGACCAGCCCACGATTAGTTGTCGGACGTCCTCTGGCAAGCTTCGTCGCGTCCGGCGGCGCGCTTCCACCCGCATCTACATTACTCACCGTCAGTCTTCTACGCTGTTCCGCGAAGGGAAGTGGCCTATCCTTCGTGTAAACCTGCGACATCTTGGAGGAGTAGAGTTGCTTGTCGTGGAGAGTTTCCAAGGTGGCAGCTGTCGTGTAGTAGAGTTCTCGTCCGTGATGTCCTTGTAGTTCTACAACTGCTTGTTCTGCTTGTTTTATGTACCACGCCGCGTTATCCGTTTTCCGCGGCTGCTGCGTTCCTTCACCAAAACTAACTATGATTGCTGGACGTAGAAAAAAAAAGTGCGAGTCACGGTTCTACCTAGGTGAATCGTCGATCAATGATGAATAAAAAAGGAGTGCTGCCTCACAAAATGTGCGGTCGCGTCAAAAAAAAAGCAAAAACGAGTCTGCGAACAACAAGCTACAAAGATACTCTACTCAGGGTTAGGTTCCGGTTCGTCTATTCAATATTCAACAGAACTAAGGTGGCTAAGCAACTATAGTACTCTTTGGAGTTTGGAGATGCTGGAGGTGGAGGGATAATAAATCTGAGTTGAAATCTGAGGGATAATAAATCTGAGTGCTCCTTCATGCGTCTATAAAATGTGCTTACTTATTAACCACATCAACAATGTTGAGTCAATCAAAAAGAATGTTACCCAAGAATCCTCGCGGGGTCTACAAGAACTAACTTGATGTAGTGTCAAACGAGGAGTACAAGCCTGTGTAGTGTCTACCAAGATAAATTTTGTTTGTGGAGGAGAATGTCGTATGATCGTTAATTATCTCTAGATACTTTTAGGTGGGCTAACTCTCGCTATCGCTATGCGCGGCATGCGCTTCGACGTAATATAACAGAGGCAGCCTCTAACAGATAAGGACGTCACCAGCCTCTTGTCTCTCACAGACAGAGATCTCTCTCCACCAGATAATGTTGATGATCTTGCACCTCAAACAGAACATCAGTTAATGCACTTGTACACTCGTGACGCAATATGTACTCTTCTCTTGTTACTTGTGCACGACCGTTTTCTCTATACATAGTAATCTCGTCTCTTGTCACTCCACTCGTGTAAGATGAAACAGATTTCGTTGTCTCAACTTTTGGGAGAGTGATGAAACTCTGCTTAGCATTGACTCTACTTTCCTCAGAGGATCTTAAACCCTCTCCTTCACGCAGCATCAGCAAGAAGATTCAGATTCAGATTCAGATTCAGTAGTAGAACACTCTAACACCAGCTGCTGCTCACCCACCAAAGGTGCGATACAACGCTTGGACGATAACAGGGACTTATAGTATCTCGCCCAAGTGTTGTATCTTCGCACCTTTGGCGGGTGAGATACTCTGACTAACAATAGAAAACCTTTACGGAAATCAATTTCCTTAAGCAAGCTCCCTAAGGGAGGCTCTTAAGAGATTCAAGCCAGTTGCTAATGCTATAAGTACTAATATCTTAGTCGCATCAAGCATCTAACTCCAACATCATTTTCTTGAACATCTGCTCTCAACATTCCAATTGGAATGAATATAATTGATGTGTGCGATTTATTACGACTATACTAAAAATGGGCTAAGTATGGATTTGGATATTGACTATGCTAATTATAAACTATGCTAGATAGGTTGTTGACAAGAATAATAATCGGAAGAAGAATAGGTGGAACTAGAACTACAACTACAAATAGATAATAATACTGTACAAGAGTGAAATAGTCTTTATCTGAATTGCATTTTATTTTCGCATTAACAACACTATGATGATCTTGTTGTAAGTACCTACGTGTTTCTTCGTCATCCAAATCTTTTTTGATTCAACGTTCTTGTTGGGTCCTTTCTAGTGCACCAAACCTCGTTGTATTTCTCCAACGAGATTGCAAGATCTTCCGCAGTGAACGATCCTTAGAAGTACTACAATTCATTGCTTGCTAACAGGTGTTGCTGGATGTTAAGACTCGGACTACCAGTACCATGTCTTCTTCATCGTCTTGTTCTCCAAGAACTGCTTCTTCTTGTCCACTAACAACAAGAAGCTGGTAGCTCCTGTGGATATGATAGGATTTGATTCGCCGTCCACAGTTTGACCTGTAGCCTCAAGCGAATGTGAGGCACAAAAATTCCGAGCAATAAGTGCCGAGATGCTCGACTCCTCGCAGCTGCAAGGAGTACAACCAAGTACTTTATTGAGTAAAAAGTAGTTGTACACACACTCGGCACTTCACCAACCACTAACGCGCTTGCTCAAACCATTTTGCTGTTGCTCAACCTCTGTAGTTCCTTGATGTTAACACTCACGATAAACGAATATTAATTTGTTTCTTTCCACCTTCCTAAATAGTGGCAGTGGCTATAATATACAATAAGGCACATCAACTATTCGCTAGCGCTACACAATAGTTATAGTATGGATGGAAAAGATACGGAAAACTTTAGATGATCATCGATATACTTACAAAGACAATATAGACGAATGTGTTAGTGTTTACAGGACTCCGCTGTTAGGTAAAAAACTGCTGTGTTAGAATGTGAATGGTTATGAAGATGATATCGTCGATAACGATATCGTCAACAACGAGCTTGTAGTAGGGGATTGAAGAAGGTCTCTGGTAACCTAGAGAAAGAGGAAGGCGAAGGCTCAAGACGCAGAAGACGTTACTAAGCCTTCTAGTTAGGAGGTGGAGTTCTTGCCAGTAGCAGATATGACGACTGCTCCGGAAGAGAGGGTCGGTCGGATCGTACTGAAATCGGACGACGAGACGGGGTCTACCGTAGAAGCGATTTTGTCCCCGCTGCTGCTATGCGTCAGGCCTGCAGCTCCAGTCGTGGGCGGGGGTGCAGCGAGGGACACGCTGGGCGCCTGTTCTCCTGGTGCGACCCCATGCGGATCGATCGCGGAGAACGAAAGTCCCACTCGCGCTCCACGATCCTTGGCTATGGTCGTCACACCCAACGAAAACGCTGCTGGTTGCACTCTCTGATCTCTACGCCAATCAAACAAAACGCCTTTCTTCAAAAAGGGCTCCAACAAGGGCAATCCGAGGTCTGCGGACACGACTGGGCTACTGCTCGTCACCTTCATCGGGAAAACGTAGGTGTCCACGATTTTGATCAAAGGCAAACCTGGGAATTCTCGCTCGATTGCAACCTCGGCTTTGAGGTCTCTTTCAGGATTCAGCGAACTTTTCCACGCTTTTTCCTGGTCTGTGGTGGAATTGGAAAGGACAGAGACTCCAGCAGTGCCATCGTCGACTTGGATGCCCTCATCATCCTCTTCCTGAAGTAGTAGGTCCTTGTTATTGCTCCTGTTCTTGTTCTCCCTAGGACCCTGTTTTCCGGTTGTGGAGCTAGATTCAATGGTAAGCGTGGACCCAGAGATGACATTGCTTGAGGAAACAAAGCTGCCTCGCTTATCTTTCCCTGTCATTGGTGTAGGTCCTGCTGATGTAGGTCCGTTACTCAAGCTAGGGCCACTCACATCGTCCGCCGAGCTTTTTCTTGGCGCAACACCAGAAGTCGCATTTCGTCCATTTCCCGATGGAGAGCTGGATCGCCCAGTACCGTCTATGGTATTTATATGCTGTAGCCTGTTCCCCTCACCACCAGAGTTTTTAGGTGAATTCTTCATTGTCGCTGCCCAGGCCGGAGTCGGCGTGACACCTGCCAGCATGGACACCCCTAAGAATGCTTTCGGAGTGTCGCCGCTTTGACCTTCAGGTGGTGTTTCTGCACCGTCGTTCGCCGCGTCTACCTGGGACTGCCTATGCAGGTTCGCCGGGTAGCCGTGGGTGATTTGCGCCAGAGTCTGAAGTCGAGTTTCCGCAGTCAACGGTGCTGGAGGCATAGCCCAAACAGGCTGTCTATCGCTAAGGGATTTGCGAGTGACGCGATTCTTCCGATTGTTGCACTTCTCGGCTTTTCTAATAGCGTCCATGTCGTATAAAGGCGTTACTTTAGGAATCGCAGCTTCGTCCAAATTGCCGTAACTGGTGAAAGTCTTAGCCCGACTGAAAACAAACTTACCACCTAGACTTGGGTCACTCGCGTTTTTTGACTCCTTGGAACCTGATGTGCCTTTGCTCCCAGTGGTCTTTTTACTGCTTGCACCTCCCTTCTGATCATCATCCTCTGCCCCGTCTTCAGAGGTTTTCCTCTTCTTTTTCTTTCCTGCCTCGTCTTCTTCCTCGCTTTCAGTTTCATCGTCTGAGTCTTCGAGAATGATATCGTGTTGAAAATCTATTGACTCCGGAACTTTCGTCGGAAAAATGTACTCCTTGACTGAGTCCACGCGGCCACTCGACCCAAAGAGCTCGACCAGCGCCGCATTGTTGTGGCCCAGATGCTGTAAGTCGAGCCGTTTCAATACACGACGCAGCACTTCTTCGTCGGTGCAACGAGGTGGCACACTCACCTCTGGTGGCTGCCAGTGATAAGTTTTTCCCTCCACCAGCATCTGGTCAGATCCGATAGACAACTCTCCCGTCCCATCATACTCTTCTGCCCCGTCGCTGCCATAGGGGTCCCCATTTCTGTTCTTCCCGCCTTTGACAGCTGCATGAGCAAAGATCGAAGCGAGACTTGCATTTGGGTTGCCCCCTCCCGTTGTCCCATTCGTCAGGAAATGGTTAGCCGCATTGTCCCCGTCAAGGTCTATTCCCTCCAGCTCCCCTTGCAGACCAGTGTCTACAAACGCGCTACTCCCGCCACTACTCCCGCCCAATCGACCTCCCTGCTTGGCAAAGGACATCCGACGGGCCCTAGTAGCCATTGAGCCGCTGTCACCATGTTCTACTCTTATACCGCCAACTCGCCCCTCCCCTGATGCTAATACGTCATCTAAATGGCCAGATGAAGTAGAACGACGATTTTTGGAATGTTTCCAGTTTCCCGTTGGCTCTCCTCCAGGACCTCCTTTCTTCTTTGCTTGCCCGAACAAGAAATGCGATGACAAAGCAGCACCAAAGCCGGCTACTTTTCTCTTCTCGTCGAAAGAGCTTCCTACTCCACCACCTTGCTTAGAAGTATCTTTCTGAGCAAATGCAAACCCCATGTCCCTATTCATTCCAGCAGCGAAGGCTCCAAAGTCTACTGGATTGCCAGAACCTCCTGTTGGATCGTCCAGCATACTTCCGCGGCCACGGCGCGCGAACTCGGGTGGGTCTAAGAGGGGCACGCGCTCCATGATCACCATGCCTTTGGCGTGCCCATTGACGTGCACATCGGGAATGGCTCTTGCGCTAGCACCTGAAGACGCCGAATCCGGTGGCGGCGCCCTGATTTCGAGCCGTGCGGACCTCGCTACGCGACACAGGAAGTCGCCTTTCCAAACGAGAGCGCATTTCAGTTCTTTCAATTCTTTCAAGAGCTTTTCCTCCCGTCCGCTCTTAACGTAGATCTCCTCGTACTCGTCCCCCCCGATCTGCTCCTCAAAGTACCACCTCAAAGTCTTAGCCGCGTCGCCAATCGAGACCGGCGCTTCTGGCAGTTGTTGGAAGTCCTTCAAGGCCTTGGCGTTCCGATGTTTCACGAGATACAAATGCAGGGGTAATCGGGGGATGCAGCCCGACGTATGGCTGTTGTTGAAAGTAGACGCGGCTAAGCTCATGCTAGACACCATGGCGTTCTCGTCCTCCTTCTCGCGGAAGTCTTTAGCATCGAGCTTCGCAACGGCAGCTTGCAGCATATCCCTAATATCGCTCTGTTCCTGGTCACTATGACTCTTCACGATGTACAAGATGTCCGTAGGGAGATTGTACTTCGCTACAAGAACCGTTATCAAGGGGTCAAACTCTAAATTGCCACTAGAAGGGCCCGTACCGTTAATGCTGCCACTGTTTTGCCTACCGAGGTTGCTATCAGAGGGTCTCGCAGGGACTAATGCTAACTCATCTGCTCGCATTTGCACCAATTCCTTGATTTCGGCCAGACTATTGCTATACGTGCCATCCCCCTTATTGTTATTTCCAAGTTTTCTCCTACGATCATCGTCGGCATCGTCTCCTCTTGATGAAGATGGCGACGCGATCTCAAACGCCTCATCCTCACTCATGCGCTTTGGTGCTTTCATCAAGCCTGTGGGGTTCCGTATGCCTAAATGAACGCCAGCTAAGTCTACCATTCCAGGAGAGGTAGGAGTATGCCTATGAACTTTTTTTTGTTCCTTCGCTTCCGTAGTCCAGCTCTTCGGGAAGCTGAAGATTCCATTCACCTTTCGACTGCTGTCGCCGTTTTCAATACTTGGTACGTCATCGGCAGCTACAGATTGAGACGAATCGCGGCAACCACCTCCACTGAGGAAATCTACCCCATAACAACTCTCAAGTCTTGCCTTTAAGCCTCCTGGATCGGTCGAAGCTGCTAACTGCCTACTCCGCACTGAGTTGGAACTATGGCTAGTAGGTGTAGGCAACTGCTTGCTCGAAACTCCACTGGGACCAGCCTCGTTATCTTGGTCTTTAGAAGATTCTTTCTCCCTGTTTGCGCGCTCGTTCTCGTTGGCCAAACGTTCGCGTTCAGAGTACTCGACCCCTCGAAACATCGTGTAGGCCTGAGCACTGGCATCAAGGATCTGCGCAAGCGCATCTACTGCGTAGACCTGACACGCTTCTATCAGCGCATCACTGTCATCTACCCTGGCGCCGTAGGCTAGTAGTCTGGCCACAGATTCTGTCAGATGGTTCCGCACAGCGATTGTCATTGGACTCTCGCACTCGCTTTCCAAACCTGCCGCGCACTTTTTCTGCAGTAGCAAATGTACTATGCCCTCGTGTCGCAGCTTACACGCGTAGCCTAAGGGGGTAAGTCGACTTCCGCTCCTGTTCCTCGACGCGCTAGATCCGGGTGAGAGCTCTCCGTCATAAGCAGATCCTCGTTTTACGACTCCGCTAGTTCCTATGCGCCAAACCGCTAATGCCTTCTGCTGTGCCTTCAAATACGCACTGGTGAGCGTTCTCTTTATCTTTTCTCCAGCCGGCGTTTTCGTGCCCTCTAGCATCAAAGCCGCTGTCCCAGCTCTTGTCATCGCCCTTTTCATCACCGCGCTCGCAGTGGAATCGCTTAATCCTGTCGAAGGCCCTGCGCCGCCCCCCGTCAGCATGTTCATATGCGCTGCCAGCCTTGCTGCGTCCGCCGTTGCGGTCGCCTGGCAGCTCTCATCGAATATTATGTCTGAGGGATCGATCTTCTTCGTGATCAAGAGCGTGTGCAGCTTGGTCGTTTCCCCAGCCCGAATAAAGTGGAAAACCTTACGCGTAATGTCGCGACGACTCTCCTGCTCACGTGCTTCAGCCACAGCTCCAAGATAGCTCCAATCGTGAGAACTCTCTAACGCGCGCTTGGCACCTAAAACGGCACTGCTGCCGTCGCGCCAAACGAGGTCCGCGTCGAGACCCTCACTGCCCATCCACATGACGTGCCAATCCCGATCCTCGAGAAAGGTGCTCACTAGCACAGAGACCATGGCTGGTGGAAAGTGAGAGATTAGCTTATCGGAATCAGCTTTTCGAAGTAATTGGACCCGCAAAAGTAGTTCATATCGAGGGCGAGAGAAAGAAGGGGTAGTGCAACAAGCCAATGCCTGAGTCAGACACGCCTGCCAGTACTCTAACTTTGAGGAACAAGGATGGAAATATTAACTACTGTTTTTTCATCTTTGACACTACAACTCTAACTCTTTTGTATTCATCTTGACAATCAACATGTGAAATTAAGTAGTTTCAGAACGCAAGAATCATCAAGTAAAAGAATTTCTTGACAATGTGAAATTCGTTTAACTAAGTATGCAAGAATCGTCAAGTTGATTGGTTCTGGTATTTGGTAACCTGAGTTCGATCCTAAGGGAAAACAAGAAGAGAACCCTTAGGATCAAATTCAGGTTACCAAATACCAGAACCATACACAAGTAAAAAGTACCACATAGCAGCAGCGGCGCTGTAAAATTGACGACGAAGCCAACCTTACCCAAGCCGGATACAAAGTAGATCACCAAAACACCCGTGACCGGCATCCGATTGTTTATGCTCGCAAAAACGCCTACCATCCCTAGAATCGTGCATATTCTAAGGCTATCCGCTTCTGCGGGAAAGATGTGCTCCAACACTGTCATGACGAAGCCGCCGTAGGCTGCACCGAGTACTATGGAGGGCAGCATGGTTCCTCCGGATCCCCCTATGCCGGTTGCGAGCACCATATTCACGAAAAACGCCACGAAGACTATAGCGTAGTCGCCGACTTCGAGACACGTCTCAGAGCTCTGCGCCATGCCGTTCACTGTGAGCAACTGATAATTGTTTCCTGCCGCACCCTCTGTGCTGGACCAGGCGGCGATCATTGTCGTGCCGCCACTCGAGAAAAACTCTCGCTGTTGTGCGGCTACTTGGGCATTTAGGGCGGCTTCCGACAAGTCCTTTTCAATCAGAGCCCATTCAGGACAACTATATCGCGTTAAAATATGCGACACCACGTCGTAACCACCAAACAAGCCTGGGAACGTCAACAGCGGCGCAACACCTCCAGTAGACCCCCGTCCGCCAGATGAAAGCTGCACGGTCGTGATATACACAGCCAGTGCTGCGACGCCACTTGTGAAGAGACCTACTGGGAAACCAATGAGTGGTCCCCACAGGTAAATGCAGAACGTGTCTATACGGCTTCTAATCGGTTCCCAGACCCTGGCAATTATATGCCTTGAGCAAGCTCTCCTACACCTTCTAGTGCACAAACAGGAACAGGACAAGAGTTTTGTGATAACACCGCCGCCAGGCTCGCCGGATGAAGATGTAGTCGACGACATATCTGAATCGCTATCTCCACTATGAAGAGCCGGTCTTTTAGCCGGGACTGGATCGTACCCTGTCCAAGAAGCGTACGTCCCCACATTGAAGAACTCTCGTCTTATCTTCTCCCTCAGTTGCTGTTCAGTGGGGTCAACCTTTCCCGTCTCTTCTTCTCCTCTACGCCACTGACTGCATAGATTCCACCCGGGCCGCTCTAAACACCACAAATGCACATGGTTCACACATGTGGAGAACGCGAAACTGATAAACCCAGACCCCACACCCACTACGAAACCTAGGATCTTCGCACCGAGCGTGAAATCAGTGGGCATGGGGATTGCAAGACTGTGCCACGCGTACTGGTAGTGCGTTCGCACGTTCTCTCCGAGATACTCTGTGAGCAAATTGGCACTAAAACCCGCACTGATAGCGGCTATCCCGACCAAAATGAAGCAACCGTTCAATTTTCGCATGTCCATATGCACTAAGGTTTCAATGGCGTAGACTCCACCCGCGATTGGGTTCGAAAACGAGCAGCCTACCCCACTCGCCATTCCCACTAAGATCCAGGTGGTGAAAGAATCAATGCTAAACTGATCCGGGAAGCGCGCCCGAGCGAACGTCGCCAGCGCGCTTCCACACGCTCCAGCCACATGCCGGAAAGGGCCCTCGACATCTGAGGATTTTTACGATGCAGATGGAAAATCGTTGCTTTGATGTACTTAACTGCACATGATCCGTTTCTATTTCTTGTCGAAAGTTTGACTTAGCTGTTGAAAATATGCACGATTCTGGTTGTAAAACAATTTCAAGCAACATATTAATTGAACAATTGAATATAACATCAAAGCTGCAAATCTAGTTCTTGGTACCAAGCACGCTCCCTATTCCAGCGTACACCGCCGAAAGGGGTCCTCGCAAATAGATGACTTCTGAAGGGATCCCAGCGCATATAGCCATGTGCACGTTCGTCGCGATAAAGCCGTCAGCGATAATATGCGGAATAAGCGTGCGTCCCTGATAGAATTGTAGGATAAGAAAGGTTTAGATGGCAAGAAAGGTACTTCTAAAATTCCTCCAAGTTCAGCTGCTTCAGGTCATAGTTATTAACTAAAAACACGTAGTACCAGAGCCACAGCCGTTCCGCTAACCAGCGTTGCCAGAGCCATCCACATCGCGTAGTAGGTGAACTTCCGATCTGCTTTTCCCTTAGTGCCGTCCAATTCCACGACCCACTCTTCATACCAGATTGGTAAAACTCGACTAGCAAACAGCGTCAAACTCCACATGGCACCTACTAAAAGACCAATGAGAACGGAGAGGATGATTTGCAGCGCCACTGAGATCGGAGACGCGGAAGCTAGTGTATCGACAGTATCGCCAGCCATGTAAAGGATGTGTCCTTCATCCCGCAGAAACCACGGCTTCCCTTTTTTCGTTGCAGACGACGAGTCGTTTGACTGTCCATGAGCACCATGATCGTCATCGTCATTCCCGTGTCCAGAATCCTGTTTGTAAAAGTTCACTATGCTGCTTCGCAAAGAGGAAAGCAACAAGCCTGAGTTCGTTCTTTTTGCGCCTATGCCACCAGGAGCCTTGCTACTCTTGGAAGCTCTTGTTCCACCTGTCCCACGACTCGGGCTACCATGATCTCTTGAAGCACCAGCTGACGTCTTTCCAGTAGTACCTGCTTCAGCATCTTCACCTGAAGCGGTACTGGTGCGACGAAATCTGAAATAGCTTGACTGATTATTCACCAAATCGACGTCCTGTTCGCTCCTTCTCTTGTACATATTGAATATACTTCCTCCTCCGAAATTTTGGGCGAACCATTTCCCACCACGAAACGTCTCCGAAGGTGATCGATCCCGAACATTCCCATTGCTTGATGAGGAAACTCCTCCTCCTCCGGACCCATGATTGGGCTGAGGAGCACCTAGGTAATCAGGCGCCATGTTGCCGTTTGCTGTTGTACCAGTATCAGAAGGAGCACCAAGGAAGCTACAACTGAACAAAGGTTTATTTTTATTTCCTCCAGTGGTCGTCCCAGGTTTGGAGAATTCACTAGTTGTCCCTGGTGGCGGCACAGTCGGTAATTGTCGAAGGTCGTCTGCACTTTTGATGGCAGAGGTCACGTCGCAGCTTGAAGCGCCAGGGTCGCGAGAACAACTAGGAGCTCGAGGTGTGTTATTTGCGCTAATATTGGGAGTGACCGGAGCAGTCGAAGATTGTCCACTCACTATCGAGGAGGCCGTACTTGACGATATTACCCCTTGGTGCTGATGTGGTTGTACTGGAAATTTCAAGAAGTTATTGTTACAACTGTTGTTGTTTTGTGCTGGAGGGCCTAGTAGATTCGGATTGATACTATGCAAATTCGGAGGTGGAGGACGTGCTCCACGACCGTTCGAAGTGTAATTTGAGTGGTTTTGATGTTATGTGGATCCGCTGCTCGAACTGGCAGGATTTACGTTCCTCGAACTACTTCGACTGATATCAGTACTCGCACCAGCACCAGATTGTACTTGCACGCTTTGGGCTTGTTGGGGTATAGTAAGCGAGTTCTTTGAGTTTCTCGAATTTGCTTGTTGCTGATGTTGCTCGCTGGTTAGTATGGGTACGACGGTGGATGAAGTAGCCTCCTCGTCCTTTGATGAAGACGGGAGCAATGAGCCAGGCAATGGCAAGGCTTCTTCTGCAACCGTATCAACTACCACTTCGTGAACCGCCAGTGTAGTTGTATTAATATCTTCTCCTCCTTCTGCCTGAGCCACTTCAACGTGGAACTGAACGTTTGCTTCTGACCTGGCGTCTTCTACGTCATCTCCTGCGATCCCTCCTCCTGATACCGGCAACATGACTGAAGATATTCTTGAATATGAAAAGCATTGCGCATGAATTTTTCAGTGTGATAAGATTGAAATTATGTTCATCAAGAAGTCAAGGATATTGGATATGCATCGATTAATTTCAATGAATAAATTGGGTGGATAAGATACATAACAAATTTTCAATCAATCATTCCATCTCAGCCTGGCCATAGAGGCCCTCGCGAAGGTCTTGTCTTCCACATAAATGATCTTCATTTTCGTCAACAACATGGCGTTCATAAGATGAATACATCAAAAACAGAATAAAATAAACATGATATTATGGATGGGTGGAAGCGAAAGGGAAAGGGTAAAAATAGTTAGCACTCTGTCTAGTAGATGAAAAGCCAGGCGAAAACGAGATACAAAATACAAATCAAATCTCATTAAAATGGGAGCCAATGGGAATGGGACAAGGTTGGGTGGCTGTAATTTTTTTGAGAGTTATGATATGACAGCAGAAGAGATAAAAATCTACTACGTCCAACTCACACACTCAAAACTCTACAGACACATTTCCAGAAAGAATGCCTATGACCACACGCTCACTACAGAATAATTATCAATATGTGCATCATTGCTCTGTACACTCATCATCGTCTATCTCAAGAACCGCTCACAGAACAGGCAGGGACAATTTCAATTTCTCCTTATCTGAGTAATATTATAGCTTCTCATCTCTCTCTCTGATCGGAGAGTACAAACAGATCTGTAACCAGTGGTCTATCTCTCTCTCACTATAGATACTGAAGGAGAACTAGGAAACACTCATGTACTGCACAGAATTTCACTCGATATCGCTCGTATGCAACAGGCACAAGGAAGTCGATAAATCAGAATCAAGTACTCGTTTAGTGTCTCTCGAGCATGCTAGATTCAATACGGCACAACTCACGGTGCGAACACTTTTCTGCTTGGGATTCATTAAGAGGTCGTGAGCCAAACCATGATGTAAGAATTATAGCTCTCTTGCATAAGAACTACTTGTCCTTTTCCTTCGAGTGAAAAAGGAAGATATCGATTTCCTTAATACGAACTGTGGCAACGTGCCGAGAACGCCGTGGTTATGACCCAGCAAACTTTGCAAGATTCTTGTGCATTGTGGTCACGCTCTTGTCAATCGACACCGTCAGTGCGTCGAGTTGCATATTGGCAGCCCTCAAGATTTCTCGCATCTCCGCTTGCTTCTTCTCCATTTGCTCGACTCTGGCTTCTGGTTTTAAAGCAGTCTCGTCTAAATGTTACACCTGAGAAATACAAATATTAGTGTGCAACCTCAACTACCGTCTAAGTATGCTATTCTTGAAAACCTATCAGTACCATCGCCTGCCATAATATTCCTTTTTCTTTTGTTTGGTACTCGCGTAGTGTGGCAGCGCGCTGCACCAGATGCGGCAGGCTACCGCTGACAGAGAATATGTCCTCCGTCACACGGTACAACTGCTCTAGTTGGACTTCCGGATCCTCCGATAGTTCGAGAGTCTCTAGATTCCCTGGATCCTCGTCTTCGCTTGAATCGTCGCCAAAGAAATGCTTGTCTTCCCCATCACCTCCTAGGCTTTTTATCGTAGAAGATGTTGAGGTTGACCCCCCAGTACTATAAAATAAGGCTCCTTTTCTCTTTTTACCAGTGTAGTTCTTCAAGCGGTTCTTGTTCGCTTTTGCCTCTCTTTGTAAAGCCTCCTTTCGCCGCTCCTCCGCAAGGTGTCTTACGACTTCCTGTGTCGCTGGATCAGAGATCTGCTGTCGTAGCTGGGCAACAGATCGTGTTACTGCGTCAACACGGCCAACGTCGAGTGTTCGTAGGAGAGAGGAAAGGCCTGTTGCAGTGTTGAGTCGAAATAATCAGCCTAGAGGAGGCAGAAAGGAAACCTGAGGCAAGAAAGAACAACAAGTTGATGTCGAAGATAAACGAAAATTTAGAATGATGTTGTAAAAATGCAAATTCTTGTACGTACTTAGTAAACAAAACAAATTGATACGTGTTATCCTAGCGTGTATTGGTTCAGCATTTTCGTCTGGCTCCTTCTTTCCGAAAATCCGTTTCTCAAGTTCAGTCACCTGATTCTCTAGCAACTTTAATGCTGCTGTTGTGCTTCCTTCTGCCCTAAGGTCTTCTTCCTCGTCGAGATAGATCTTGTACACTTTGTTTGGTGTCGTTGATGTAGCTGGACCTCCTTGACCTTTTCCATCTCCTGCAGGTGTTGAAGAATTCAAGCCCCCAACTAAGCTAGTATCCTGAATTCTTTCCCGGCACGCTTCCAGACTCTGCTGTAAGCTGTCAAAAGCGAGTTTCGAGTTTCGTTCCTCGCGCTCTAGCATGAGGTCGATTCTCTTCTGCTGTTGTTCGTCCTTCCTTCTGTTGCGAGAGAGATCAGCAAAAGGCTGCTCGAATGCCAGCTTCGGACCTGAAGACGCAGAAGAACTTCCGCCAATAGCCATTGGGCTCTCCTCGAGTAAATGCTCCTCTTCCTCTTTTCGTCCGTTGTTGATTAGATCATGGCAGCCATGGTCCTAAGTAAATTTACAGTGATGAACAAACGCAAATGATCATCAAAAACGAACAACATCGAAACGAGAAGATGGAGTAGAAGCCTTCCAACACAGCGTACTATGCAAGGTCTTGCAGAGGAACAGCTCATAACTCAAGCACTTCCAACAACGTATTCACCTCACGCCTCATGGCTTCGAGTTGTGCGCGACTTTGGACGCCAGTCAGTGCTATTCCCTCGTCATCCATTTCAGCTGCAGCATCCAGAGTCTTCTTAAACGTGACCAGCTCATTCTGCAGTGTTTCGCGCTCTTCACGTCGTTGCCGCGGGTTTTGCTCTACCTTTTAGATCATGTGCATGTTGAAGAAGTAGATGGGTTGGGTTAACTATAAGTAGTACCTGGTCTTTCATCGATGATATGTTGCTCCTTCTTGTGAAGCGAACCAGCGAGATTGAAAATGGACAAAAACATCCACCTTAAAAGTCCTTCTGTTTCGCAAGCGCTCGTTTCGCCCTTCGTTGTTGCGATGAAGACGACGTCGACTTTTGTATCTTGTTTCCTTTGTCTTCAACGCCAGCAGTAGCATCCTTCTTGTTTGAACTGTTTGAGGTAGCTGGCGCAAAATGCAGCGTTGCATATTGAGTGTCGTGAAATCGTTGCAATCCTAGTTGCAAAGAAACCGCGCTTGTGTCGTCCAAATCAGAGCCATCTCCAGCGTCTGGTGCGCGACTTGTTCCATTGCGTCCACCTTTCTTACTCCTTCCTCCAGCAACTCCATCGCCCTCGTCCTCCACTTGTTTGAGAGCCAAAGATGAACTCTGCTCAGGCCTTTCGGGCGTTTCGAAAACCTCTTCCGCATGCCTTCTAGACGAAGCCGTCAAGCCGAGAGAACCTTGGTGAAACATACTCATCATTCTCAATTTCCTCTATGGTTTACCTATTAATCTAAGTATCTTCTTGGAAAAAATGACTACGAGTTTAAACTAGAAAAACAACCAGTTCCTCGAGTATTAACCCCTATCAAGTCCACCGTTTTTCAGTCTCTAAAATGTTTCTTGCTAGTGAGTGTTCAAACCAACGAACTTGACTAAATCTTCACGATTGTGTCTTCAACTATGAGCATGAGGATCGCATTCACGTCACACTATGCACAACAAGCATCTATTATTAATAGAACAATACGATGAACAACAATGACCACAGCTAGTGCTAGTGGGTCACCGCCAGCTGAGTGCAATGTATCAGCGAAGTGCAAGCAGAGTCCTCAACACCGTTCCAAAACTTCAAGTTCATCTTTTTCATGGGAATGCTTCAGAGGACATCTTACTTCTCAGCGTAAAAATAGTAGGATGGAGTGAGGAAGACCAAAGGGTTTCGTTCTCAGCGTAATAGACATCATATTCTTTGTTCCCCCTATGCAGATACTTATCACATATTCAACATTGTTCGTGTTCCCCCTCCCCCGCCATAAAAGCTTCCACAGCTGTGTTCATCAAGAAGGGCGCTGTTGACCCCATCACGTTGATATTAGGGTCCAACTCCTTTGCCATTCCCTCAAGGATGATCAAAGAACTCAACAACGCGCCAAAATGTCCTTCAACCTTCAAACGGTGTGAGGAAATGATATCCAACGTCTGCCTCAAAGCACCGCCAACGTTCACTTTGTGAAGCGGGACTCGATTCAGCTCTGTGAACAACGCTCGCATGTCCTGGACACAATGATCTATCAGAATACTCCTCCGAGATCGCCGTCGGTCGAAAGACTTAGTAGGCATCGTGGTACAAGTCGGGGATGTGGTGGCTGTGGACGTGGACGACGAAAGAATGGCATGTTGATCAGAAGTATGACTTCTACAAGTTGTAGTTGAAGAGGAACAAGCAACCTCCTCGGAGGTCGTTTTAGATTTAGTGGACCCCTGCTGCTGCTCCTTCTCCTCCCGTTCCCCACCTACACGACAAAGCCCCTGCAGCATTTGCGCGCATCCTTCTGTGTCGCGTGTTATGATCCCTTTCACTAGTTGCATGAATTTCCGACGATCGTTTTGTGTCAACGCCGTGACCATCCCCACATCAAAGATGACCATTTCTATGTCCAAAAACCGGTGTTCCTTCTTCCGAAACAGTCGCAGCGATCGTTTCTCCGGGTCTTCTTGTAGGGCTGTTGAAGATAAGGATGTGCTCCTACAAGAACTTGTAGTGTTCGATCCAGCACTCGAGTGAATGGCTCCGGTATTTGGTACCCTGAATTTGATCACAAGGGTTCTCTTCTTGTTTTCCCTTATGATCAAATTGAGGCTATACCAAAGACCGGGAGCATACATCGAAGGCAGGGGGTTGTTCTCGTCGCTCCTGTAGATTCCAGTATACAACCCGAAAGCCTTGTCGATGCAGAACTGTGCGGTGTCCAATGCGGTATCTGTGATCTCGATAGAGGCAGATTGGAACGCATTTCTTGCGAGAGATCCGCAAACGGCAAGCCATGATCCCGTATCTGAGGAGGAGGAGGAGGAGTCGTCGTCTGGAGGTTTCGGCATAGTGCTGAATAATGAGAGACAGCTGAATGATGAGGAGCGGTTCTTAGTCGTGTGGCTTTCATCTGACCCACCTGCAGAAGTTGTTTTCTCACTGGTCATTCTGGTATGATCCTGCTCTTCTTGCAACTCCATCTTCTTCGCCGGCTCCACTCCCCCGTGCTTCATCTTCACCCCTACGCTGCTCCTCGTCCCTCGGATTTTGGATCCTACTTCGATCTTCAGGTCTGTCCGCTCTTTCCGAAGTTCTTCTCGTCGGTCAGTCACTTTGAAGAACAGATTTCCACTGTGGCAATCAGCATGGACGAAGTTGTGCAAAAATATCATCCGATTTAACACCTGCATTCCTAGACGAGCGAGCTCTTCGGCATGTTAGAGCAAGCACAGTAAAACTCACAGCGGCCTGTGGTCAGTTCAAGGATTCGTGTAGCACTATATTGCATTAGAAGGAGGAGGGATGCTTCTGCCCCAGGAGGGTACTCATCCAATCAAACTACGTAACAAGCAAATGAGATCCACATCCATTTTGCTCATACTTGTAGCTTTGCGGGTTTTCGATGAAATATGACAACGGCTTGGCGTCGACGAACTCCTCGACTAAGACACGCTCAGTCGCTGCAAGAGGCCTCGGAAAGGTCACCAAAGACGCTCCCGCTGTTCTTCTTGTGGCCTCCTCATCGGAGATACCGAATTGTTGCCGGAAGATATTCAAGTTTTTAGCTTCGAGAGAGAGGTCGGTTTGCTCCACTAGAACTTTGCGGAACTCGTCAATGGTCACCGGCAGCTCCATCCAAGCGTGAGGTGAAGAAGTGAAGTTGGGCAGGAGCACAACACATGCGGACGAATTAGTTCTCATGCTCTGATTTTGATTTCTTACAACTCTGTCAGAGGCGGTTCCTCTTGGATCCTGAAACTGAATATTGAGTTTGAGTACTAGACCTACAACTTGAAACTGAATGTTATTGAGTTTGAGTAGAGGACCTACAACTTGACAACGCTCATCTTCCTCATATAAATTCTTCTCCTTGTCCCATACAAATGGTTCGAATCTGCTGACGAAGGTGCAAAATCCATGCACTAGGGAAAGGTCTGTATCCACCTGCTCTCGGACATCGGGATGTCGGACTTTGACTGCCACAGGCCCAAATCCTTCGACCTCTGCTTTGTAGACTTGGGCTATGCTACCGCTGGCGATGGGCTCTTTGTCAAAGGAAACAAACTTCAGAGGGCGCGAAGATGTAGAAGAAGATGTTGAAGAATTACCTTGTTGATGCTTTTCCTCAAGAAGATCTAGTTGGTCAAGATCAACCCCTAAATCCTCAAGTAAGATCTTCTCGGTTTCGGCCCATGGATGTGTAGGTACGTTTTCGCGCAAGTAGTAAAACTTGTCCGCGATGACGTCTCCGACTAGGTCACGACGATGAGATATGTACTGCGCTACCTTGATCAAGATGGCGCCAGAAAACTCAAGACTCTGCGTAAAAACATCCAAAAATTCTTCAGGTCGGTTCAGCATATAACACGGCAACGCAGTCAGGATCGAAGGCAGAAAGACCCAAGTCAATTCGCATATGCGAAAACACTGTCGCAAAAAGGATTCTAGGGTTTTCTTGAGCAAAGAGAAAGAGGAGGCTTTTGTTTTGTCTTTTGTACTAGACGATGTCGACAGAGAACCATGATTTTGTGGTGTAGTGGGACTCCCACCTTCATCTTTGAAAGTCGTGGCCGCATGCGTCATCTCGTAGAATTGCCTTCTGAGTCGCGCACGCTCCCTTAGCGTGTTATACTCCGCGGCCAGCAAGGCTGAAGCAGCGCAGCCCAATGCAGTCTTCTTCTTGTGTCGCCACGCGGTGGCTGCGAAACGAACAGGAAGGCGGATCATTATTGCGGTTTTGATGTCTGCCGTGCGATTCTTCAGAGGGCGATCAGGAGTGTGAATGCGTGAGAATTATGGTGGACTAGCAGTATGAGCATGAGGTTTGTGGAGTCCGTTTTCCTAGTCAGCATTCGATGCAATTGGGAAGACTAGTACAGCAAGGCCAAAGACAATTTGCAAGATGAAGAAGAGGAGCAGCACCATGCTTCATCGATTTACGCTGTCCACGACAGTATTATCGAAAATACAGCATGATGCACCTTGGGTTTTAAGGATGCACATCGGCCGCATCGTTGACGCAGACGGTGCCGATTGTCAGGATGCAGACAAGCCCACAAAGCAAGATCGGCTTCCACTGGCCTTGGAGATGTTCGAAATCCACACGTTTTTCCATCAAAAGGCGATATCTGTGACGGTAATCCCAAAGACAGCCAAGTGGCAATTAGAACTATGCTAGTAAGTGTAACGGTAAAAAGCAGGTGGTGTTGCAGCACTTCGGTATGCATCTACTTCTGCAATCAAGGTTGCCCCTACTTGAGGACCACTAGTTGTTAAGTACTGCTGCCTCTGTACGATCTCTCGCAGTACAAACATGTATCATACGAAAATTGCAACTACATACTCTCCTGTCCGAAACTATCTCCAAGCCTTAAAAGAACGAAAGCACTGGAAGCATGAGGATCTTTCCGGCAACTTGAAAGTTTTGACTGACATGGTTCATTAATCCCACTGCAACAGAACCAAGAATTGTGGATACAGTGCACCAATCGATCAATGTGCGTTCATTAGCGAAAAACGTCTTCGGCTCGACACGCACAATCACCTCACGGGCGGGAAGCGCAGCAGCAATCTCGTCCTTCTGTTTCTGAGCTCTCATGATGACTGATGTTTGTCAGCTCATTTTATTGGAATATTGGGATGATTATGGGGGTTGTGGCTGTTCTTGTTGTCGTTTCCGTTGTCTACGCTGGCGAGAATTAAATCGAAATCCAGAGATCAAGTCAGACAAGGACAAGATCTTCTATGAGTGCGCAACGTTCTACTTCAGATTTCTCTTGTCATACATCACGTCCCAACGATGCTGTGAGACGAAAAAGTCACTCTCAGCATTGCGTTCGAGACACCCAACAAGTAAAAAGCGTTACAGCACTCGAGCCTTGGTGCAAAATGAACATTGTTTGCGCTTGTAACAAGACTTCCAAGCCCCTTCCCCCGACCAGCTGTCGAACGGGGGTACTAGTTGGTCTTGGTTATGGTTGCGGTCTTGGTTGCATATCACGACGTTCTCTCACATTCATTGCACGGAAAAAAGAATTCGATCATCATCATGATCAACATCAACTACTAAGAATACTCCCTGTAGTCCACCTTCATCCATCCCTACAGTCTGCCAACTGCTCCTGCAAAAGGGCGACCTCTTCCTGCACGGCCTGGCAAACAGGAGACATCTGTGGCCGACTAGCATCGCACTTTTCTAAAGCCGCTAGCTGAGACTGCAACTTCCGGATATGCGATACGAAATTTCTCGCCTCTTCATTGTCTACTTCATGCTGCAGCATCTCCATGACATCATGTTGATGCGGTTCTTCAGTCTCTTGTTGCTGTGGTTGTTCTACATTTCCATTGGGGCTATGGTTCTTGAGACTGAGGAGGCTCTGTTCTTCGGTGCCGGCCTTTTCAGCTTTTGCGGCAACTGCAGTGGGCCTCTCGTGATCAGTGGCTAGTACAGCTTTTGCTTCCGCCTTTTTCAAAATTAGAACATGAGTCATCGATTTGGATGAATCCTTTTCATAAAATAGGTCTGAACAAGTAGTTACAGTCAAACAACTAGTATTTAGTCCATCTTCCGTAAATTTTTCACGGCGACCTTCGCTTTCACGACAGCTTTCTTCTGTCTGAGTTTCTCCTCACGTTCGAGTCTTGCAGACAACGCCTCAGCTTCCTCGATACGGGATTCTAGAACCTGTGCTTGTTCTCCCAGAGACGTCATCTCCTCTTGGTACAATTCTTCATCTCGCTTCATATCCTCTTCAATAGCCTGTGCGCGCTTTTTAGCTGGATTGTTGCAGTTCAGAAAAAGAAATCTCATCTCATCCATGATTGCGGTATCCATGATTGCTCTGTTCTGACGCACCAGGTACCTCTCTATCGAGACCAATGCTAGTCAGCAGCAGCACAAGGAAAAACTAGTACCTTCCTCCAATTTCATCGTCTTCAATTCATAGTCGTCTTTCGCTTTTTGTGTGTCGCGATTTTGTATCCTCAATTCCGCAAGAGCTGATCGCAGATCTGCATTTCGCGCCTCAAGGTCGTGTTTGCGACGGTCCCAAGCTAGCGCATCTTCATCCGCGAACCGCTTGACACCCTCTAGTCGCGTCTGCACCGACAGCAGAGCTTGTGCCACCACGCCTACCTTCGCAGCTGACTCACGGAGGAAAGCCCACGTGTCAAATGCGGTTTGCTTGGTTGGACCATATGAAGCGAAAAAGTGTGCTCATCCTCAAGAAAGTAGGCACTTTCTAAGTAGGAAAGAACCTCTTTTCTTGAGTCTGAGTAGACTTTTTTGTGTCATAGACCAGCAGAGGCAGTTACTTTTTCTGGCGCTGCAGACGACGTGGATCCCTGGATATAATCGATTCCAGGTCCTGATGAGACAACAACATCTTGCTGAGAAGAGGCAGTCAATGTGGAGCTACGACTTGATGAAGTCGGTTTCTCTCCAACTAGTACTTGGTTCTCTACTTCTTGAGAAACTTCTTCTTGCTCCTCAGTTGTATCTTCGTCTTCGACAACACCTGGTTGACTACTTGCGCCGGATTGGAGGACGGTGCCATCGTCTGCTGTAACATCAGTTCCGGCGCTCACAAGACCCGCCTCGTCACTGTCTGCGGCTGTGTCTAGCGCTTCACCTATATCGACGTGATCGCTTTCGCGCTGCTGGAAAAACGCCGCATGCACGGAGGACACGGCGGTGCCACAGCAGAGGGAAATGACAGCCCTCCTGGCATGGACGATGCTAGACGGGTGATACCCTCGATACCACCCGCTGCCGTGGGACATCTTTACCTCATGGCGGGATTCGTCAAGTAACTTCTAACTTTCAAACTACATACTTATCTCCAGTTAGCCATGTAATTTTCGAGGAAAGGTTATGATTGTTAGAGACGGGTTTGCTGACATTTCTCCGCAAGTGTAACATCGTCGCTCTTTTTCCAGTCTCGAGGACACGGACGGCAATCGCTACGTGAAACCCTAAAAATTCAGGTGTGCCCGGCTCCGGCGAACATAGGAAGAGATTTCGCATTGGATTCGAAGCTGTTTGAGGATCTTCTTCTACACAGAAGCCATTGGATAATCCACACAGATCTTCAATTGTAAGATTTCCATCTTGTCTTTATCTCTTCGTCCCTTTCGACGCCGCCGATGTCTCCACCTGCGATGCAGCTGGCGGACTTCCACCTGACGGAGCTTTGGCTCCGAAAAACATGCTAACCGGGGGCAGTGAAATGCCAGAGCCGAATACTGAATAGCCGATCGGAAGCGTCCGCATGCCGTTTTCTCCTCTGAAGAAGGTTCTAGGATGTGGGAAAGGTGACCGTGACGATAGCCCACGAATCTGGGTTGCAGGAGTTACGCTCAGCCGGTTACGACATTCTTTTTCCAAGGCCTTTAATTCGTCGGGAGACAAGGCCTGCAAGGCCTCAGCCAGTCGAACCAAATGAGCAGCGGGCTCTCGATTCCACTGTTTGGCCTCGTTGTTTCGTTCCGAGGAACACGATGCTGCTGAAGAGGATGCGTCTGCGTCGGCGATTAGACGGTCAATGCGCTGATCCCGATCCACGTCGTTGCCCTCCGACCCGCGCACTGACCGCAGCGGCTCACGTGCCCGCTGCCAGGGAACTACAGCCCCGACATGCTGCTGTAGATGCGGGCGGACTAGAGAGCGAGACGCTGACGATGCTGCTGCAGCCATTTTTCGTAGGTTAACGATGAATCAAGAACGAACTTAAGAGCTAGGTCTCGTTAGGGGACCCTGACCTACCATTGCACTCATGATCTCCCTTGGACACTCGCGCTACACTGCATTCACAATCATTACGCCGACTCCGTTTTTGCTCTACCATTGGTCCTGCCACTCAATACGGACTATATAGTGCTCTCCTCTTTGGTCTTTCCACTTCAAGTAAAAACATTAGCGGGAGCCTCGACACGGTCCTACGGAGTCGCAATAATCGCATCCCGGCGCTGAATCCGGCTCTTGCTGAGCTCAAGATCTATCACGGCGAGCTTTTTCTACATCATACTCGAAGCCGCAGCTCTTTCTTGATCTTTCAATCTTGATCAAAGTCAGGTAGTACTGCATGCTAGATTCTGGATCTCCTGCGGCACAGGAAGAATCATAATCTTAATCATCAATTTCGGCTAAAAGTTTTCTAGAAAGAATTGGTCTATCTCACATCAACAACATCAGTAGAAGTGTATACATCATGTAAGTCGATCTCCTCTTTTTTCCGATTCCAACGAGCTGCGGGTCATTCTTATATCTTCCAATAGAAAATGAAAGTTGTATGATGTGACATGCGGCGAGGAGGAGATTCGTTATCAAACCATCATTGTGTGTACATCATAAGGCGTTGATATGTGTTCATCTATGTTCTAAATCTAAAATCTTCATTTTTTCAAAGTAATAATGCAGATGCGAAAAACCCACCCCCATCGCAATAGGTTTCTTCAATGAAATGTCTTCCTCGTTATTGTTCTGCCATCTCCAACGTTCCTCTTCTTCCAACACCAATCATGGCAGTGTGCCCCAACTAGCGAAGAAGTACTGTGCCTGTTAGACCAGTCCTAAGAAGAAGACGCGCACCGGTGGAGATGACAACTCCTCTGATGACAACTCCTCTATCTTTATCCTGAAGTATAAGCCACGTCAACTGCTTAGCGTCGGCGACGAGAATCACGACGGCGAGAGTCGCGGCGACCACCTCCGCGTCCACGGCCTCGAGAGTCACCACGTCCACGACCACGGCTGTCACGTCGGCCCTTGCCGCCACCCTTGCTGCGCGGGGGTCCCGGGCGCGGCTGTAGAAGATTTAGATGGAAATGAGTCATTGGGAAATTCTACATGAATGGAATAGACCCTGTTTAACTACAATCTCGATCCATTATCTACATCGACATCCATAGTCAGATGATGTTGAGTAGCAGAAGGCTTAAGGGTTACAGAGATGGACACTGGAAATCCGAAATTTTCAGTATTGTCTACGATCCCATTTCTTGGAATAAAGGATGCATGGTCGATACATGGTCCCTAGATAAATCTCCGTGTAACACTTCGCTGTAAAATTACCAACGAATAGATCACAGCTCGTCCTACAACCACTAGTAAGTCGAAATCCCTACGCTAAAAAATATGTAAAAATCAAAGAAGTGCAGTAGTTGTACTAAAACTATTACTAGTATTAGTACAAAAGAACAAGAAAGAAAAATATATTTACATTTTTCATTCATTCATTTACATCAAAGTCTAAAAACCAACAAAAGAATCAAGAAGTACGTTCTTGACTTCGACCTTGAGCGGGCGACCGAAGAAGTCATGTTGGTTAGCCTTGGAAACCGCATCGTTTACGTCTCTAGCGTCAGCCAAATGGACGAACCCATATCCGCGATGGTTTCGGTCAGACGCGTGACGGGGAAGGGAGACCTGGGAGTCAGGGTTGTGAGGTTCAGGTGAAGTGTGGTTGAGGTGAAGTGTGGTTGAGGTGAAGTGTGGTTGAGGTGAAGTGTGGTTTAGGTGAAGTGTGGTTTAGGTGAAGTGTGGTTGAGGTGAAGTGTGGTTCAGGTGAAGTGTGGTTCAGGTGAAGTGTGGTTGAGGTGAAGTGTGGTTGTTGCAAGGTTCGTTGTCATTGAATTCGATTTTGATGTCACAAACGGGAAGTGAGCATAGTGCTCTTATCTAGATCGAGACAGTAGGAAAACAACTGTTCCTCGATCTCAAAATCATTCGTATCTTCTCCCAATCTACCTTCAATCATGATCTAAAATCTCCCCAACGACCTTCTAATCCAGCAAAAAGTCCCATGTTCATCAAAATCGAGTACCTCAGTCAAATCGAATCCGAATCCGGTGAAGAGCTTCTGGACATCGTGTTCGTCAGCTTCGTCACTGATGTTGGCCACGAAGAGAGTTCGGGACATCTCCTCGCTGTTGCTTGGGTGTCCACGGTAGCCAGCGGGCTGATGTTGAGTTTTCGCGGAATTGCATTTAATGTTTTCGATGGAGTTCTTCTTGGAGGAAGTCTCTATTAGATGCTGATGATGCGGTGGTCTATCTACGATAGGAATCGGAAAATATCATGTTGTGAGTAGAAAAATTGTTGGATTTTGTTAGGACAAGATTCTTTAGAGATGCATCAAATCAAGAATAAACTAAAGAAGTAAAAAGTACCTTTCTGTCCCGAGCGGGGGAACGAGAGCGAGATCCGGAGCGACGCGACATTGTTTCGTTCGGATTTGCGAAAAGGTTTGAAGTCACAACTTACAACCGAGAGAATGTGAAGATTCTTTAGTCTATGAAGTTGGGTATTAAATAGGAGACAAATGGAATCGAAATGAGATAAAGGAGAATGACAAAATGATATCGAAGGAGATAAATCATTCATATTTAAAAACAACAGAAAGCAGATAAGCAGAAAAACACAGTTTGGATACGGTTTAGTGTAGCAAAGAAAGAGAAAATCAAAAAGACGAATTGCCGTGCGTGGTTTCGGAAATTGAGGTATCGAAAGATTCGTGCCGGTCGGCCGTGTTAGCAGGTGAATTAACGTGTTTACGGTAAGCGATCAACACCCGGGCAAGAGACGCCGTCGCGATTGTTACGGTACGGATAGAACAGGCCGGTCGAAACCCGTCTAGATACGGAAGATAGAGGATCGTCGTTACGGTTACGCTCGTCTATTTGATCGAATGAGTAGCGGATTTCTTCTTCTCGTCTATTTGTTTTCGGTTCAACACGGAGATCCAACAACATCTTCATTCGGCGAACAAAAAAATTATTTGCATTGGGAACACGATTCGAGCATCTTGGCCGCCGAACGGAATACGGCTCTTTCTGAAACACATGGCAACGGTTCGTCGTGCGATTTCCGCATCGACCGCTCGCCGGATGTTGTCCAGCGCGAAATCAAGATCGTTTCAAAATTCTAGAACAATCGCCGGACAGGATCGTTTGATTACACGGACATCGGTTCGATAGCCTCTGCGCATGTCGTAGATTCGAAAAGAAACTATTTTGTACATCGCACGTTACCGTTCCGAACAAATGAGCCGAACACTCGTGGCGACCACGCGCACCAGCAATTCCGTGCGTGATGAATTGATTCGGCCGCCAACGTACGATTGGTCACGCCACCGTTTCATGCTATTGGCTGGCAACCTCGGGTACTTCCATCGGAAGATATGCAGCTTTCTAATTCGGATTTTTTCACTGATCTTCGCATCTAATTCATCGAGCCGAACACATTATCTTCGCATCTAATTTATCGATCGGACTTCTCGCTCTCGGAAGAGGAACAGATAGTGCTTCCACCCAACAACATGCTGCTGTTGGAAATGGATATATCATTTTTGTCTTTTAAAATTTTCAAAGGATCCATTACATCATGGCAGCGCCGCTGCAAGAACGCGGTCCTCTGATCGCTGAAGATATCGCTGATTTATCTTCAAAGGAAAATCGTGTTCTTGTTCCACATTCACATTGTGTTGTTTTTCGGATATGAAAAATTCAAGTTCTTGTTCTTACGTTCAACTTGATATCCTGGCGCATTCGAATGATTGGCAATTTCTCGATGCGACCAGAAGCGAAACGTCCAAAAGGCATCGCAAAACTACGAAGCAATCAGATTCGGACTCAGGCGGCCTCCACCGCTTTTTTCTTCTGCAGCCTGGCGCTGCTGTTTATAAGAGTGGCCTCAGTGTTATCCAGTTCGCAAACTGGCGGTAGCTGGAGTGCATTAACCTCCTTAGGTGGAGGAGCCACGCATCGGAGCCCGGGATTGCGGACAGTATTATAGTGGACAGTGTCGCTCTGTCCTCGGAATTCAGCTCCCCCACATATGAAGGCACTTTTTTGCTTCCCATCATGCCACTTCTACGCAACTTCTCCTGGTTTCTTCGCATTTACAAGCTGCACACACCAACCGGGAGTCATGCCTTCAACATGATGAAAAGGTATCCGAAAACGTCTTGTTCTTCGTGAACTATAATGACTCACATAGGTCCATCTTCTAGGAAAAAAATACAATACAAACCTGCGCAACATTACCATAAAAGTGTCATAGGGCCTCCCAATCTGGAAAAGTTCCTAAACTCCATATTCCGTCCATGTCTATATTCCACTTTAGGAAGTATGTATATGAAGATAATGATGATTGCACCTTGTACTTGTTATTCAACATGACAATATCTCCAAATCGAATATTGTTTTTTCACACTATTTATTCTATAATTCTTGCGTTTGGGTTCAGACAAGAAGCTCGGCAGCCGTCTTAAATGATGCAACCACCAGCACACATCATGCGACCACCGGCTCCCATGCTTACTGACTCGCACAGACTACTCGGACTCCCGCTAGAGTATCATGCACGTTGCCTTTACAATCTTTCATCCGATGTCGAGTAGTTTCTCTCGCTGTCGTGGTCGCGACAACAAAATAAACTACAACAGGAAAAGTAAAGTACATGAACTCACTGCGTACTTCTTAAAGCAACGCGCATCATTTTGTAGCTGATAGAAAAAAAAAGATTGACCTTAAAATGTAGAACTCAGCTCCTGTGAAAGCACATACTATGCTCATTGATAAATCCGAAGTGTAAGACGAGAAAATAGCTTCTAACGTCAAGCGTGTACAATTGCGTAGAACTAGTATGTTGTGTGTAGAAGGCAACAACGAACGGGTATTAAAAGTATCTCACCGTCCTTAATGCCGAAAAATACCAACTTGTTACCTACCCGTGGCTCGCTGTGCTCCTCAGACAACACAAAATTGTGTGTTGGTTGATTTCTTATACACTGCTAATGTTCTCCTCCTGTCCTCGGTTGCAGGAAGAGAAGGTGCCGCTACTCCCCTCTTGCGCATCTACACTACTTGTTCTACCAGAGCTTGTTGATAATTATCATTATTATTATTCTTTCGCGCGCGACCATTCAGAATGATGGAAAACTATAATCCCTCGCGTGAGCTTGTCTGATGAGAAAAAGGGCGATTTCAGAGAATTCGACTTCTTAAGAGTCCTGCTTGGCTGCTTCCGTATCGAAAGAGGCCAAGAAGTGCGGGCCCAAAAACTAATGCCAAACCCGAAATATTGCAGTTCGCGTCTTTAATATCTAACGAGATGGCGTTCTATTATAGTTGTCAAAAACCCTAAACATGTCTATTATAGTTGTCAAAAATTGTAAACATTTAAAGTCGACCTCAACAGTTCTTTGCTACTCGTACGTCTACGCTGGTAATAGAAATGAAAATAGTCCTACCTATTAGTTTTCTATTTCTGTGTCCTATCCAAAAACGATAAACGGTGAAATTTGAGAGCAGCACGAGGCTGATAAGGGGTGCAATGAATGTGAGTAAGTAAGTCAACCACATCTTTATACCAAAAACAATTGTGAGAATGATAGATTATTGTCTAAGGAAATTATAGAACTACTCGGTGTCATCACGTTGATGTAATCGAAATAATGATCAGAAAAATCTTTAGTAATAATGTAGTCAATGCAAGATAGAAGTGGGGGATTTCGTCGACGTCCAGGCTGACAGGAAAGTCAGCTTGTAGCCGGTGCGAAGCGAGGTTTTTCACTCAGCGACGTCTTCTCACGAGTGTCCGTACGTTGTAGTGGTGCTTCTTTCTATTTTTACCTCTGTGTTCAGTCGCAACAACAACAACAACAAAAGTATCGATAACTTATTATACTCAGTGGGATCCTGAACCGATCTGCATGTAGCCCGAATTTGGATCCTACCAGTTCTACTTACGCGTAGCTCTAAATTCTCATACTCTTCATGTGTTGAATATCTACGCATTCGAGCAGCAAGCCTGGTTTTATATATAAGTATCATACTCTGGTGCGCTTGTTCATCCCATGATTGTTTTCATCGATCTCCACGCTGGCCGACAATCTACTCGAACATCTTCCCTTCACCTAAACCATACTCGTAGAGTGAATCCTACCTCCCCGAATCTGGTAATCTTCAATCGCGTTTTCGAGGAGATCCCTAGCCGCCCCTCCCGTGATGAATCTGTCCAATGCCAGCGCTTTCTTCGTGCTCCCTTCCAGCACCGAATTAAGCGTGTTCACGCTGCGAGCCTTGCTTACAACCGCTTCGGCAAATTGAACTACACCCAAGATTCGGTCTGCGAAGATGACGCTGTCCAGCCCAAGCTGATACATGCCGTACACGGCATCGCGTTGGGCGTTCAAAATCAATGAGCAGATGCGCGTCAATATGGCAACCATGCGTCGTTGCGTTTCCACTGCCGCAGAATGCACTCCGTCTGTGTGGGTGTGTGTGTTGTGCTTGTACCAGGTAGATAGATAGTGCGAAGCGAATTAGAAAAGTGACGTGAAAAGGAATTAAGAGATTCTAGCAGGCAAGCAATGCCTTCTAATTCCATCGACCATGATTAGAGAAGAAATCGAAGATCAAGTACCTGCAGCATTCTTCCCGGTCGCCACTACGGTCGTCACAGCCGTTGTAACTGCTGCTTGGATCGCTATGCGCAAGTTGTTCACAGACTCAAACGCCTCCTTCAGCATCTGCGACACAAATTCTACTGGCAACAGACCGCGTATTTTCTCGAATAAAAGAAGTCGGCTCACTCGCTCCGACGCCTCCTCAAGTAGAAAGCCTATCTCTTCATGGAAGGGCACTAGGCTTTTGATACTCTCCCCGTACTGGGACAGCATGCCGCAAGCTTTCCGCAGGTTGACTAGGCTCCGCATATACTGCATCGAACTAGTGATAAGAGTACTCGTTAAGTGGTTGCGGGTTACCTGAGAAAAATTGATAAGTTGATTCACCAAAAAATAAAAAGTCGATGGTGCTGGCTTGCCTCGAGTGACAAGAGACGGAGAGATACTTTCGAGGCATCATGATTCCCTAATCTGGATTCCCTTACGCTGACCTTCAAGAACTACCTCAGGCAATAAGCTTTAGCAAAAATCAAAATAGTAGTAGCATGGTAATTGTAGTACCGTATCCTGCAAGTAATCCCCCACCATGGAGATCTTTTTCCTAAGCAGAAGAATTTGCTCTGGTAGCAAGGCATCCTGCGGGAATTCTAGGAACTCAGCAGTCGTTAATTGCTGTAGCGCATTGAAGCAGTCTTCGTATTTCTGTTGTAATTTCGCTATGTTTTGGTCGTTCACAATCAGCATTTCCTGCTGAAAGTCTCGAATCTTCGTCCTCGTAGCTGCTAACTTCTCCTTCACGAACTGTTCTTTGAGTCTCCGTAGCTCCGCTTGCACCCTATTGGTGCTTTCTCGCACGAGATCTAAGCCCTTGCCCGCACCGTGCTTGTCGCTACTGACCACGCCCTGAGTGCTTTCGCCGTAAAAGCTATCCAATCGATCACAACCGACTAGGCAGAGCGCTTCGGCGTTGCGTTCGATGTCGTCGAGTGTGTGTATTAGACCTTGTTATTTTTTTTGATTATCATCTTGAAGCGCATCTTTGAAGAGCGCTTTTTTCTCTTGGAACCGTTTCAAAGATGCTTCTTAAAATGAATTGACGTAAGCCTTAAGTCTAGTGCGAGCGAAAGCGACTGCGACTTGATAAGCCGGTCTTTCACAGCGTGCAAATATTCCAGTGCCTGCTCAATCTGGTGCAGAAATCGACGTCGCAGTGTGATAGCAAGACCAGTTTCTCCGCACAGCAGTTCTTTTAAGCGCAATAACGCTTCTAGAGCACTATCGTGTAGGCGTTTTAGGACGCTGTAGCCTGTTGTTTTGATGTGGTCTGGGAGCAGGGATGGTGATTTTCATATTCATTGATGACAAGTATAGAAATCGTGATGATGTTGAGGTATAGAATTGCACAACAACATTGAAGAAGCAGTACCTGGCACTTGCGTAGCCATTGAATCCAATATTTCAATCACTTGTTCGCACAAGTTCAAAAACGTGGTCCGGCACGAAATCGCCACTCCGACCGCTGTGTCCTTCATGTCTCTGAGCCCGTCTAATGCCATCTGGACACTGAGCCGATCGCACAAAGCTTTGTACATCTGTTTTAGCAAGTCGTGGCATTGTTGGACTTTACTGACCAATAGATCCCGCATTTCTGGAGTGTCCTTGTAACTCATCGCGATTTCAAAACGCAAGGTCCCAGCTTGGGAACAGGCTTCGTCGTATAGGTCGCGGAGCTTTTCTCGAGGTAAGGAAGACATATTAGGTGCGGAATGGGATCGCGATATAATTTTTGCAGTACTTGTACTAGTAGCAGTAGCTGTTGTTGTGTTTGTGATCATGGCTCCGTTTTCTGGATTCGAAGTTCCTGGTGCCGTAGTTGCATCACTACTTGATCCTGAAGAAGCGTTGGAGGCAGCGCTCGAATTCGTCCTAGTAGACTGCAGCTGATCAAGTTTCGCTGCGGTTTTAATACTCTGCTGAATATGCCGAAGAGTTTTTATGAGTCTCGAAAGAGTTTCCCTCACTGGAGGCGTTAGCGGGTGACTGGCAACCTGATGCAGCAGCTCCAAAGCATCGCTGACTGTACTTCGCGGCGTCACAACGATTTGTGACGACGAGACAACGGGCGTAAGCTCCCCTCCTGCTCCCGCCATTGTTCCCGATACAGCGCCTGGGCTGCTCGACGAATTCATCTTCCCCCCTTCCTGATTCTGTAAAGAGGAAAAACTCAACGCTTTTGTCATGATGGACGAGGACTCGAAGTAGCTGGAAACCTAAGCCTAAAAACCCTAAAATAAACGTAACATTTCAATTACTTAAATGGAAGTACATACTACAACCTGTAGTCTTTATCCTCCCAAAACAACCAGAAGATAGGGAATGATAGAAAAAAACTTTATAAGTTAGTGTCCTAGTTAGTTGAACAAAGATGTATTAAGATTAGCATACAGGGCCCAAAGATACCTTTATCTCCTCAGGGCCATGCCTAATTTCATCAGAAGAAGACTCAAATTTCTAAAACAACAAGACCACGGAAAATAATGTTGTACGTAACCAAGAATGAATCATCTACGTGGTAGACTTCCCTTCGTTCGTCCAACAACAACTGCTGCTGCAAAAGAAAGAAGCATACCTAAATCGATAGGTAGTAGATGATATGACTAGCTTTTAATTTTATGCTACCAGATGTACTATCCCACCACAAGCAGAAGTTCTACAAATGACGTTGATAAGCAATTCTTCTACTTCCTGAAGAATAGAGGAACGTCAAGCAGATATTAATTAAAAGATGATTCTTACTATTCTATCGTAGTTAGGAACAACCAACCGCACCCCAAGGAGCATCAAAATACAACATTTACAACTGCAAACTATAGCTATTCTAGTACAATGTTCTACATCACTACACCACTAAACTAACACCTCGACGACAGACTGTAATGTGTATTAGAATCATTCAATTTCTGCAAGCTACTTCCTAAAAATGATTTCAGACGCTTACGCTTCCAATGGTTTTAATTATTCACCTAATCCTAGATACATCGAACATAAACTAATCACAAGGAAAATGGATAATGAATGTCGATCAATCTTCGACTTCGTATCAAAGTTGCATCAATTTAAAGCGGTGAATTGGAGAAGGTCTAGTTCTTGTAAGTACTATCACATTCATACTTCGTTCTGGAGGTTACATGATTTTTATTTCCGTTCATGAGTACTGATATTCAACCAAGCACACAAGGGAAAAGAGATGTTGTAAAGAGAAACGGATTCCAAACACTTACATATGAACTACAACGTTTCACTCTCCATGGATTCACAACATGTTGATCGTACTGACACTTACTTTTGGTATAGGTATCAAGAATAAGATTGAGTTGATTTGTGTAGCGAACTGAAGATTCGAACTTTAATATTTTTTGTCTCAGTCGTGAAGAAGATAAAATGAAGGACCACGACGCTCCACTACTTGTATCAGGAGGTCTTCCGCATAATAATCGCGAGAAAGTAAGATCAAGATGTTTTATGTTATCGAAGATAGAAAGATTGTTGTTCGGAAATGGAATCGCGTTTATAGCAAACAACTACAAAGTAATTATGATCACCTCCCTCCTTGTATATACCTCTTGTTGATAGTGCATGAAATTTGCGTTTTGGTGCCGCTCTTGGGGGGTGACATATGTTGCTTGGGTAAATTATGTCACGGACTCGTCGTCATACACCACCTGCACAACTGTTATTTAATTTTTAGAAGCAAGCAACATCATGAATGCTCAATCACAGACCACGACATCTTCACCTCGTTATCTCGACGTCTCTCAAACACAGATCATACTGTTCGCATTCTACACTAGCGATCTCGGCGCTCCACTCTTCTACAGAAATGATGCTATTTTCTCTATTACTATTAGACTCGTACTAGCCTACATCTGACGAACACGCTCACTGTGGCATACTCTACACTGAACAGAAAATGCGACAAATTAACTAGGATCATTTGCATTGTTGAAATGCTGTTCTATTCATACTTAGCATTGGATAGAGGCACTCAATCACTCCTCATCTCGACAGAAGAAAGCTCACTCACCGAACAGAAAAATTGATGAACTCACGATGTGAAAGTAAAAACGACAGAACAGCACCTATAGTCATGGTGGTCAGTGCACTGCATATCATGTTTTCAGAGTGTTGTCTTATACTTATTTCTGATTGAGCAAAGCAGCTAATTAAACTCAGCCAGCACACACTTGCGTTAATAGCGGGTTAAGCGTGAGATAAGTGCCAGAACTCATGCGTTAATAAACCTGCTGAAGTTCCCTGGGGTCGTCGGGTGGCATTTCATTTCCTGCTTATATATCGTCTAGGAATACTATAGGATGCGGGAGAACCACAAGTGGAACACAAAGGTTGTGTTTTGGAGCTACGAAAAGAAAACTGCTGTGGTGTGGCCAGTGGCGCGATCTTCGCGCCCTATCGTGAATACAGGCTTCAAACCGATGTGAAGCATCACGCCTAGAAGTCCCAAGAGGCCCGATAGTCCTTGCACGATGGTCATCACGTCGGTGAGTAGACCAAAGATTAGAACGTATAACAAGAACGGTGCTAACGAGGAGCTCGGCCACCTTGACTGTACGGCTGTATTTCTTTGCAGCAGCTGCACAGGTGATTGGCATAATAAATTACCCTTGTTCTTGTATTTGTTTTTACCTTCATTGTTTCCAGAGGAAGGACATTAAAGACCAATAGGCCTCCTGATCATGAACTCCATAATTATAACAGATCAGGTCCCCTAATGGCCGTAATAACAGACAAGAATATACTTGATAGAAGATAGGAGTAGTAGTAGGAGTAGTAGTAAACCCATTGTCACGGGGCACGGTTCAAAGTAGGATAGCCTGTCTTATTCTATCTTCCTCTGGTCTTTGTTTTTTCGAGTGAGGTCTACATAATTTTAAGAACTTTTCTTAACTGAGAGTCGGTTCTCGGACCACATTCCACTACTGTCGTCTTTTTCTTCGGCATCACGATGACTAGGAGTAGAAACACGGCGTGATATATTCCAAACTGCTTCCCTACCTTTTTCTTGTCATGCGAGGCCAGAAGGACTGATATTGTCAAGAGCACAAGAAGAATTAGATGAAGATGAGATGAATCATGATCAGTAGACACGATGGCTGGATATTCACAGGGAAATAGATTGAAATAAGTAGACGAAAAAGGGGAACATGACCGGATCATGATTGATTGATTGATTTCTGTGCCTGGCAAGAGATCTGTTTAATTAAGGCGGGGGTTATTATCCCAAGATACTTTCCTTCATAAGAGTAGGTAGAGGAAGAAGCCAATGCCCATTCCCAGTACCCGGATTTCAGGTACGCTACTGCATACCGAGGAACCTGTTGAAGTCGTCATTTTCTTGTCGGTGTAAGTGCGTGCCGCGGTCCCCTATATTTGCATTCTCCTATAGTTGCTAATCGCGCCGTCTCGTTTTAGCTAGTATCGCGGCTGCAAGAAACGCGTGCTGTAGCCGCCCGGTCGTGGTGGCCTCGAAACTGACGATCATGTCATCTTTTTAGTGTGTCGATGTGGTCTTTCAACATCTCCTTTCAACAAATTAATTTGTAAGTACTTCGGAATTTGCACACGCTTGCCTCTTGCATATTCAAATAAACCATTTTTTTGTTCAGAGTAAGGCTTTCAAAACGTGGTATGCAGTTTTTTCGCTCGTTTACTTTTGGTTTCTTGTCAAAAGTCGCTAGAAGTGTTGGCCAAGAATCACGTGTTCGTGAGTACCCACGCCTTTTGGTGTCTCACATGAGGACCCACGGAATGACTGCACATGATCACATGTACTAGACGGCGTTGCTGGCAGCGAGCCCGCAGCAATAAAACGTAACCAAAGATTATGCTCAGGTCAAAAAGTGACAGCTAGAGCTATGCCAGCGACAGCGCCGTTGACTAACTATGTATAGTAGTAGTAGTAAACCCATTCTAGGGGTACATCATGCTTAATCCTGAGGAAGGGTGGGGTTTAAAACTTTATTTGGGGATGTATACGGCGACAGCGCCGTTGACTAACTGTGAATAAGTTCATAATCATAGGGTCACAACTATGCCACCGTTGACTAGATACTGATCCTTGCCAAGGGGAATCGGTTTACGATCTTTGTGGAGTGGCACTACGGGACTTCCTCTTGCTCCCTTGCTGTTCGCACTTGTTCTTTCACTAAAATCCACATGTGCTTGTGGTTGCTCTACCTTTATTGGCTTTGCAGAACTAGTTTTACTAGCTGTTGTATCTTTTTCCCTAAGCGCAGCTCCAGCTCTATCACGACTGACGACCACTTGTGACGACACTCCCTGAACATTCTTACCTCCATCTCCATCATTCATCTCCCTCAAGTCCAAAAACGAATTGTCCAGGTCCTTAGTTCCTCTATGCCGAGTAGCATTATGCAAGCGTGGCTCCACCTCCACGCTCGCGGGCAGCAGCTTCAATTCAGACAGGATTCTCGCAACATGCCCCGAGAGAGTAAGTGTTTCTTCTCTTAGAATAAATTGAAATTGAAGAAATAGAAGAAATTGAAATTAGAATAAATTATTAAATAGAAATAGAAGAAATTAGAATTTGTGAGTGAGAGTATTTTCTCTTTCTTTATTAGCTACTTACTTACTCCTTGAATATTTGACTTCCTTGTTGGATAGTAGGATTCATGTTCATCGACTCATTTTAAAGAACGATAACGATTTCTATGAAGTTTCCAAGAAAGAAGTTGATAATTCATTCTTGTTATGGATGTTGAAAAACTATAACTACAACTAGGTGGCAGCTTAACTTCCCCTCTCCTGTCTTCTTAGTCGAACTTGTTTCTTTCGGCGTAGAAGCCGCTGTAGGTGAGGACGATCCGCATGCACAGCAGGCACAGTAGCACACGGTGCAACACACTGCGAGTAAGACTAGAACAAACACGCTTGCGCCCAGAAATACTAAACTCAGTGGATCATTCTCCATTTCTAACGTCTTGTAGTTTCTTAAGAAGCTATAGCAGACGTCAATGAATCTGAGCAGATTTACTTCTGATTGTTGACACCGAATGTTGCAAGCACTTTTCCTTGCACTCGCCTCACTCGAACTGGCGCTCAATCTCCTGTAGGTTCTAACGAACAACGGCTTTTTCCCACGACGACACGCAGGCATGGTTGGGTGTTGTAACGCTATATAAGAAGTCATGGGTTCACTGTTGAAAGCAATCATAAGAAGTCAAAGGACTTCTCCTCGTGTCCCAAGACACACCATGTTCTTTCAACAAAAAATCATCACAGAAATTGCGTCATCGTTTCTGCATCATCCCCTTTCTGACCATCTGCCGACGAGAGGCCTATCGGCGAATAGTCCTCCCCTCCTTCCAATCGCAGATCAGACGTGATCATTCCAAAATTAGAGGTGTCAACATTAATCATATTTAATATAACAAGGCATTCTAGCAATAATTCCTGACGTACCTCTAATTTCCATGAAGAATCTTTCCTCTGCCTGGTTCTCAAAAAACACATCCATCGTTCATTTCCTTGGAATAGACTACTTATTCGAGGTTAACATGTCCTCCATGTGGATGTACTATTCGAGGTGAGCATGTATAAACATGTGGATGACTAAATCAACCTTCTTCGAACAAATCAAAATCTACTTTCCTTAAGGTAAGGCATAGGCTTCGCTCTAGCAAATAGGGCATCTTCACCAGCAAAAGCAAGTCGAGAAGCTTTTTCTGTTGTCGAAGACGTGGACGACGCGTCTGCTGATGTCGCAGTAGTTGTACTTGCATCTCCACCAAGAGTCTGCGACTTGGTCTCCAGGACTACGAAGGGCACGCCTCCGCTGCGGGTCCATTCCTGTCCTGTCCACTTTTGTGCCGCCACGGTTAAGAATCTGCCAGATCGCTGGGAATTTGCAGCCACCTCTAAAGCGTCGCCAAGATACGCACACTCCCCTTTCTCGATCAGCTCATCATCTTTCTCGCTTGTGCACGCGTACAATTCGCCCCTGTCGGTATCGCCAATGCGACGCAGGTACCTTTCCGCTCCACCTATGGCACTACCTCTGCCCTTTGTGAGACTGAGCCAGTTTTGAACTCCAGATGAACCAGAAGAGGCATCGTACCGATACTGCCTCTTCAGCACATGTCGAGCTACATCATGGCCTTCAGCTCCCGCAAAATTGTGGAGACCAAGGGACTGGAACGAGGTTGCTCCGGTCATGGGACACAGGTTGGAAAACCCTGATAGACCATTGGTCGTCACCATCTTATAATTCACCTACTTAGAAACAGGTTTTTCAATGTAGTAACGTATGTCCTAGATGTCTTTACAACAGGCGGAAACAACAAAACAGGATTTCTTCGGAATGAAAGTGAAGACAAAAGATTCAATCTTAGAAGGAGTAGATGGTTCTACTATAAAGAACTTTTTAGTTACTTAATTCTGCACATGGTTCCACCATAGATAAAGAACTTTTTAGTTAATTCTGCACATGATCTACAGCAAATCACGAGAATCAGAAAACTCATTTAACATACTTCTGGGGTAGCTTCAAAGACTGTCAGGGGACGACTCTGGCTGTCGATGGCTTGTCATGGCAGATGATAGGTACCTCTCTCTTCTCGTACCGACAAATTCTGAGCAAGTCACAGAGGCGCAAGAGCGCGCGAAGTTTCAGGTGTAGTGATCTTCTGCAAGGTCTACCGATCTTCAGTCCAATTGCTGTCTTTTCTTTATAGAGACTTCAATATCTTAGAGGCCACCGATTCAGAGATGAAGATAGGCACACTTACCCAGAGTAGATCATCCAAGAGAAGCTTCGAAGTAATGCGCATTATGCGTCTATCCCGCGGAGTTCGTTTGTCAGTTGAAAGTTGAATTCTTCCACAAGAAAGATTAAGTTTCCGTTCCAGTGTTTGTGAAGTCTTCACACTGCTGCACACGATAGCAACAACACGAAAACGGAGGATGTGGTTGACACAAGCTCGTATTGTAACGACAGCGATCATAAGCTTCAGGCGATATAAAAGTACCTATAGAGATATTTCGTTCTTTTACTGTCGGCGCCGAAGTTCTATGAACGAATCATATCGATACGGTGTCCTGACCACGGTCGTCTTAGTTATCATAATTCTTCATCCACCTCGATCTCGAATTTCAAGGCACCAGGAGTACTGTCCACAATACTGCGATATGTTGTCTCCATGATCAAGCTAAAATGCTTTTATTTACAACTACTAGTAACCTCTAGCATTATTTGACTTCCAGAGCCCAATGTTGTAGTGTTTGTCGGATCACTGGGGACACAGTAATGTCTGTTTTGGCTTTGCCCTGTTTCGCGCACATGTTGAGGAGTTGATTCTTAAACCGTCCTTTGGGTCCAGCCGAATTCAACCATCGTTGCACCTGCCTCTTGTCATCGGAACAACGGCGACCGGGTAAATGAAGGAGGAGGAGGAGGTGAAGTTGACTGGGTAAATGTATCAATCTCATCGACAGCCTGTTGGGAAGGAGTGATTGACTTTTCCTCGAAGATGGAACTGGAAGGCATCTTGAATAGTAAGAATCAGAAGTACTTAGTTAACAAGTACAGAATTATTATACCTCCTTCATAAAGATAGAATCTGCAATACCAATGGAACCAACCGTAGGGATCTGCTTCGTTTATCCAGCCGTGGCCTTCCCATAAGCGGAATTAGAAGTTTGTGCTTCATCTCATTCTCATGTAGCTACTTTTTAGTTGTACTAAATAGCCAATCTCATGTGGCTACTTAGATATACTTACTTCCTAGCCACGTGTGCGACCACCTACTAGAAGATGCGAATACCTCACTCAGGCTGATAGATGGTGAGTACTAGTTTCAATTTACTCACTCGGCAAAGTGCCTCGGATAATTTTGCTAGCCACGATAAATACATTTTACATGATATTAATGCAACAAAAAATATAATAAATTCTGACATCACCATAATACAAGCTCGCTCCACACTTGACACCGAATTTGTTCATGCCTGTTCGATACGTTTCACTATGCAGCATGCTTTCTGCATCGAATGTCGTGAACTTGTGCTTGCCTGGCGCCGTTCCAACTCCCGGTGGCAACTTGATAGCTGTGCCTGTCTTCCAGCCGATGTTAGAAGAGGATCATGTCTGTGCGATGATATTTCATCTTAAGTAGAAGAACGATGTGCACGTGAAGAAGAAGATTTTTTACCACTGACTGTGTGCTAAAGATAAACCAATTGAGAGAAATAAGACGAAGGAAAATTAACCTGTTGATATTCATCGGATGAAAGTCAAATCCACCATCCGTGCCATAACCCACTGTGCCAATGGAAACTCTCCTGCGACTTCTTTGCCCTTGAGCACGGTTTTCGTCACGCCGGAATGAATATCGCGAAAATAGGTACCACCAAAGCTGCCCAGGAGAACGACCTCTCCTGGTGTCAAATTTGGCTTGAAATCAGGGTAGTCGGCGAAGATGAGCTCGTTACTCGCGTTCCGTGTGGGAAGTGGCTTCCTTGCGGAGGACGTCGTAGAAGTAGTATGAAGAGGGGATACCAACAATAGGGTTTTCTTGCGCACGACTAAGTGAAGAGGGGGATATTATACCATTGCTTCATCAACTTTCAAGATGATCAAGTGAAAATGCGCGAAACCAAACATTGTTAACCTTGTCATGGGAAATCTAGGCGCTCCTCCAGCACGTATAGTAATAGTAAAACTAACTACTTACTCATAAAACGACGATTTCAGACATACAATACAATACAATTTCAATTAATCTCGCACAGTTTTCAGTGCAGACTGCCGTAGTGACATAAGTAGTAAACATAGAACAAAATCTCCTAGTACAGTGGTCTCGACATAAGTCTGTGCTTTTGGTGGTGGACTGGCAGGATTCGGGAAGTTTTCACTTCCAGTCCTCAACGCGTCCGCAAATCCACGTGTTACACCCTTCCCATCTTTCGTTACACTCTGCTTCAACCGCTTCGCCCCTGGCGAGGACGAGGAGCCAGCTCCTGCGCGTTTCATTTTTCCTTATGCTCCATAAAAATAAATGGCGTTAAACAGTGAAGAGTATCAAAGTTGGAATTCAATAGGACGAGATTGATACAAAGAAACACTTTCTACTCGATATAAGAACTATGAAAGATCCATCGATCGATGTAGAACAAGTAAATGTGTAGTACACCTCCGAAGAAAAAAACGATGCTCTAAATATAAAAACAAGCCTACAAACCAAGGACAATGCGAGAGACACATAAAAAGAGAAAGGGGGGTGATCGGGGTTTAAAATGCGAAAGATGCTGGTTGCAGTTTTTCTCATAGGCAGCATTCACAAGAGGTAGTAGCTTTCATCCCTTTTTTTCTTCTAGAGAGAACCACAGATACTGGCTACAGACTCCCACATAATTATCGAATGTCTGCGCCGTCCCCCCGCAACGAGTGTCAATTGATAACACAGATTTTTCTGATCGAACACGACGTGCATCATGGTTACTCTTAGTGTGATTGATCATCGGCATAGTGCTGTAAATGAGGTCAGTGTATCCCATGTACTTATGGAGGCCACGAATTCGATTTCGTTGATGTGCTTGCCATTATGGTCTGGGTATGAGCGAGGGCATTCGTATGGTATTATGAAGATCAAACTTATCATATTAAAAGGCTCGCGTTGAGTATTGCAAGAATAAACACGGTGGTATTGAGTCAGCGTTCTCCTTGCAACACACTATTGATTCATCTATGTGTGAGTGTGAAAATTCTATCTGTCGATTATGCAACTACTAGGTGGGCTACCTTTTACTAATATCGAAGTCACAATTCCAATTTTGTGTAAGTATGTATCTAAGATCCTCAAGGCTGCGTATGCACATTGCGTTTTCAGCGTGTATTCTCCCAAATGGCAGGTCATCAGGATCTCCCAAGCGCTGTCTCCAACCTGTGAGAAGCAAAAAAAGGAATCTTCAGCGGTCGTCAAAATGCCAAGTTCTAGTATTTCTAAGACCACAAATCATACTTACATAAGAATGTATGGAATTCGTCCACAACTACATCACAATAAATTAGTACTCTTCAATCCTGGCGTGAAGGTCTCGCATTTTCTGTTCGTCGAGGCGTGCTGCTTGAGTCCATTTTCGTTGTAATTCCTCATATTTCCCGAGTCTTCCTTTCTGCTCGTCAACAGTAGATTGTAATTCTGCGATTTGTGCGGTAGACCTTACGATTATTTTTTGTTCGTAAGTTCGTCAAAAAGAAGATGTTATAATGCAAGTTGATACTTTGTATGCTGGAGCGGAAACTTGAGTACCTTGTCTAAGCCTTGCACATCTATCGGAGATCACCCTGAGTACATCCTAGTATCCAACAAAATGATGTTTACCTCTGCTGCACTTCTTCTTTCTCCGCAATGAGAGTCTGCTCCCTTTCTCGCGCCCTACTTAAATCCGTGTAGAGTTCCTGCAGTTGCGGACCTAGCGGCAGGTCTGTTTTCGCTGCCTCGTTTGCGAGTTCGAGTTCACGAATGCGCAAATCCTTCTGTCGCAACTCTTCTGCTCCCCTCGACTGCAATGCGATTACTTTCGCCTCCTCTTCCTGCAAGCGACGCTGTAGCTCCGGGATCTGTGAGCGCGTGCGGTGTAAACTAGATTGTAGACTACCGACTTCTTCCTTGATGGCTCGTAGTGTTGAAGCGTCAACACTTATCATGTTGCTCTTGTTGCTGCTAGGAGCACTCTTGTAGTAGCCACCTCCATGATCTTTCTTCTTGAACGTGCTTGACGAACTGCTCGTCGTATTCGCACCTGCCGGACCTCCTAGATTGTTCAACATATTCTCGTTCATAGAAGATGACTCCTGCTCCTGACAATACTGAGAGTTGCCCGTACTAGTTGTACTAGATCTCTTTCTACTAGTTGTAGTGCTCTTTTTGCGCAACAAAGACGAAACTGTTTCAGCGTTTTTATGTGCTTCCTCGTCTTCTACACCTCTATTTTCACCTGAAGGATCTTCACCGGCTGACGCAGTTGAGCATCCTGGGGGACTCGAAAAATGACCACCACGACGCACCGTCTTCACGAGGTCCTTTGCATGTTCCTGAAACAGCTTATCAATGGCAGGCACAGCTGAGAAGGGAGCTCGTGATGTCTCGAACCCAGCTCCCTCAGGATAAAACCGTAAGGCCGATTGAGACGATGTGGCTCTGTGGAGGAATAATTGAGGAGTTCGTGAAGTCGTGCGATGAAACTTGTCGTGAAAGAAAAGATGACTAGTCAGTGTACTTTTTCTCTTCGGTTTCGAGTTCGGGAAAGCAGGAGTCTTAGTCCTGTTTCATAAATCTAATCAAGGAGCAGTACCTACTCTCGAAAAAGCGTTCCCTCAGATGGTCTCCAAAGAGGCGACGTAACTCCTCCTTCGTTTCCTGCGCGATTTCCTCTTTTTCTGGCTTGTTAGAGGTGAGGGATTGTCCTTGGAGAAAAGGGTCTGATTAAGCTCATGATCCTCGCATTGATACGTTAACCATCACAAATTGTACAACTTAGTAGAGTCTATCTTCTAGCAAACAAAATCGATCAACATCAAGCCTCTACTGCGACTTAACTTTTTTCCTTGCTTCTTCTGCTTTTTGCACTGTGCGTTCGCGGCTTGCTCGGAATTCTCGCTTCTTCTCTGACCAAGGATGCCCGTTGGACAAAGCTTCACTCGATCGTGAACGATGCAATGGTCTGCCAGGATACACACGACCCTGGAAGCAATGGCCGCCACGTGTCTCGTCAAGCAAAACACGTTCGGGATGACCAACAGCGAGTTCACGATGACGTCGAGGTCCTGTTTCAATCTTCTTGCCGCTCGTTGTGCAGAGGAGAGAATGCTTAGATGAGGTAGTAGCAGTAGTAGTAGTGTACGCAGGTCGTGGTCGGAAAAAACAACTTCTAGTCCTCGTGTTCTTTTTAAAATTTGAAGATGTGCTTGAATGATATTAAATCTCGATAATATCAATGTGTCTTTTGCTCGAAAAAAATGACTACTGTAACTTACACAAAAATGACAACTTACTTATGTATGTTAACTCTGCGATGTTGTCCTCGTGATGCTAGCTTCCTATGTTGAAGATCATGTCCAATTAAAGGTGCACAACAGAAGCATCGGAGACGCGTCCCATGCAAGCAAGACGCCTCAAACAATGGACCCATTTTCAAGATTAACATGAGGGGTGTACTATAGCCTAGACTTTCTTTGATGAGTTTGACTTTCCTAAACAAGATGATCATAAACTCATTGTTTCCAGGCCCTTTCACAGGTGAAAGAAAACTGCTTTTGTAGAGGACGGGGCTTGAGATGGGACTATGGCGATAGCACTCCTCGAACAGATCTTGCCACTTCAACGCTGTCGCGACCTGCCTGAACCCGACTTCCGTTGTAGTCGCGTAGGCACTCTCTGGGTCGCCAGGAGATGAAAAGGGTCGTTATCTACTCAGGGTCTTTCAACGATCATATTCATAGGTGGAAAGGGAACATCCTAAATGAATGAATGAATGTGCCTAGCAGGATACTCGACAACAAAAGCACAAACCTGAATACTTGATTAGGGACGGGTATGTAGCCTAGTTGTAACTCTGCATCGACAAGAACAATCTTTTATTCTAGACCAGTTAGTAAATGACAGCCGACATAATTCATTCAAGTGGCATTTCCATCAAACCATAACAGATGATGTTTCCCTGTATTCAGCAAGCTTCCTACACTCGGATCGCGCTCGATGCCAGATGGGAAGCCTAACCTACTGTTGTTCGGATCCCAATGATCGGACGTTTTCGCCGTCCCCTGAAATAACCCATAAGGTTTCCGCGTCAACCCAGTGGTCTCGTCACGTTCACCATCTTGGGCACGCGCGTAAATGCCGGGATGGAGTTGCTTGTTAGAGATGGGTCAAGTGGGCGTGGGGAAGAAAGCTACTCACTCACCGTGCTAGGGAAGGTTTTCGCTGCAGAGGACTAAGAAATTAAATCTTCTAATAGAGATCACTGTTATTATTAAGATGAAGTAAGAGTTGGCAATCACATAGATACTGGCGCAACCTATATTTATCTATAAGATTATTGAGGATGTCCTAGTTGTCCCTTTGTCCTTGTCCTCAGGCTCAGGCCAGTTCATGTCCACGCAATATAATTAATTACTTATAGAGAAGAACAAGTTCCCGCCTTAATTTTCAAACTCGACACGTGTTGTAGCGTCCGTCCACCGCCTCGAAAGGGACTGTTCGGTGATGTAGTTCTCAAGCCATCCCATTTATCGTGTTCTCCTTCTTCACTTTGTCGCGTCGCGAACAAGTTTCCGTGTTCTTCGCCTTCAGGATTCACAGCAGGTCTCGGCGCGTGCTTTCTCTGAGACATCGTTGGGCTTTTCATCGACACTTTCCCCCCTTTTGACGTCGAGCACCACCCGCTTTCATGAGGATAAAAGGTTTTTGTTTCGCCTGTGACACGGTTTTGAACCTCAACTGTGCCCTTATAATCGGGGTATAATGTAGTCGCGACTTCATCACTGTAGAAGTACGGTGCTGGTGGTCGTGGTCCTGATCGGAGTCCTGTTTTTCCACTTCTAGTCTTGATTCCACGACCTGCCCTAGCAGGCGAACGACTACGGCTTGCACTCCGACTTCTATCTGAGAAGGAAGACCGGTCTTGAGGAGGACTCGGACTTCGTAAGCTATTAGCCCACTGCGCGCCCACGCGGATGTAGCCTCCGTCTCCCAAACCTGTGATAGACTGCTCCCTTTGCCTCGGCATTTGTTCTGCTAAGCGAATGCGCCTTCTCCTTTCAGCAGGTGCGTCGCTGGCACTATAGAGATGCAAATTCTTGGAATCTGCACTGTTATTCAAGAAGTAGTTACTCTGTGATATTGATGAACCAAGAACACTGGGAGGTGCTCTACCTGCTGTAGACAACTTTTCTGATTCGTTTTCGTCCATGTTGTTGTCCTCTTCTTTCTGAATAAGTACAGTTGTCAGATCATGAGTTGGAGTCATAGATTCAGCAACATCTTCGCGTTCTCCTTTGGAAGAAGCTCTAGGAGGTTCAGAAGCCTTCGATGCGGTTTTCATCTGCTGATCACGTCCTCGTGCTTTGCCTTCCTCCTCATCCGACGAGCTGCCTCCAGCAGGATTTCCACTCTCCAATTGCAGTAAACCGCGCAATCCCGAACTTATGACTGACAGGTATTCTCCAGCCAGCTCGTCAGCCATGGAGTCTACGAAACTGTTGGTTCTTGGAAGAGATTGTTGTAGATCTACGTGCTGGCTGTCATCTTCTACGTTACTGTCGCGCACCTCCACGAGGTTGCTGCGATCATCGTGCTGTTCACCTTCGACGTCCTGCCTGCTGTATTCGTATTCCATTTCCATTTCGGGAGGTTCAGGTTCTACAACTTCATTCTCGGCAATTCCCGCTCGTCCCCACAGCTCCTCATGATGACCACTCCTAATGCTCTTGTCAAGAGCTAAATGGTCAGTAGGCGATAGAACCGGCGACCGCAAAAAAGCATCGATCTCCTCTGCCGCATTGCAGAGACGAGCCGCTGAAGATGCATTGTCAGCGGGGTTGAAGGACTGCGGCATGTTGTGGTCTGGAGAGGAGAAGATCGAGATTTTAGTGTGTCGGTTGAACTTGATGAAACACTTGTTGTTCTGGCGAAGGTAGCTAGTGATGCAGATACCGGTCGTGTGTTTGTTCTACTTATACAAGAAAATGGCAGAGATCGAGATGTTTGTTCCACTCAGTCACAAGAAGTTGATGCAAGGATCTTATATACGGGTGACGAGAGTGAAGAAGGCAAAAATAGAGGGTGTTCTAGTTGTTCTAGAATTCCTAAACTTACTGGAGCGGATCAGATCAGGTGAGCACCGATCATATTAGGTGGACGTCATACACCGACGCTTCACTCAGAGGACCGACGCTCGCAACTCTTCGTTCACCGAAGGCGTTTTTCGAGGACCGCTTCGTAGCACCTCCAACTTCATCGCAGGTTTAGCCACCGATTTACTTGCAGACTCCTCAGACACTTATATTTATACTAGTTATCGTTTTTTACAGTAGGACGTGCGAGACGGATACAGACAGAGGGACCATGAGGAGCGCGTTGACAAGAGAAATTCAGCGTCTGCTTCTTTTGCAGATGGAGGGAGAGGACCCTGATGATGGTGAATGAGAAATCGTAATTGAGCATTCAGCTTCAGGAAGGTATGAGAATGATGTAGGAAGGTGTGAGAAAGAGAATGATCTACGAATATAGGGAATGGGTCTTGATGGTGGAGAAATTATCGCGCAGCTGACATGTTGAGGCACCAGGGAGTGACTGGATTCGCTTGCGTTTCTTCTCGAACCAGAACGGACCGGGGATGTACTTTGGCATGCGAATATTCTGGGATGTACGAGTAATTTATGGAATCGATTCTTGTTCATATTCGTCTGCGTTTGATAGTGTTACGTAGAAAACCTTGATCTGTTAGCTCGGATGTTGATGTTCTATGTATTCGTGTACAAGCTCTAGCTCATGACAGACAGTCGTTTTTTTTCAAGCTACTCCGCTTGAAGGTAGTTCAGCTCTAAATTGTGCACTCTATTGCTACATGATGACGTCACTGTCATTACATTTTCTATTTTGATTGTCGTAGCAAAACCGATCTGCATGAAAGATTTTTTTAGACTTATTTTTTACTGGTGAAGCAGAATTACTTGCTACTTGTATTGATAAGTACGTTAAGCTCACTAGCTGTTGTTACACTAATATGCATACTTTTATCAAATCACACTATTCACTTGTTCTATTGCTCGTGCTCGTGCTATGTATCTACACTGGTATTACAACTACGACCTTCTTGTCTCAATACGTCAAATGTGAAGCAAGTATGATTTCCTTTGACAAAACGAATGTGCGACATTTAATTTCATATGACATCTTCTGCATCTTGTTCGTGAGATACACTGAAACTACTTCCTCCTAGATCTAACTATTACACCCTGCCCTATAAACTAGAGTTTCACCCCGTTCTATAAATAGTTGATTCATCTTCTCCCGCTTGACGCATCCTCGACTCCAAGAACTCGGCGAAATGTTGAGGATTGCCCCGATTGGTCTTCTTTTTATGCGCCACTTTCACCTTATTTCCCACTACGCGGCGACTCGGTGAAAGACCAGGAGCTAGTTTGATTCCTTCGCCAAAGTCTTGGGGCTCCACTCGTCGTCCATCCTCGTAGCGGTAGGACATTTTCGCCAGCTGACTCTCTGTACTGCGGTAGAGGGTTGAGTTCGGAGAGTAGGGGACGATCTGGCCGTTGGTCGGAGACTGGGGGTCGACGTCTTCTATCATCATCTTTTCGGTGGGATTAGAAAAAGAATAGGTGCTAACAAAGAGGGAGTGTTAAATGTTGACGGGCGTTGTCATGTTCTTGAGGTGGACGAACGAAGAAAGACGAACAAATTCCCATCGAGTGACGACGTTAGTCGGTTCGGATTGGACCTACGACTTCCCTGAATCTTCTTTGAGTGCTACGAATTTCTCTGATGTTGAAGTTGTGAGGGCGCCCCACGGTTTCTACAGTAGTTGTACTCATCCTTATGAATCCGACCATAATCGACACCGTCGTCTGATATGTCATTCCCCCCATCGTTTGGTTCATCGCATCTTCATGCTCTTCTATCGCTGACGCTTGCCGCTCAAAATCGTTCATGATCTTAGGCGACCCACTGGCCACTAGAATTCGCTTCTTCCTTTCTGCGAGTTCCACTTCCGCACGTTGCTCTTCTTCTAGAGCTTCTCGTGCTGCTGCGTCGTTTTCCGCTTCTTCGTCGCGGAGAGTGCTGGCCTCGACCGCGGCTTGCATCGCGAAATGGACAAACCCTCTAGTCCCGACAACGCCGAGGAGGACTAGAACACCGATGATCCAGAATAAAGTGAGGTCCTGAATATCAATATTTTTGATTGAGTGCGAGATGAAGATAATCTTGATTGTACTTTTTAGAGGATAATAACATGATCTTGATACTTTATTTTTACCATGTTGACTTCTAGGATTCCGTTTTTGACACGATGCAAAATACTTCCAAAATAGGGGAAGTACGCTCTCCGACGCTGCGCTTCCGTCTTCTGTCACTGGTCGTAGTGGTGCTGCGGTCGTGCCCAACAGCTCAGTCGTGTCCAGGTATACCCCTTCCGGAATCGGCGGTTGTGTGATGCCCTCTAGTCCGAAACTGCCAGTGATATTGACCTTGCCCACAGACACAATTTGCATCACACCACTGTGCTCCACAAGCTCAACGCGCATGTCAGCCGCGATCGCAGCGTAGTTGGCCGCCGTGAGCGTGACAATGGTAGCGTAGAGCCTTTGCAGTTCCATCGAGCTGGTCTCGATCACCTCCAATTGCAAGTCGAGTAAGCGCGCAACCTGCCCTAGGGAAAGTTGCCGCTGCTCAGGAGTCTTCGATGCAAGACTGGTGCCCGTCGTAGAAGATGATCGACTGGACGGCAGTGCATTTGCTTCTTGCACAGGAGAAGTTCTTGTACTGCTAGCATGGACATTCTGATGTATTTCCCCAGTTCGCAGCACTGGTTCCGGTGCGCGGCTAGGAGCAAACGACAAACCATCGCCGCCTACTCCTGTCTCTGCCAGACTAGTACTAGTAGCAGTAAGGCCTTTTTCTTCTGATGCAGCCTTATCTTCATTCTTTAGTGTCTGAGATGATGTGGTTGTGGACGCGCCCTCTAGGTGGACCACGTTCTTTGATGTGGACGCGCCCTCTAGGTGGACCACGTTCTGCGATGGAGATTTTGCAACTTGTTCACCCATGACAACTTCTTCTCCAGCAAGATTTCGGATCGAATGTGCAGTGACATTCGCTTTCGCGCCAACAACTACTGTTCTTTCACTACTTGTTGTACTAGAAACAGTAGAAGACGAGGTAGATGGCGGCGGAGTTGAAGCTTGTTGTATCTTCGCTGCTGTTCCGTCCGATTTCAAGAGTGGATTCGTGATTGCATAGCTCAGGACCTTCGTTCGGATGAAATCCGTTTGGAAATGTTTGGCGAAAACAGCTTCGATGTTGCGCCTCAAAGCTTCAAGCTCAAACAGCTGACTGCTCGTCATGTCCGACAATAGGGTGACCTCCAGAGGAACTAAGATGTTTAAAGCAGGAATCCCGCTGTTCACTTGCGGTAAAAAGCTCTGCCTCAACGCACAGAAGAACCGCGAACTAGGACAATAAGCTCCGAGATCCGCTTGCGCGCCGCCACAGCCCATCAAGAGCTCGAATTCCATCTGGTCCAGCATAAAATTGTCCTTCATCCTGATATAGCCTCCGTGGCTACGCAAGGAAGGAAACTTGATGTCCCAACACTGAAAATTGATGTTCGTGAAGATTCCGATACTCTCACCATCCGCTTCTCCTATCGAGGTCAATCGGGGAAACACCAAGTTGCCAAAGTTGAGGTTCTGCTCGATGCGCATTCTGCCGTGAAGGCGCTCTAGAGCTGGCGCATTCAGCTGTCCATGACGTTGCGCGAGACCTCCGTTGCGGCCGATAACATTAGAAGATGAAGAAGTCCACTGTTACAACATTACTTCAGTCTTAGTATCATACGAATTTTTTAGTGCTCTAATCAACGAACATGAGTGCAATCTACGTACTTCTACCACTTCCAGAGTAAGCCGATAAGCCAACATTGCAAAGGTTTTCCTCATCATCATGATCTGCCTTAATGATGATATCCCCCGTGACTTCCTCCAATGCGGTCAAATGCAGCGTGTGGAGCATCGTGTTGTCCGTGACAAATAGCGCCGCTCCGTTGTCAATCCGCTGCAGACCGTCAAAGCGGAGCTCCTCTAACTTCGGATTGTCATGCACCACCACGTTGCCACCGGTCACGCCCTTCACATCGAGCAAAGTGAGATCACTGTTGTCCTGGACGAAAACGGAACTACCCAAGGTTTCTCCTATGGACTGCAGTTTCGGAAACAGAAAGCGATCGAATTTCCTATTTCCACTGATCAGGACACCACGCGACAAAGATTGCAGTCGTTCGCATTTTGTCACGCCAACAGGTGTGGCGCCACCCTCGCCATTGTTCAGCAGTTTGATGCTCCAGTCTCCACTGTCGCCCACACTGAGCAAGTTCGCGAAGGCGATGCGCAGTAGACCGCGATTGTTGTCGATCAAAAGTCGGCCTTTTATGTGCTCCAAATCTGGCCAGTCCATGTTAATCAGCTCCTGGTTATTAGAGCTACCACGTCGCATCCTTGAGCCCATGATCCCTGCGTCCTTTTTCGCCTTGAAAAAGAAGCCAAGGATGGTGTTGAGGATGTATGGTTGTGGTATTTGGTAACCTGAATTTGATCACAAGGGTTCTCTTCTTGTTTTCCCTTATGATCAAATTCAGGCTATACCAAAGACCGGAACCATTCAGAGGATGCGTCAGCGGCAGCCTTAAGGTTACTAAGAATCTGTACTTCTCCCTCTAGCGATCCGGCGTACTTCATGTAGAACAGTCTGTAGTTCTCACGGACTTCGAGTGACAAGACGCGACTGCTACTCGGTGGAGCTATCTGTAACTCCCGAACTGAAGTAGATGATGCCTCTGCTCCAAGTCCTCCATCTTCTGGAAGAAGGTCAGCATCGTCTGCTGTCTCGTCATAGGGCTCTGGCGGATGGATAGGAGAAGGCACTTGATCATAAAGGTGGTTGACAGAAGATGGAGTAGTTGCTCCTTCCTTTCCAGACAGGTCTTTGATGACGTTCTGACTGTTGCTTATCGAGATTGCTGCTCCTGAAGACAAACTACTGCTGATCAGTTCTTGTGTGCTACTTCTAGTAAGTGCGTCTTCGTGAAGATCATCTCCTTCTTCAATTCCTTTCCTCCTCCTCTTCTTGTTTCTCGACTTTTCGCGATTCGTAAGAATCTCTGTCATCCTTCCTTCCAGCAACGCGCGCCTAGCGTCGCGAAACAGGTTCAAGTTGTTGCTTGGGCCTTGCACCCGCACGACCGGAAACTCGAACGTAGCCATCCACCGATTCCTCAGTATTCTCACTGTCCCCTCAACCACTTGCAAAGCCGGGAAGCGCATGTAGCCGAGATAAGTCTGGACTAAACCGTTATTAGAGCAGCTCAAAACAAGAAGTGTCCGTTTCTTCAGAATCCCAAGAGAAAAGCAGGAGAAAATGACAGACCGCTGGAAATCATGAATTCAAATTTTATTAAGCCTTAACGTTATCCAGTATATGCAACGATTCTCCTGCGGCCTCACCCAACCGCGTCAGAACTGGAAAGTCGATGGCGTTCAACTGCGGATTGTCGCGAATGACGATGAACTCGTTCGCTTCTGTCATGCCGCTGCAGGAAATCGACCGCAACACTGGGTTTTCGTGGATAAAGCTCTGCCCCTTGATCCGTCCACCAACATTCACAAACAGCAGGTCCAGATTGTGCCTGATCAAAATGGAGCTTCTGTCATTGGTCGTCCACCCGATGAACGCGCCGTTCATTGTCGTCGTTGTCGTGGTCGTTGTGGTTGGTGGCAGTGTAGTGGTTTCGTCGGGGTCAACGGGAGGGCCTTGGTCGCCGAAAAAGCTGGAAGCGAGATCTAGAGGCGTCGCCGTCGCTGTGGTCATGAAACCGCCAGGCGTACTCACCAACGCGTTCGTCAGAGTCAATGGCACACCGTCTGCTGTGTTTTCGCCGACGAGGGAGATTAGAGCAAGAACAAAGTAGTTGTGAAAGAACAATAAATCAGGACAAGAAGTAAGGGTGTGTAGTGCAGCAGCTCGTAGTTCCCGAAGGATACAACATCATAGGCGTCTGACCCGAAATCGATAACAACTACGACCAGACGACGTGAACACTCTAAATTGTTCAGCAATTACCAGCAAGATAATTTTTTTTCATAAAATGTAGTCCACTTCTCTGTAGTCGCTCGGTCGTACACCGTAGTAGCCTGCCATAGGGTTCGGAATATTGCTGTATGCCAGTAGTAAAAACCGGATTTTCCCGTTGTGGTTCACTTCGATGTTGTTACTGGAATACAGCAATCTCGGCAGATTCATAGAATACGGTATAGGGTTTCCGTTCTGATGTAGCCAATGGCGTGATGAGGGTCGATATTGACCCCACGGCTCTTTCTCAGTGGTGAGACCGAGTTGTTGCATTCCGCGAAGGTTGGGGTGGGATGAAAGGGTTGGGGTCACAGTAGAGGCGGAAGATGATTCTACTTCGCTTGCTAGCTTTGGGGTCACAGTAGAAGAGGAAGATGATTCTACTTCGCTTGCTGATGTTTTTCTTTGTCTTTTTGTGGCATCATCTGGTTCCGCTGGTATATTCAGTTTTTCAGTGGAAGAAGATGATGCACCAGCTTCGCCTTCTTGTACTCCTGGCGGCCTACTAAGCATGTCCTCATCGTCCTCCTCTCCCAGATGTGGGGTAGATGTAGGGCTTGGGCTTGCAAGGCTCTCCGTGGTTACTGTTGTGCTGTAGTGTCCGGTGCCTCGCTGTCGCAGTACACGTTCCACCGGGTTTTTCATAGCTGGATCGGCTAATGCTCGCAGCATGCCACCAGCACTTCCTACCGCTTGTCCACTACCATCTCCCTCGGCAGCCGCCGCAGCAGCTGCTTGTTCTTCGGTCGTGGCAGTGCTAGTGCTTGTCGTAGTCGTAGTACTTGTTTTGTAGACTTGCGGTGGCGGTGTTGTGGTGAGGATGTAGCCCAAACCGTTGTTCTCGAGGATGATGGATCGTTCGAGTCGGTGATCCACCCTGTCTAGTACCGGGAAGTACACGGACTCTAAATCCGGACAGTCGACGATGAAAAGTCCTCCGAAGACACGTGTTAATCTGGGCATCTGGATCTCCTTCAGGCCGTAGATACCTGGTGAAAGAATTATTGCTGGCGCCTAAATATTAATTGTGAGATAATTGTGAGAGAGTAGACAGTAGATAGGATGAATGTCCGACATGAAGAAGAGTTGTATGATGAAGAATGACGATGATGGATCTGTTATCATACAGGATACCAAGACTCGAACTAGAAACTTCAAGAGCACCTTCGAACTTGAGCAATCCCTCCACTACAGTGCAATCAGCATCGATGAAGTCGTTTGGCCCATACGTCTTCCCGGGACACGTTCGCCCCACCGTCACGTCCAGGAGAGAGAGAAAGAGAAGAAACATCATCTCCATGACGAACCATGTTCGCGGAGCACCAGAGAGTGAAAGAGTCGTGGCTTCTCCTCCTCGTACACCTCTCGAGGGCATACCAGAACCCGTGTTGACGCGCTTCGTCAACATTCTGTCCCGGTAAGAGTGAATCGTTCCAGAAGACTGTGAGACGATCAGAAACGACAGCAACTGCAAAGCCGGCTACAGGTACAGGAGACCCGCGCCGGCATCAGAAGTTGTCTCATCTTTGATATTCCACTTATTCGAGCCCAGCGAAGAAGATTTTGATCAACTTATTCGGTTTACATCTCCAAGAAACAAGCTAATGTTGGACAGAAAATCAAAATTTGCATTGCAGTATTATCCTACCAAGACAGAGTGGATGAGGCGAATATAATCACTCCATGACCTTCGTATGCGGAGTCCGCAACGTATGCATCACCGCATCCACAACACTTGAAGGAAACCAAAGAAGTGGGGGGATACCTGAGAAACATAGATGAGAAAAATGCAATTGAGCGAGGGAGGCAGACGAGAATATATCGCTGAGTTAGCGAATCATGGGAATGCGAAAGTCCTGTGAAGACAGATATTATTCCTGAAGGAACCACAAAGATGGATTTCGACATATTGAGAACGGTGAACCGATGCAACTAATGAGATGAGTGAGCATGGGAACCCGATGAAGCCAGACTCCAGGACATTAAAATGGATGTGCCTCGTTCTCGTGTTATCTCTCGGTTCTCCCCTCTTTACTTCTCACCGATACCGACTATAGCATATGCAGTGTTTAGATTCTGTATGTGGGAACCGCGCCGTCAGAACACGACATTGTTGTGGGTCATATTCACTCTCAATTATCTATCTCAGGATCTTCCACAGGATGCGGCTCTCCGCTCGACTCGTCCCATATGGGCACGTGGGCTCTATGATAAAAATACATGACTTTTGTACAAATCAAGTTGTCTTGTTGTCGTTTGGCTTTCCCATATTTGGAAGTCGATAGTGGATGAAAGGAAATGGGGTATCTATCATGACAGGAATTGTGAGAGTGGGATATTAAAGAATGAGATCTAGAGGGATGGAGTTCAACGACATGATAAAAACTACTTATGCACATTTTCTGCATTTCGTTGGTAATGGAGCAGGAGATACGGTGTGAGAAAAAGTGATCTCGGTGTTCTAGTCTAAGTATTAATGCAACAAGGTTCGTTCAAGTCAAAATGTGAATGTATTTGCTGTTCAAAATAATTCTCGTTGTAATTGACGGTGGAATTCAAAATCTATCTCAAATAGAAAGAAAATAATTTCATTTTCATCTTCATGATCATTTTGTGTTTTTAGCAAAGTATTTTGCTCCAACTCACAACCAACATGAACATGCATATTGTTCGTCTGATTTTATCTCGAGTACCCGTGGTTTCATGAATGCAATCAATTGCTCTTCTAGTGCCTCTCCCTGAGACCTCCTTAGAAGTCTCAGGAATTACACAAGTACGAGGCTTCAGCTATGGTGTGGGGACAGGAGCCTGCTGAGGCTGTTGAGGCTCAGCGACTGGAGCCTTGGCGGCAGGTGGTTGCTGAGGTTTCGCGCCAGGTGGTTGCTTGGGTTTCGCGCCAGGTGGTTGCTTGGGTTTCGCGCCAGGTGGTTGCTTGGGTTTCGCGCCAGGTGGTTGCTGAGGCGAGGCTCGGGGAACCTGCTGTGGCTGTGGTCGTCTAGTTATCTGGATATTCTTAGAGCAGGAGCTGGCACAAGTAGTATCAATAAAGTGACGATCCGCCGTTTACATCGATCCCGTTTCGGACCATGATCGACATGTTCGTATCTAGTACTACGAAGATTCATTGCTAGTCATTTTGATCAGCCTGTGCTAAAGTCCGTTTTAGTAATCTAGACTGTTGCTACGTCTACGCTTTCAGTCACTGTCACTTCTTTCCAACATAACTTTTAGCGTAACAGGCGAGGCTTCCGCATACAGTAACGAGTCGCTTTTTTCCATCGTCTATTAGAGAGTGCCTGTTGTTGTATAGTACCAAAGAGATCATGGTCATACTGACAAGCATTATGTTGAGAAAGATAGGACAGACTTATATAAGTATATTCACAAGTAGCCATAATTCTGTCTTCGGTTCGAGCGTCCGTCGCGCGAGATGGCGGCTCTATCCTCTAGCGTCCACTCACCCCTATCCGCTCGGTATCTTACGGCTTGCTCGTAATCCGAAAACCGCTCCCCTTGAGTCCAAAAGGACTGCTCCTGCTGCGATGATTCATCTTGTTGGTGTGCTCCTGTAGATGAAGCTCCTTGTCCTTCCATGAACCGATTAGAAAAAGAACAGTAACAACTACAACATTTCTTGTTTTTTAGCGGCTAATATCAGTAGAGTTGGAGGTACTATTAACGACCATATGTTTCATGATGTCACGACGCTGTTCAACAAGAGCTGCAACAACCGGGTCTGCTGTCGCTGCTCTGCTACTTTGGCCTAAGGCGTTATCTTAGTGTGTTTGGAAAAAAGGTGGAGGTCTAAGTTAGTAATAAAAAAGACCTACTCACAACCTGCAAGGTAGAAGAAACATACTAGGTCATAAATGTCGACCCGCCGTTGTCTGTGAACCTCTCGGCACCTTCGTCTTCACCTTCATCTATCGCTGAATTGTAGTCGTTGCCGTCTAGCTCGACCATTCCGTCATCATCCAAATCATCGTCCCAGTCGTGGTCGTAAAGGTCGTCTTGTTCACTATGAAGGCCTTCTTCTACTTCTAGAAGAGAGTCTTGTTCTTGTTGTAGTTGTTGTAGTTCATGAAATAAATAAGGTTCATCTTGAGGTTGATCTCGATCAAGTAGATCATCACCCACTAGTAGTGCGTCATCTTCTATTAGAGTCTGCGACTCGATTGCATCTCGGCCCCCTGCTCATCTTGACCCCTTCATTTACCTTGTATTTCATGAGAATACACGGTAAAAAGGTAGTACCGAGATGCCGAGAAAGATGGACAAACATAAAAGCTGACCTTAATTCTAGTACATCAGTATCATCGTCATCTTTCTCCCCTTGCTCATGACCTTCAAGCATTTGTTCTACATAGGATTCGTGTTCGACGTGGTGTTGTATCCCCTCGTTATGGGAAGGAAGATACCTGGCGCTATCTTCCGGATGATGCTGACCGTCAATACTAGAAGATTAGAGGAGGTAGAGTTCTACTAACAGTTGACAGATTCTGCTCGCCCAAAAAGTCTACAGCTTCAGCTTGACACAATGTTGAAGCCATGAGAACAAATAGAAACATTGAATTCATGCCTTTTCTTTTCTTGCTAAAACGGGTGACCACAGATGACCACTTGATTTCTTATAAACTCATCAATTACCGACGCTGATCGATGAAAGTTAGCTTAGTAAGGTCAGGCTAGGTCGTTAGGTTATGGGTCCTTCACATCGAGCTCCAACGGCAACTGCTGTAGTTAGTAATATGACGAAAATCTTCAACATAATGAAGCCGTAAATCATATTCTCATAACCGTAGTAGTCCTCTGGCTGCCATGGTAGCGCTGAACTGACAGTTTCGATGAACCAACTTGTAAGACCGCCCTCTCCATCTACTCCTCGCTCATCGTCGTTATAGGCAGCATCTTCGTGGGCGGCCCGTTCTTGTGGTTAGCGGAGATAATAGAGGGGTATTTTGTAAAAAAAAAAATGGTGTCAATCCCAGTTGTCATACTGACATGAACGAAGATTTTTGAAAGTATCAAAGGGCTTAGTAGAGTCGAGGACCAGTAGCCGCAGGTCAGGATTCTGCTTGAAAATCTAAGTTTTAGTAAACTGAGAGATCCTGTGGAAGAAGGTAAAAAAATTTCACTTATCGAAAGCCGTAACCTGTTGCGGCTCCCGGATCTGTGGTATCAAAATCGAAAGTTGCTCCCGAAGGATCGATTTCTACAGCTTCGAAGTGGTCTTGTTTTTAACATTAGGAGAGTGAGCGGCGTGTGGAATTTCCATAATCTTTGTTGTTGACGTACAAGTAGTAGGCATTATGTGCAGTACATGTATTTATGATAGTGTACTTGTATCTCTACAACTCAGATGTACTACTTGTATATTGTAGTACATGTATATGGTAGTGTACTTGTACTATCTTGTAGTACTTCTAGTAGCCTCGTTGTACTATGTGCAGTGTACTGTAACTACCCCGTCTTAAATTTTGTTCCTTTTCGAGAAGAACTCCTGACCACCTGTCGATGGTGATGATTTCTCATGCTGGAAAAACGTCGATCCACTCCCTCTTGTTCTATCACCCTCTGCCTCTAGTAGTACACGACCCCCTCTAACATCATCTAGTATTAGCGCTGTCCGTGATTCATCTTTCAAGTGCATCCTTGAAAAGTACTATGGGAGAGTATTATTCCCTTAGGTGGATACTCTTCCATACGTTTCAAGGATGCGCCCAAAGATGTATTAGGTACAGCCTTAATAGTAGTACACGAGGACCCCCTGCTCTAACATCTTCATCCACGGATTTACCTCCTGAACCTGTTCTATGACTTCCGTCATTCACTCCAGGATCATTCGTCGAAGAGATGTCATCTGCCTCTATCTCTATGTCCGACGAAGAAATGACTATGCCTGCTTGACATAGAGGCTGCGCAATGACATTCTTCAGCTCATCCTTGACGTCTTTCTTAGTGGGGAAAGAGTCAGGGATGGTTGTAGTGCAGAATGTAATTTGATAACCCTTAATTGACCGTCTCTCACACCGCGAGTCGGCGCCGTTCCCCCTAGACCAAGAATGGCAGCACAGAGCCGGCGTTGGCTCACTGTCACTGAGGTGGACATCCTTTTTCTTCTCATAGACCTAGATTTTCAACACAAGCTTCAACGACTTTTTTTCATTCATTCATTCATTCACGCTGCCACCTACGACTTTTTTTTTTTTGGGGACCTGGGTCTATATTCCTCGCAATAAGAACCTGGCTTTTGTTTTTTTTTTTGGGGGCCTGGGTCTATATTTCTCGCGATACGCTCATTCAATTACCCTGCGAGAAGCCTTTTTTCGACTTTTAAAAATGGTTGAAGTTGTTACTAGGTGCTGTAGTGACATGAGGTGTGACGTGCTTCGAGTAGGAGATTCTTCTTCATCTTCCCACTTCAAGTCAACATGCCTACTTCAATTAATATTGCTGATTCTTTCAGAAGAAGGACACTAGTTGTAAGCACGTACGTAGACCTTAGAATATCAAGAAAACTAGTGTAATGTCAAAGATGAAGAGTCTTATTCTGACAAAGACTGCGCGTGCGCCAGGTCGGATTTGCGCCAGATCGGACTAGTAAATGTTTATCATGGCTAAAAAAGAGTCGTGTTCCATCACTGTTCGAAACTGACGCCAGTGGTCCTGGATGACCTTATAGTCGGTGAAAGATAGAGGTAGTTTGTTAAACGCCAAAGAGTCGTGTTCCACATGGCTACAGAGTGGACAACATGATCATCATGAAGGGCTACAGGTCTGTTCGAGGGTGGGATTCAAGAATGTGAATGGATTGTGGTTTGATTGATTTATTGATTTACCTATTCCCGAGGTATAGGGGCTACCTTTTTTTGGGGATGGGAGTTGCATGTTCTTAGTGCTTGTTTTTACGTCCTTTGTCATTTCATCATCTTTGTTTTTTTGTGTCCGACTTTCACCTTCTTCATCGTCCAGGTCCTCTAGCCGATTTTTGTTTTTTTGTGTCCGACTTTCACCTTCTTCATCGTCCAGGTCCTCTAGCCTTTCACTTTCGTTATCCCCCTATCAATCTCTGAAACCGACAAGAATACCAACATCATGACAATTAGAACATGGATGTTTACGGTATCACCGAAGAACATAACTCGAACTCACTGCATATTTGAGCAATCTGTTGCAGTACTGGTTACCCATTTGCTTTCTTGGCTCAAAAGATGATCCGCCACACCGTCCGTGGACGAGCAGTCAGTCTAACAACCCAGTGGACGAGTCTGACCTTGGATCTACAAGAACCTTCCTACTTATATTTTCTACTTAAATGTTAAACTGTAGTAAAAATAAGCTGCATCTCAACATATATGATAATTTTTGTTTGCAATTTTCTTGGGTGTGTCGTCTTGTTGTGAACGAGGCCCGCTTTATGAAGCAGCGAGAGGAGGGTCATCCTCAGAGTCAGGACTCGCAGTTATAAACTAACAATCAACGACATCGTTCCTAGGCCCTTTTTGAGTTGAAGTAACAAACTGAAACGTTTTCGGAGTTGATGATGATGATGATCATGATGATGATGAGATATACCCAGTCCTGCAAAAGCCTGAAGTGGCTTGTAGTACATTCCTGGATGCTCCTGTGAAGATTTTTTCCTAAACCTTGAGTGGCTTGTACATTTTCTGGATGGTTTTGCGATCTCGCACTTCTGTACTAATATGAAATTCTTTGATTCGTGCTCTGCTTGTTTCAATGTTTACCGCCAAATGAACGCTCCTCCTGTTATTTTCCGCCGTTTTCTTTGCCGACAAAGATAGGCGTCTATTAGAGTAGAAGTAGTAGCAGTAGTGGTGAACTCAATCTAGAGCTCAAAACAATTCATTTCTTCCCTGAAGACAGTTCTTCAGAATAATCCTAAGATGAAGGAAACAGAAGAAAATGTTGACCGTTGGAATAAATGATTTGATTGTATTGATGAGCCTTAAGTCTGTTTTTTTGGGGAAACCACACAGCGACGCGAAGCTGGCCCGGCTCTTGCGAACCGCTTTCAACCAGTTGTTTCCATGCCTCGTCAGAGGACCTTCCAGTCGAAGAAGGAGTTGTGCTGTCATGGTAAAACGCAGTTACAGCCATAAAGCGATTAAGAACGTCGATCTCGACGAGGAAAAAGCTCGCACTGACAGTTGCGGCTTGTTCTTGTTCTTGTTCTGTTCGCCAGTAGTTATAATAAAAAAGTTAGAGTTCTTATACATAATAAGAAATTTATGATCGGATCAAGCTTTTGATGTGTCTTGTTTTTAGCTCTCCTCTTATTCTTGTTTTTCTAGTTGAACACATATTACTTGTTTTTAGTGCTCTTATTCAGTGTTACTAGCGCTTAGGTTACTGCTTCCTCATGTGCGGATGTACCTTTAGAGTTCTTATACATAGTAAAGTAATATTGCAAATTTTCCTTGAGGGTGAGTAGAGTGGTCATACCCTTGAAGGCTTCTTTCTTAAGATTAAGCATCTAAAGAATACTTACGTTTTCAAGTAGCATTTGCTTTTACCTTTCTCAAGTATAACTAGAAAAAGATGAAGATCAACCTCCAAGGGTATCCTTCTGTTCATGCTGCGATAGCAGCGACAACATGCTTTTGATAAGTGAACAGGCGAACGCATAAACCACAAAACTGATTGAATACTTCCAGTGGAGCCCAACCTAGGAAAACAACCAGGAAATCCGTCAAGACGTACTTAAACTTATGATTATCTACTACTAACGAAGGTCCATAATACTCAACAGGATGCTCCTTGCTGCTCTTTGATATGCGCAAACTCACGCGGTTCAAGATAATCGAGTCCGATGGGTCCATCGGGTCTGTTCCCAAAATGACACCCACTCCCTCCTCCTCGTCCAAGCAGTTAGAGTTTTGAAGTTGTAGATCAAACTAGTAGCTAAAACAGGCATCTTGATCTTACATCTCTTAGCAGTTATGAGTTTTGTTCAAGGAGATCAAACGAACTAAGTAGTTAAAAGATCATGCGTAGGAGATGCAGATGGGTCGTTCTCGTTCTCGTTGATGTTAATCAAAAATGCCCTGAATCTTAATGTTGTCTGCTTTGTCATCAACGCGACTGGTGTCTTTGTCGGAGAACTCAATGAGATATCGGAAAACGGTAGGCATCTCACTGCCAGTGGGCATCTTCGCATACAAATATCGCGGATCATCCTTGTTAGATTGCTGTGGACCAGCCTTGTTAGAGATGCCAGTGCGGATGCGACTATACAGGTGGCCTACCAGTTTCTGCTCGTCCTTGTCCTTCTTCTCTATCTGCTTCAGACTCAGGTAATCGGATATCGGCGGCAATGCTGTTAGACGAGGAAAGCGAAACGAAGCTACTTCTTCATCTGACCTATGACAGCTACTTCTTCATCTGACCTATGATAGCTATGCTGCACATTGTACTACTAATTACCTACAATGGAGTCGCTACTTCTTCCTAGTACTATTAAATAGCCTTAGTGCTACCAGCTGGGCCAGCTTCGGTGCCTGGCCTTTCCCTCCCCGTCCCCTTTTAGCCTTTTTCACGGATTGTCTCGAAAAATACCCTGTTTCGTAATCGATCCATCCATCTTGCCGCGGCGTATAGAAGTCCTGTTGGGAAGCATGAGTACTATCATGGGTCCTATCATGAGCATGAGGAAGTGTTTTAACGAGTGTTTCGAGTTTCTGAAAGTCTTGTTTTAATGAGCACAACGGGTCATGCGGATTTTTCCTTGCGCTGAAAGCAATCGCCGCTCTCAGATGGGCCTCCGGAGTAGGAATGAGAAGCGGAAGGCGGTGCAGCTCCTCAGCGAAATGGATTGTACTTCCACGGTCCTTTGTCCAATGCTCTTGCCGTCGCAACATCACATCCGATGGTGCTATCGTTGAGTGAGACTCGCTTGTTGATCCACTGCCTTTTCCCTGAAGACGCCAGCTTCTGCCCCTGCCACCACCCCGACCAGGGTTAGAGCACGTGGACGTATCATCCAGCAATCTCAGTGTATTTTCCTGTTCGTCCTGCTCCATTCGCATTCTCATTCGCATCATTTCTTCATCACGTCGCACCTCTCGCCCCTTCTCTCTGTTTTTTTGCTTGCTCTCAACAATCGCTTTAGACCACATCTGATCAAGGTTCGCTTGAAGATACTGGCCCCTTTCCTTTCGAATTCGCTCTCGATGTTGCGCTGCCCTAGCCTCAACTTCATCATCAACTTCAACGATTTCGATTAGAGATCATCATATAAATATACAGACGACCCACCTGCAATAATGATCTATTTAATCTTCCATGTGGAGGACATGATGAAAGAGGACTGTGGAGGACATGTTTCTTTAAATTGAAAAAGAAAACATCTGCTCTCCTGCTAATTAGGGGTGAAAACCTTAACTCTACATGATTAGCACTGGACGCGGCTTTATTCGAAGATCTTCCCACATGAGGATGACGAAGAAGCGCAGCAGCATGATCTTGAGAAGTTACCTCATCTTGGTGTTAGAATGTTCGCCATTTTTGCATTCTTCACCACATCCCTGCTGGTGACTTTTTTCCTAGTAATCTCATGTATTGGAAAACAGGCCCGGAACAATGGTAGTGAAGAGTGCAATGTGGAAACCCGTAATGATGAGTCTGCCTCTGTTGTAGGAATGGATCAATCTGAGGGAGTACTCCTGGAGACGGAGAATCCTGTTCATTTGATGGAAGAAAGGGGCTAACAGGGACACTGCTAGCCATCGACGAAGGTGAACCTTCTGCAATCGACGACGGCGCAGCTGAAGGCGCTGATGAAGCCGCAGGTGTTGGTGTTGCACTTACTACACCAAGTAGAATTACAACTGGAGGTAAGGGTAAAACAACACCTTGCTGTTGTTCTAAAGCACCAGGTGCGAGAGCCGGAAAAAAACAATGTTGTTGTTCTAGAGCACCAGGTGCAAGAGGCATCGGATTGAAGAACTGGCCGCTCGCAGCATGGTAGTTTCCGTGGATCGTAGGACTCATTGTAAGACTTGTAGGATCGTAGGACGCAGAGCTGGCGCTCAGCGGCGTGGAAAAGGTGGAAGCACAGGGACCTCCACCTGGAGACGAAGGACATGGCGTAGTCGTAGCCGCCCCACGACCTACGTAAGTTGACGTCGATGGCGTGCTCACGCAAACTGCACCTCCAGGCGTCATCATCTCTCCAGGTCCAGTAGGTAAACAAGGCATGTAGACAGAATAATAAAGTTGCAATCCTTGGTCTTGCAGGCACATGTGCTGCTGTTCCTGTGTTATTCCCATCTGCGGGATTCCCATCTGCACCATGGTAGGACTACACGACTGCTGCATCATAGGAGGACACGACCCCCACAATACTTCTCGTGAGGGTTGCGGCTTGGTACAAATCCCGGTCCCCAAACCAGGGACCACTTTTTGCGGCTCACCTTGTTGCTGCCCACCTTGCGGGTCTGCTATGCGCGGCGACACGGGCAGTTTCTTGTTCTGGATCTTCATCATCTTCGTCGAGCCCCTATTTTAGATTTAGAGCTGATTCAGATACTGACAAGGAGGACACGACACACGACCATCTAGTGCTGGACTTACTACAACACCATCATTTTGTTCAGGAGAGCTCGCTTCACAAGTGGAACATCAACATGGAGCTCATCATGGAGCTGTTCGATTCATTCTATAGCGTAACTAGCAGCTGGAGCTTCCTCAGCCTTTTCTTCTGGCTCCGCGTGTTCTTGCTGAGGAATATTACGCAGCGTCTCCTGATTCACCTCCTGACTCACCCATTGGACGTCAGGATCCATCAGGTTTTGACGAGAAATAGAAAAAGAGGCAGATGAGGTTAACGCTGAGGTTGAGCCACTCGATGGTACAGCGGACGACATGAATGCAGCCACGACCACATGAAGACGTTCCAGCTGGAGGTGGCCCAACAGGAACAGCACAAGAAACTTTCTCAACATAGTTAGAAACAACTCAAAGATGAATGTATGAAGAGCTTCAGTTCCACTTCTAACAACCCCAGATCATGATTTGTAGAGTAGACAGTGAGGGTGCTTGAGGTCAACTCTCCCTCTCACACTCGTATGGTTCAGGTCCAACGAAAGGCAAAAGAGGCTCGCGCAGAATCACTAAGTAGGAGGTTATAATACAATAAGAATACGATAGATGAATATGCTAAAAATGCAGGAACAATGGATAAAAAAAAATTGGCGGTTGTGTGAAAACTCAAATACAGTCGCCTTTAACTACACTGAGATCAAAACGACAGTTGCAGGAGTAGAAACACATTGTTCAATCATGAAGCAGCTACTACGTGCCTTATTGCGAAAGGACAAACAGATATCAAAATGAAATCTTCACGCAGGAGCAGTATTTCTATTCCTCAGAAGTTGTGGCTGTCGCACTACAGACGAGTGTTCTTTTTTATCCGGGTCTGGAGGAAAACCATTATTATACAGGTAAAAAATATTATACCTGCATAGAACTGATGTATGTTGGGGGACTTGTATAATATCAATGTAGTAGCGGAGGTGCAGCAATTAGCCTGGGAGCAAGACTGATCGTCCACCGACTTGCGCGTACTTCCGTCTGACATTCGTCCTTTTCTAGAAGTTCTTCGTCTTCGTTTTTGAGTTGCGTTATGTCCATCCATATCCTTGTACTTGTACTTGTCCTTCGGGGACTCATCTCTAAGCAGACAACCTTTCTTGCAGAGTGATCGTCAACCTTTCTTGTAGACACAGATAGATCACTGGAGGTTGGGGTTCCTGTTGGATCCCAGCAGTTGGTGAAACCGGGAAGACGACAGAAACCAAAAACTACATGAAAGCTTTTTAGACTTTGATCTGGAAGATCGCCGTAGAGGTAGAACACAACTCCCGAGTTCATCATTCCTTCACATAGGTCATAGTCATCCTTTCATCTTCGGCGGTAGTAGTAGTGTACCCATTCGAATTCGTGGGGTATAGTAGGATACCCTTGCCTATGAATTGTTTTCGCAATCTTCTGTTACGACGTTCCTATGTATAATCATGCACCTCGTCGAAGAATCTCTTGATAATGAGAGACAAGCCAGTATGTGCCTGTAGACGGCGACCAAGAAAGATTGAAGTTCCTTGTAAGAAGTAGAAGTACTTCTATTTTCATAACTATTCTTTGCAATTCATTATGGATCAGGTATCATCTTCTGGTGGCGGACAAGGCTCGCTGAATAAAATAGCAAAAGACACCAGCCAATGAAAACTCGGCAGCTGCACTAAGAGGACTAGACCATCTTTGGGTACTAGTTCTTGAGGTTGTATTCTCCTACCTAAAAAACAACTTCCCTTGGTGGAGCTCTGGTCTATTCTATTCTAAACCTCCCTTGGGTTGTATATTCGCTGAATCGTCCACCAATCGCGCTTTTCTGTGCTTACCGCAAATTCTTTGATCCTTGCCCTGCCCACTTGAAGCTTTAGCCACAAATTTACCTCCGTCGTATCCACTCCATCCCACCCTCCAAGATTTTGGACTGCCCTATTCGGTCCCGTCGGCTCCCACGACTGCTGCTCCCCAAGTCGTGCTTGATGTTCCTGCTTCTTCTTCGATTCCTTCGAGTGGTCCTTCTTTTTTTTCTTCGATGCTGAGGACGGGAGGGATAATTGTAGCCTTGGCATTGTTTTCCCATGTTTCTCGGGAAACCATACAGCGATGCTATGTTGCCCCGGCTGCGCCTTCTGCTCTCTCAACGACCTTAACGAACTAGGCGTCGGAGAGATACTGTGCATCACGTGCTGCTGCTCCAGCTGACGTGCTGTTTTGCTTTGACTCTGACGGCGGTGCTGGTAACACAACTCCGCTTGAACTTTCTCCTGCTTCCTTTCTCTTGTCTGGTCATGTTGTTTGTCTTGCAGCTTCGCTCGCAATGGAAGGTCGAGAGGAGCTGTCTGTGCAGAGGGAGGCATGTCTTCAACCTTATTTCTTGCAACCACCAACATCCCATTCCCTTTACCATCTTCAACTACATCAAATGAGCCAAAATTTTCAACTGTCAGCTTCGCACCTTGTTCAGCGTTCGCTGCAGAAATAGCCATGAAGCGGTTGTGCACGTCGATCTCGACGAGGAAAAAGCTTGCACTTGTTGCTGTAGATGTAGTTCTGCCTTTCCCTATTAAGTCGTCTTCTTTTTCCCAAGAGTTGTGCCAAAAGAGGGGATCCGCACTTGCCGGTCCTGGTTCTTCGGTCAAATGCTTGCTCCGTATGCGCAAATCACCAAGCCTGTTCATCATAATCGACCCAGGCGGCTTTACATGCTGCGCGCTTTCCTCTAAAAGCGTGTCTTTTCCAAAGATGACACCAACTCCCTCCTGCTCATACGTCATTCTCAGGTCATCTTGATCGGGATCTACACCAGTTCTTGGTTGAGCTTTAGATGATTTCTCATCCTTGTCGAGAGGTGAGAACTCGATGAGATATCGGAAAACAGTAGGCGTCTTCGTCAGGTCTATTTTCATCCTCAAATAGTCGTTAGGCATCCTTTGAATGCGGCTATACAAGTGGGCCTCCGACCGCTCGTTGCCCTTCTTCTCTACCCCTTTCAAATTCAGGTAATCAGATATTGAGGGCAAGGCAACCATCTGTGTCGGCTTACGGTCTGTAACAGCTATCTCTCTCTGGTAATAGCTTTTTGCCTTTCCTGCAGGAGCTCGGTTTATTTTCATTCCTGGCTTTGACTTTGATGTCCCTTGTTCTTGTTGTTCACACGTCCTCTTCTCCGGCAGGAGCAAACTTTTTGAAAAATGCCGTGTGTCGTAATCAATCCATCCTTGTTGCTTTGGATTGTAGCACTGACTCTGTCCTCGTGGTGCTGAGCCGTCTACAATATAAGGAAGAGCAAGTAGCCTTTGAAATTCATCTTTTTCCAACCACCACTTATCCTTCGGATTTCTCGTACTGAAAGCGACCGCTCCTCTCAAATCCGCTGCGTGGCCGGGAATGAGAAGCGGAAGGCGGTGCAGCTCCGAAGCGAGACGACTTACAGTAAAAGACATCATTTTCTTGTCTTCAGTTGTGGGAATCTCGTCCACGTTTGCGGCCGTGAGAGCACCAGCACCAGGAGCATAGCCAGTTCTAGGAACAGCGGAATTGGCAGCATACTGTTCTTGTACATAAGCTGCTACCTTTGCAAGCGCATCCGTCTCTATCATCATCATGTTTGTCGCGGGAGCATCAGGAGAAAGCTGCTGTCCTTGTCCAGGCAACCCTGGGATACACGCTAGCGGCTCTTGTGGTTCCAGTTCTTGCTGCCCTTGCAAACATGCATGACGTTGCTGCTCCTCCAGCAACTGTGGTGGGGGAGCGCACATGTGCTCTGGTCCCTGAATCATGTACATGGGAATGGCGGGCACGAATCCAGCGCATAGTACAACCCATGGACCACTGCATGGCTGCACAACTCCGACTCCCGGTGTATAATAATCTCCTGGCATGGCGATCGGTAAATACGACGGCTGCTGCTGCACTTCTCCTGATGAATTAAAATTATAGGGCAAGGCGGGTGCTTGAGTACGGGTATCGTCCATCGACATTGTTGCGTTTGGCGTCGTATCGACCATTTGTGCGAGGCTCAACTTGGTGGAGGCAGCATCACCACTCGATATCTCGTCAGATGTTATCGGGGAGTCCTCTTTACTACCTCCAAAGTCATCTTCTTCGCCTGCCTTGGAAGGTGTCCTGCCACTGGCAACGCTTCCTCCGTGTTTTTCGTTGCTACTCTTAAATGAGATATCACTTAACTTCGTCATGTTGATCATCTCTTTTCTGCTGCCTTTCGTCGGTCGAGCATTTCGCTTGCGCCTGTTGTTCCCTTTGTTGGGCTCAAATGCCGCTGCCCAATCACTTGCAGTGTTCACTTGAGACTGCTGCCTTTCTCGCATAATGCGCTCTCGTTCCTGCTTCACTTTAGCATCAAGCTCATCTTCTTCCTGTTCTTGCATTTCCTCGGTGTTGTCAGCAGCAGTTGCTGTTCCACCAGTTTCGACTTGTTCTTTTTGATTTGGCTGGTGGTGGGAATGCCCTTGTTCCTGGGCTGCTGCTGCTGCCTGTGCTGCAGCTCCATCCGTCGCATACGACCCTCGAGCAGGATTTTCTTCGTCGTCGGAAAATCCTGTGATCACTATATCACCTCTGGTAAATGCACTAGGAAGGTGTTCATGAAGATCCTGTAGTTCATCTGGTGCATCTGCTTCGTTGGATGGACCAGAGGTCATGCTGTTTCCTTGCGCTTCTGGAGAGGGGGAGGCGGTGAATGACCGGTCAACACTCGAGGATTCTCCTGTTTGGATGGACTCGTTAGACGGAGAGGCGGTGAATGACCGGTCAACTGCACCAAGATCCGTAGACGGAGACGCGGTGAATGACCGGTCAACTGCACCAAGATCTTCGCCAGGTGGTGGAGAAGCAGTACCTCCCTCTACAACCGAGGCCGTCGACAATGGTCCTGGTGGAGGTCGTGACTCGACACCGCACCAAGGACCCGAAAGTACGACTGGCGCCATCTTTGGTGCGGCTGTTGTCCTCACTGCAGACGAGGACGCTGTCGGTACTGGAGACGAAGAGCCAGCGGCGTCTGGCCGTGGTATCCGGCGCTCTTCTGAAGGTTGCGAATCCTCTGGTAAGCGTGACACCAGCCGTCTTCGGCTTGATGCGCGTCGCGAACCTCTAACAGTCTTCGTCGAGGCCTCACGCCGATGCAACTGTTCGAAAAATTCCTCGTCGTCCTCGTTACGGTTAGCACCCACGTTCAGTGGAGGGTGAGATAGAAGAACTTGCAGCGGTGTATTCTTGCCATCTTCAAGCATGTCGCTAAATTCATAGTCGTCCGGGAAAGCCACCGCTAACCGTTTTTCTGGCACTCGAATCTCCTCCTTCCCGTCGTGCATTTCGGATAGAGTGTTAATGTCGTGGGTATTATCACTCGATCTTCTTGCGGACATGACGGCGGCCGCCAAGTAGTCCAGCTGCTGACCCAGCAGGAACAGCGCAAGAAGTTTGCTCATCTTTTTAGCTTAGGTTAGGTGTGGGCCCACGAGGAAAACTAGCAGACATCAGTGATCTTGTTTTTCAATTCTTTGAATATTTATAGTAAATAACGGGTCTTAAGTGGAGATGAATGAAAGCTATTGTAGTACTTGCATACCTCCTTCGTGTTCACTTTATTGTACATAGAAGCATCACAGTCGCTCAGTTTAATGCCAGCTGTACGTAAAACCTTCACACTTGATTGAAATTGAAGCTAGTGGTAGTACTTAGTGCCAGCCTAGTAGGCTATAGAAAATTTTTGACGATAATTATTCGGGTTAGTGCTAGTACCACTTTTTGAATGTAAAAAGAAAACAAAACTGAATCACAACGACCTTTAAAATATCGATAATATGTGCAGCGAAATACTTACGATAGAAGCAGTTTATTTTTGCAAAGTCGTTCAAACAAGCAACAACAGGAAAAAAAAATATACAAGTGTATATACCCGCAAAGAACTGAACATGATTCAATGTGGTGGAAGCTGTAGTGGACGTGGTTGATGAGGCACCGATCATAGTACCACACTTGCTTTGTTATTACGCTACTTGTACTAGTTATTCTTCGACATCTAAACGGGAGATCCATCATTTTACAACTCAGCCGTGTGATCTACCACCTTGCGCTGTTGCGTTGATTACGAACTGAAACTTTCTATTAGGAGCTTCTCTCTGGTAAGTACTTCGATTTCTTTTGCTTTCGGGATCCACGAAAGTGGTGAGCTTGACCAGAAAGTGGTGAGCAGGACAAGATAGACACCCTCAGAAGAGGACCATTATCGGATCTGTTGTGGTATGAGGGCTTCTGAGGGCTATCCAAAGTGTTGAACAAGGGGTCATTTTGTTGCACAAGCAGCCAGAGAGACCTGGTGGTTGCTTGTAGGATCATGAATTGTAATGCCTAAAAACACCATATCAATCATAGTTTGCTACAGCGAGTTTTCTATACATCATTATGTTCTCTTGTAGCTGCGTGTTTTCAGCAAAGTTCGTTGCATGTGGTCTCAGAAAAAGTCAGAAAAGTCAGAAAAAATCTTCCTTTGCATCATCTCATTATATCCCCAGCAGCCATGAAAGTGGCTACAATAATTTTTGACGGTGAATACTACGCACGATGGTAAATACTACGCACGATCCATCATGTTGACGACCTGATCAGCTTGAGCCATTTTTTTCATTAGATATAATCACCTTCAACTGCTATGTTGTTGAAAGATGTGATCTGTATTCATTCACTTGCTGCTTCACAACATCTGCTAAGTCAGTCTTCTGTCCACAAAATAAAACGATTATTGCTGTCACAACAAATATTAGATACAATATTTTTATCCACGCTTTCCGTTTTCATCTGTAGGTGCGTGGTGGAGCAGCCAGATCATGAAGTATTTTTACCTCCAATGCATATTAGTGCAACGACTTGTACGAGCTGTATTTAAGAGAAGTCTGTGTGAAATTTCATTTTTGTTCAAAAAATTTGTATCAAAGAGAAGCGATAGGCTTGGATGATGTTCATCGAGTTGTCTGTGACCAAATATTAATTATTGTTGCATTGCAGCAACTGCAAGCATCTCGTCTTGGTAAGCAAAAATAAAATGTGCAATTCTTTCATTCAGTAAAAAAAGGATCCACAATGGTGACTATGATGGCGATGTCAATAGATGTTTTAGTCGTAGTGAGTTTTATACCCAACATGTTGTAGGTGGTCGTAGTTTAATTGTTTCTGTTGTTCCCCAACATGATGTAAGCGTTGTAACAAGCCAGTAAGTAGATGTGGATCTTAATCTTACAAAATATATAACAATATTTTTATTGATGTCATTGTCAATTGAAGTAAATCATGTAAATGCAAGCGATCACTTTGTTAGTCTAGTTTTACGCCCCTTCTCTCTGCAGATCATAGCAGGTATACCCATAGATACTATCTTTTCGATTTTCCTAATAACTCATAATGGTATCAACATCCTTACCGCATGCATTTCCATTTCTCCTGCGTCGAGCTCAATGTCATAGATAGTCATAAACAATCAATTATCGGATGCCAATGCACCTAGCTTGTTGGTGAGCATTGTACTGAATTCCGAAGTACTTATCTAAAAACTCAAAACTACATCTTCCCGTTCACAATTTGTGTCATTCGTAATTCGCGCAAATATTCGACCTCTCCGAATTCCTACTAGAATGGATTTATCGGCGATCCGCCTCCTCCTCCACCAAACTGCTTTCTGTTTTCCTTCTCTGCGTACTCGATCAGCTTCGGCAACATATCCCTTGGGGCATAGGATTAGAAAAAGCTAGTAAAGCCTTCAAGCAGAGAGAATCGAGTAGAAGAAACAACATAGATGGATTTAGATTCCTCATTCATCATCTGCAAGAACTTGTACTAAGCATATGAACTTGATCATTTGAGGCCGCCTAGTTGTACTGAGTTGAAGTTCTTGCCATAAATTGACCTATGGGTCTGTTGATTCTTTTTGCGGCGCCCATCCCATCCCCACCATTCCTTGATGAGATCACGGCGATTCATCAGATCCTGCAAGCGCGCATAGTCGTCTTGACTGAGATGTGGTCGCTTTTCAGAACACCCGCCATGCACTGTGCTACCACGAACCAACTTCCGTTTTGGCCTCGTCGCTTTATCTACGCGATGATGCCCGCCGGGTTCCCCATCGTTGTTCGCTGGTGTCGACAAAGACTTCTTCAACAATTGAGAGGAAGAAGAACTACTTGAAGAATTCTTGTTTGTGTTTGATGAAGCTGAGCCGCCAACTACAGATGTGCCGTGATATTCTTCCGAGTCTATCTCGTCATCGTCTATCTCGTCATCGTCATCGAGATCTTTTGACGAAAAAGGGTCCTCTGTACGCGATGAGCTACTGGAAGCACCTCCAGAGGAAAAATTGCCACGTGAATCATAGTCGCGATCCTGTTCTCCGTTGAAAAGGCAATAAAAGTTTTCTCTAGGTCGCGTCGAAGCGGTTGCGGTCGTTTGTCCCTTTCTCCTTGTCGTCGAGAAAGTACCACTACCAGACAAGGCTGAAGAAGCGGAAGTAGATGTTGAGGGCATTGAGGAAGTTGCTGATCCACCGTTCTTATTAGAGCTACCGCGCTCGCATCCCCGAGAACCTCCCTGGTCCCTTTTTCTCCTTGAAAAAAGGGCCAAGGAGGGATGACGTTGAGGATGGTCCAGCGGTAGCCTTAATCTTAAGCTGTCCTTGCTTGAGACGCCTCGTCATAGCACTTATCTCCTCTTCGCTCAATGTACAGTCATCGAGGCGAATGTCCTTTACGTCTGCATCAAGAGGAGCATTCATGGTTGAGGCCTGCTCTTTCTCCTCCGAGAACAACGAAGAGGAAGAGGACGACGTTGATGGATGTTGCTCTTGTCCTGAAGAAACGTCGCTACTACCAACAGCTTCTGTTGCAAACAGGCTCGTGGCACAAGCGTTCACGATGTCATCGAGGACCTCAAGCGTGCTGCCTGAAGACGAAGCGTTACTCTGAGCTTGTACGGTTGTAGGAGCAATTAGAGCGGTCCGTAATTGCATCTTCGAAAGTGCATCCTTGAAAAGTATGGGGGAGTATAATTCTCTTGGGATATTACTCCTCGTCCATACATTTCATCAAGGATGTGAAGATGTCCAAAGATGTATAATTAGGTACAGCCTTAAAGCAATATTATCGTTGGAACAAGATAGTGTTCTTGTAGTGTTCTTGTTCGTTGTAGCAGCTTCGTGGTCTCGACTACTCACGTCCTCATCCTCTTCTTCTTGACTGCGTTCGTGACCACTGCTAACGCCGGAAGCGATCAGCTCATCATCGCTCAAATCGTCGTTGCTGAAGAGTTTGCGCACTAGTTGGGCATTCTGTGATGCTAAAAGATGGTCCAACAGATCCGAGTAGCCTGCGGTTCCTTCAGCCATGGCCCATTTAGCAGTTGGCACTTTACTTCGCCGCATCCCTGGTGGTGGCGAGGGCAGCTTTTCTTCTTCCGAATCAGGAATCGCTGCGACGTCGACGAGGGGACTCCCGCTAGGAGACACGGCGCCAGCTGGCGATCTGGCTCTCGCCACCGCGGCATCAACGGAAAAATCCATAGTCGCATGTTGAAAAAATGCTTCCTCAACCTCCACAGGCGGGTTTGTGTCCCCGTCTACAGCATCTTGTTGAGCACGACCAACTTCCACTTGTTCCTCTCCTCCTGTAAAAGCAGAAGACTTCAAAGGATCTCCATCTCCACGATCTTCCTCGTCATCCTCCACATGATCTCCAAGACCATCTCGACCACGATCTTCAAAGAAGTCACCCGGATCTGTGCGTACTTCGTCTTCATCGTCGCCATTTATTAGGGGTTGAGAGTTGCCATCTCTAGCTCCCATAAATCTGTATCACTTTCCTACTTGAGATAGAAGCCATAGTAGAGATGCGCATAGAGATGATAGATGTCAACTTCCAACCCTTAAATTTACTTCAGGTGCCTCTCCATGTTCATCTTCCCTCTCCTCCCCATCCTCGTCTTGTTCGCCTAGAAGGTCATGGTCGATCCTCAAATTGTTCATCGCTAGTTTCAGTTGTGTTGTTGATGAGGAATTCTTCTCTCCAAAAAATCCCGTAGATCCCAGAGCCATAGTAGTTGAACTGAAGTCCATCGTGCCGTTGAAAAGATCTCCACTCTCTTGCGATGAGGTTGTTGAGTCTTGATCTCCTGTGATGTCTTCATCACCTTCACCGTCGAATAAATGTTGATCCTCTTGTTCTTGATCATTGTCTTCCAGTAGTTCATCTGCTCCAGAGGACATGACGTCAGGTCGGGTCTTTTGCACGAAATCGAGAAGATTTTCCTCTTCCTCCGAACTCGATCCACAGCTATGATCTTCAAATTCATCCTCTGGTGTCGCGATTTCAGCCAAATCTCCAGGACTTGGCTGCTTCTTCTTCGTCATGACTCCCTCCTGCCCTGCCAAAAGACCATCTTCCTCGAACGACGGCGATTGCTCTGACAACTCGTCAGATTCTCCTACTACTTCGCCAAACAAATCTTGATCACCTGTTGTACTACTACCTGCCGGTCGAGGCACAACTGGCGTATCCTCGATGTCTTCGAGGACGACCTCATCGGTGCCATGTTTGATGTCAGTAGATGTTGTAGTGCGATCTCTGTCTCCGTCACTGCCAACTATATTCGCAGCCGAACAGCTGATAGCATCATGCAGTTCTGCATTGATCAAGTCGTCTGACAGAGCGTCTAAAGCGAGATTTCTGTAGAAAGAAGAGGTGGCGTTCGACATTGAGTCATCAGATTCATTGAGTTTTCCTTCTACTTGTGCTGGTCCTTCATCTGTATTATCGCTATCTCCACCAATTATGAAAGGAACACCAGATGACGCTGCATCCGCATCTTCCAGCGAAAACGATTTCGCAAGCTCTCCTGCTTTACACCCAACATCGCGCCGAGTTGATGAAAAAACAGAAGTCGTTGCTGATTTTTCAGGAGAAGCAGAGGAACCTCCAGATGAAGTAGGAGATACAACAGCTTCAGTTTTGTCGTCTTCCTCTTCCTCTGCGCAGTTCTCATAGATGTCATCGTCGTCCTGATCGCCCGACTCGTCCTCGTCCACGTCGGTAACTTTACGCCGGACACGATCCACCAGCGATCCTGCTAGCGAGCCAGCCTTGCCTGCAATCGATTGAAGAAAGCCAGTGCGTGAGAAACGCGACGAGGATGGCTTCTGCGCGCCATCACTAGCTGTATCCTCACTTGATGGGTGCTCGTCATCTTCAGCTTGATCACCAGAGTCAGTGCTGTCATTTTTTTCGGAATTTTTGTGACAAAGACCAGCACTATTGGTTTCATCTTCGTCCTCGTCGTCGTATTTTGCGATATCATCATCGCCGTCGGCATCAGGGGTTCCTGCCTCTGTAGTCTCTTCATCCTTCGACATGTCGCGATCGGAAGCGTCATCATTCTCAGGAGCGTCACCTTCTCCATTTTTAGCTGCATCATCATCGCCATCGTGATTCAGTCTTCTTTTGTTTGGATTAGAACTAATGGAAATCCATCCTCAGCAGCATCTTGGGTCTCCTTTTCCCTTTAAAAACGGGACCGAGATGACAGTGAGGCTGGATTTCTTGTGCCCTTAATTGAAGTGGTCCCTTGAAGATTCGGAGGAGAAGTTGTACTATCCTGCTGATCTTCTTCATTTGGAGCGCCTGATGAACCAGCTCTATTATCGAGATTCAGGTTCTCTAGAAACTCACCCAAAGCCCCTTCGCCGTATGTAGCACTGTAGTGCGAGTACAACGCTCGCAGAGCTTCGTCTCGTCGACGATGTGAGTATTTCTCGTCGTTGAACCGGACATACTCACTCAGCGCTTGCTTCAGGATCAGTGGTAGCACAGCTTTTTGCAAGTCAAAGTCAAATCGCCGTCCTGATCGCGCTGGAACACCAGATGTTGAGGTTGAAACATTGCTGCCAGCCTTCTCTTTAGCAGCAGACCGACCAGAGGAAGGGCTGACATCAGCAGATGCAGCCTCTTCTTCACCCGCTCCAGGCATGCCGGTTGAAGATGAAGTAGAACTACCACCTTCTTGATTCATCTCCACACCACCTGCATCATTTTGACTACAACTAGACGATGAAGCAGGAGCGACATTTGATGTAGTAGCCCAGTGGTCCTCTGGTGATTTAAAGGTGTTGATGCCACCCTCTCCGCCACTGTCGCACGACTGCTCCTGCTCATCAGACGCTGAAGGAGCACCTTCGTCCGACGCTGAACCACGCAGAAACAGCACGTTTCCGCAACTACCTGCCTGCTGACTCATCTTGTTCATTTGTTCATCTTCAATACTCGAAGATGGTTGCTGTCCGAACGTGATGAGCAATTTGAAGAGCTGCGTCAAATACAGATGCGCTGTTTGATTTCGTTTCGTCGTTTGCTGGTACCAATGAGTCCATCGCTGCCAGGTGTCTAAAGGAATCTCATAGAGAATCTCCGTCACAGCCATCCCCCCTTCAGTCGCCGCTACCCCTCCAGGCGAAGGCACAGGGTTGTGGTAGTAATAGCTGCTCGCAGCAGGCAGATAGTCACGACCATTCGCAGAAGGGCCGCATCCATTCTCGCTGATGGACTTTAGGGTCGTTGAGACGAGGCGCAACATGCACGTGACGTAGCTGCCAAGGCGCAAGGTACTAGAACTCCTCGTAGAAGCATTGGAGCTCTGATCCGCACGAGCGTCGCTTATCAACTTGACAACTCCCTGTCGGTCTGGAAAACAACTCGTGGAACTGGACGCGTGGATACCCTGAACAAGCTGAGCCCAATTTTCTTCAGATGAGTTCTTCCGGTCTGAAGATGCAGAAGCAGAAGAGCCTATTGCTGAATCTGAAGACGCAGAAGTTGATGCTGCAGTAAAGGGAGCTAGATGCATCTCACCGACTGCTGCCCCAGCAAACGGATTGCAGCTACTATCTTGTTGTTGTTCGTAACCACTAGAGGAATTAGTTGTAGTAGGATTAGCCGCTGCGGTTTCAGCACCTCCAACTACGCCTCCAGCTCCTGGTTCATTTCCGAGTGCAGAGAGTAGCGAATAGGTCCCACCGCCCAAATGAAGCGAAAAGATCGGGTTAGCAGCTCCACTGGCGATGTTGCCTGCTAAAATCGCCTCAACCGGTGATGCCGGATAATATGCGTTGTAGCTCTTGTACTCCCTGTCTGGCCGCTTGTGAATCCAATCCCTCAACAGCGGCTTCTTAAACCGATACGCGAGCGACGGCGCGACCGAAAGGACCACCTCGATACACCTGATCGCGTCCCAACAATACTCCTCATTGTTCTGATTGGCACAAGCTGCTAGGAACTCAAGAAAAGGAGACTCATCGACCATGGTGTGCAAAAAGAGCAAGGTTTCTCTCTCTTTTAAGGGTTTTGGAATCTTCTCCATGTGCTCAAGAAGGCGTAGGAAAAAGCAAATCAGCGAAGGAAGCACGTCTAAATCAGGCAAATCTGCCGTACTAGCAGTTGTTGAAGCAGATGTCGTTGTAGAGGAAGTACTTGCCTCCTGTTCTACGACAGTACCATCATGTTGACCCCGCTCATTCTTTTTGTTTTTCAAGTCATGCTCGTCTGAAGATATGCCAGGTGTGGCAGCGTCATGCTCTTGTTCTTCAGCACTGCTGCTACTACTACTGCTAGACGAAGGAGCCGTCGTTTCCTCGTCACTGTTGCTCAGAACGACGTGATTCGTTTTCTTGCTGCTCATATCTGTGCACGCGCCGGCCACGATTGACGAAACAACACGACTGCACACGTCGTCTTGCTCTTCGATTGTGCTCTCCACTGAGGTCGGTGACGGCACTACACTACGCTGAAGACTGTCCGTCGACTCAAGCAACTGCATGATGTTTTGCTGGTCTCTGTGGCGAATAGCCGCTTCTAAACCGTCGATGTATTTCCGCAACAAGGGAGACAACCACCCATGACAAGCCTCCCGAGCCCACTGACAGTTCAAATCCGCGATGACCTGCTTCACAGGACCCGGTTGGTAGTTGCTATTCGGTCCCAGAAACAACATCAACAACAGATCGATGGTGCCAATCTCTGGGAGCAAAACGCCAAGCCACTGCAGATACAAACAGTCGTTCGCCAGAAACCAATCTGAGGAGGTGATCAGATTCCCTTTGGAAGGATTTTTTGATCACTTATAATAAAGTATGGGGTAAAAGGTGCTTCATTTCGGTAGTTGCTTCAATGTACGTAGAAGGAACACACGTTATTAATCTTCTTTCTACTCACAATAGGATGAAAAAGCAGTGCAGTTGTACCTCTGCTCTCGTGGATATGATGCGTAACCAAGTGCGACAGCACGCCTGTGACGTGAGCAGTACTCGCCATGCGACCGGAGTATAGCGCAAACATGAAGTGCGCTGCCAGGTCAGGAAGCTCCACCCGCTCCCTTTGCAAGTTATTCATCAATTCTTGTGATGCCAGCTGTGCCCGAGTCACCACCTCCGTATCATAGATGTCCTCGAAGTCATAACCGTAGACCGAAAACTTCTTCGAGGCACAAGTTCTTGTTACATTTGATGTTGTTCCAGGAGGTTCACGACTATCCTCAGAGCCCCCTCCAGCCTTGTCCTCGTGTTGTGTTGAAGATGAAGAAGCGCCTGGTGCTGTAGGTTGAGGTTGTGACGTCATCTTCTCATCTGACAAGTCGTGCTTGATGTCTTTGTCTACCTCATCGTCTAGAACTTTGATGTTTATCCTCTGCTCTTCGTCTTTCTCAAAATACGTTCGATCCGGATACTCTAGTGAGTCTCCTCCACACGAAGTAATATGCCTGGCCAAGTACAACAATCCATGCTGATGATGATCCACTTGGCCTAGCTGTCGGATCGCCGTCTGAGCTGCAGCGTACAGCCTGTGTTTTTCGACGCGCGCCCTCTGTTCCGCGTCTCCTGACCCATTGCTGTTCCCAAGCCAAGCGGAAGTTTGCAGATGGAAGGGCAGACCCTGCTGGCCTTCATCAGGCTTCGGCGGATTCGACATCTGCTCCAACACTTTGCGCCAGAAGAAGTAGTAAAACTTACCACGATCATAAAACTCACTGCTTTCCCCCACCGTTTTCAGACGTTCAGCCTCAATACGTTTGTGGCGTTCTGTACTGGCTAAGCGCTCTAACTCTTCCATTTGTCTGGCCTGTCGCGTCTCCTCCTCTCTTATGGCCTCTGCCTCCATGCGGCGTCTTTCTGCGATCTTCCGCTGTTCTAACTCTAGAATCTGTCGTGCACGTTCGCGGTCCGTAGCAAGTCGCAACCGATGCGCTGCAGTAAGTGCATCTTCGCCGCTGTCTGGAGGTTAGAAAAGGTGTACGAAGGAAGAAGATATATATTGATTTAGATTATCTTTAGTGCTAATATCTTTCCTTCTCGCATCAAGTTGGTTAGAGAGCAGAGTACCCATGCTTGCACCAACAAAAAAAAACCTATCAGTATTAATAAAAGTCAGTCAAAGTCGATAGTTGTAATTCTGCCATAACGATCTTCGCCGCCATCTGCTTCTCGCTCCAGTCGCGTCATTTGCTCTAACAAATCCGTATCCTCGTAAATGACCATGGGAGGAAGCGGGTCATCCCCATCTTCCTCATCGTCTTCTTCATCTCCTTGTTCATGATCTCTAGTACTGTTGAGATGATGTTGTTGTTGTCCAGCATGATTTTTGCTGCCTCGTCCATTTTGATAAGTAGACGATGAAGACGCGCCTCCATTTTTCTGCTCCTGTAAACGTCGGATGATATCTGCTTCGCTGACCTCCATTTGCTTGATATTGTGCAGTCGCCTCATAATCTCCGCTTCCTCTTCGCCGCGGCCTACGTGACCGTCTCCTCTGGAAACGACCTGGAATTTTTGGAGTAGAATTTTTAAGTTGTAGATCTGCGCTAAAATTCATTCAACTTTGGAGAAAATTCTGCAAAAAGTTCTTCGTCTGGTACCTCAACATCTTCCTCATCCACGATGGTTCCCTTGACGAAGCATGAAGTTCGCTTATCTCCAAATCGAGAGGACACGCCACCGTTCATACCCCTCAACGTCAGATTTGACGCTCCATGAGAACTGAGGAATGAAGCACCTGGTGTCGTACTATGCGCCGCTGTCGATCCTGCAGTAGAAGAACTGGTCTTGTTGAACGAAGGCGTTGGGGCTCCAGAAGACGAAGTAACAGACGTTGGATTCAGTTGTCTCCCACGAGTGAACACGCCATAGTCGGTCGGAGCGGGTATTCTTGGACCGGGACCTCTAGTAGATGAATGTGAGCCAGAAGTGGTCCTCCAACTGTGGTCTACTCTTGGAGGCAAATTAGAATTACCAGAAATAGCAATTCTAGAAGACATGTCGTCCTCCTCTACTGCATCTAGTTTGCGTCCACCTTCTTCTGCACTTGGTGGATTAAACTTTCGCTCAATTTCAGCCAGAGATGGTCTCACGATTCGCGCACCAGGTCGAAGACGGTTGTTGCTGCCGTCAGTTGTCTTGTCCTCCGCGTCCTGCTTGTTCAAAGCTACATCATTGGACGTTTCGAATTCGAAGATGTCTTGCATATGCAATTGTAGAGCACGTGTCATCTGCGCAGTACATTTCGGCCCTTCTTCTTGCTGTAGTTCTTCTTCCATGTCCTCTGTCTCTGGAGTAAGCGGTTCTCGCTGTCTCCATGACCCGATTTCTTCTAAAATTTGGTCCACGTTGACTGCGAGTCCTCCAGAGTCTCCTCCACTAGGAGGTTTGTCCTCTAGATGATCTAGATCATCTTCATCATCTACATCTCCGTCAGGGTCGTCATCAGGTTGTGTGTTTGGAGGAGATGACGCTTCTAGTGCGTCTAGCTCTTCTAGACCGTCTTCAAGACACTGCTGTGGAGACGCATACTCATCTGAGGAAGTGGAGGAAGAAGAGGGAAGATGAGCATTCTTGTTGCTCTTGCTGCGGATTTCCTCCTCTTCGTCATCCTCTTGCCCCCTGATGTCGTCTTGTACTGCTTCAACACCTGGAACTTCAGAAGCTTGGGATGGAGTGGGTACTACGCCTTGATGTTGTATTTCTAACTCCTCAACACTCGTAGTGCTAGTGTTTTTCATATCCTCTTCGGAAGCATCCTCGACTACGAATGAACCGCTATCGTCAAGAACAAAACCTTCGTTGAGGAACGACACTTGTTTTTCTTCTTGTTCTACGGTAAAAGAAGATGAACCCCCGTGGTGCCTATCTCCTTTTACAACTGCTCCTTCTTGTTCCTGCTCTAGTTGTACTTCGTTTATTCCCTTGTTGCTCACCTCCTGTCGAAAGATGTCCTCTGGCAAGCGACAGCGAGGTGGTGACTGCGGCATCTTTTCTCAGTCCTGTAGACGTGGACGCGTGTCTAAGGGACAGGGAGTACATATACGAGAAAATAGGAGTAGGTCGGTCCCTCTCGTTCTTTCAGCTGTTGATCCAATGCAATCCACTTCTCTACATTGTTGTCTTGTTGTTCTAGCCACCTCACTTCTACACACTCTGGAGTCTTGGCAGGGAATGTTGCCCAGATCAATACTCCGAAACTGTCGACGGGACTTTCTTTTTAATGCCAAGCTTCCTAAATAAACGGGCCCGATATTAATCAACTCGATTTCACGCATGAGTTGAAACAGCTGCCCTAAGTAGGGGGCGAAACGTCCTATGTATGCCGAGCGATAATCTGATCAAATTCGACTCGAGTAAACGATCTCGACATATGTTACTGGTTGCTTTCGACTCTAGACGGCGCGGCCTTCGCAGCCGTTGCGCCGGTGGCATCTTTTGGGGTCAAGAACGATCGCGCACCTTGAATTACCAAGCTTCGCAAGCGGCTCAGCTAGCCTAATCACTGTCGAGCTGTTGTATCTCTATCTCTATTTGAATTCTCTTTGACTGCCGAGAACAATCACGCGCCTTGAAGTGGCGAGCTTCGCAAGCCAAGCGGCCCAGCTATTCACTTCTGGGCTATGCCAAGTCTCTTCGTTGAGTCAATTCGCTGACGCCTGCCGCCGTCTCGGGGTTTCTCACGTTTGCTCCGTGTTTCTGTCGTTTGCTCGGGTTTCTAGCGTTGTCCCGCGGGATGCTCCAGCGGCATGTGCGCTAGTAGCATTTTCGTTCACATGCAGTGACTTGAGCTTTCTGTCTGTGCTGCCTATTTTCTTTGTTGATCTTACGGCAGTCCCTGCGCGTCATTTGTTTGGCTTTCTCTTATGTGGCCTTCTTTTCTTTTCTGTCTTGCTTGCCATTTCTTTTCTCTATGTTGTTTGTTCTTTTGTTGGTCCGTGGTCTATACCTGCTCCGGGCCCTATGAAGGAGCCTGCTTGGAATGCCGACGACTATGCTCGCGCCACCATGATCGTGGCCCATGCCGTTCTCTGTCTTGCTCTTTCGGTGGTTCCTCGTATGATCGTTACGCGAGCTCAGTGACTTACTGAGAGACCGCACCCGCGCCGCCCATGCTCTCAGGCCTTTACTCCTCTATCATTCACACCATGAGGGCAGGGTCTAGATGATACAGCGCAGCTGATGGCGCAGCTAACGACTGCACCACCATGCACGCGAGTGATCAGCATGATCCCCCCAGGTCAATAGCTACGCCTTGGCCCCTCATGGCACCCCAGGACACTAGGCCCGCGCTGGAACCAATTCAGGGCCTTAGACGGCCAGCGATCACTCGGCGCGCCTGTTCTGATCGTCTTGCTGTTCCATTGCATCGGAATCGGCTCCGCATGTTCTCAAGGGCTAAAGAGTGCGCTTGGACGTGTTCGGGTGTTCCGACATCGGCTTTGCAAGTAGTTACACCTTTTTTCTTTGTTAGTGTAAGTAAGTACGTAGATGCAACAATAATGAGTGAGAAATACCATCAGGCTCTTGCAACAATAATGAGTGAGAAATACCATCAGGCTCTTGAAGTTTGAGTTACTTTCGTGAATGCGAATGCCGATGCTGTTTAAGAATGAATCGCGCCTATGTGAATGCAAAGAATGACATAGATTTAGTCATGAATCATGAACTAGCCCTTCAAATAATTCTTCCCAATCTTCCAACCCCTTCTTAGCGTGGGTGCCTCCTGCACCTTCTTAGATGTGCGCCTCCTGTTGCACCTTCTTCTTCTGTACCTTCTTAGATGTGTGCCTCCTGTTGCACCTTCTTTTCTTAGATATGTGCCTCCAGCACCTGCTTGTCGTGCTAGACTCTTCAGAGTCCTCCTCATGGTGCTAGAAGAAGACTACTACTTCGTCTGGATGATGAGTAGTTTTTTTACGCGGTTTTCTTCTCCTCGATCCTTTTTTCCTGGTCGAGCGCCTCAAGCAGAGCACTTCCGGAGGGAGTGGAAGGTGTACTAGCGTGATCCACTTCTTGGAGGAAGGCGTTGGAAGCTCCTGCACTTCCAGAGGTCGATTTGGCGGTGTCCACCGCCGACTGCACCTGCTGGCACAGCCAATAGAAACAGATACACCCGAGGATAAGAATAACGAGCGGCACAACAACACATACGATCAAACACCATATTTAGAGTTTACCTTAATTCATCTTTGGAGTGCTTTCCCCTTAGGAAAAGGCTCCAAGATGCTTCTCAAGATGAATTAAAGGAAGCCTTAAACCATGCAGCCGGTGCTCATTCCCTGCTCCGGGGG